CTCTGAGCATGGCATGATGACATAACTCTGAGCACAATGAAACTCTAGGACCTAGGGCTAAGATGGGTGTCACTGTTTCTTTGCGGGGAGACGGAGACCCGTTTTGGTTGGCTTCACAATGGGATTCCCTATTTTAATACCTGCGCTTTATGGGATCATACTGTGGCAGGACAAACTCTACGCCAGGCAGCAATTGGATTCAAGCCCAAGCAACTGGTTGTGTGAATATAACCGCCAGTTTCATCTAAATTGGGTCAACCATTTTTAAAATGGGAGGTTGAACCCTAGCCCAGCGCTTGCAGTGACCACTATTGTAGGTAATCAGGGACAGCCACGAGGTAAACTTCCAGTTACCACTAAGTATAGTAGGTAACCAAGGAAAACCATGACCTAGAGGTAAAGGATCCTGAAGGGTTTCCTATAGTGGCGAAACGCCTGGAAGCACTGGTAGGGTTTGGGTAAAAAGACACGGGGATATCCCCAGCGAGGTGCTCGGAGATCGAGTGTTGCTGCAGCTCCGCCGCGTGGATGCCCCCTTTGACCTGACTGAGTCGAACCCCGAGACGGGGGATTCTACTTCGGTCGGCCAAGACTTCCATTTGGTTAAGCCCCCTGGACAAAAAGATATAAACAGCAGTGATAGATTCCCTTTAAGCCCAAAATGAAAACATATTCTTAAGCAAGTGGAACATAGCAAGCTGCGTGTATCCTAAGTTACACCCTGCTTATAAGTCCCCTAGAGTGAACCTTGCTATTGGTGGGTTATAATCCAGGTGGCTCATGACTTAATGATTTGGCCGGACATCAAAGTACTAACTTGGCTCTCAAGATACATGGCCATGGGTCAAAAGCCCGTACCCCCAGAGAACATCCCAATCCCCACTAAAATACGTTCTAAAATGGGTGGTGAATTCACCTACCAACCAAAATGGGATCCCATTTGTTTTGACCCACAGCCACATATAAACATGAATTGCAACAGGGCCCGGACCCTCTGGTAGACATCATTTGGGGCTTCATATCCACCAACTACTTTTGCGGTGGTTCCATGGTCATATATGAGTGTCTTCTTTAAAGGGACCCCAAAATGGTGGCTTTCCCGTTGGTGTCCCTTCAAAAATGGGGACCCACCCCAACAAAAAAAGACAAACCCCTCTGCCGTACTGCACCCGAGAAAAAGTGGAACCTGCTCAAATGGACCGGTAAATGGACGGTTTGGGGCGCCTGTAGCTTATCCACTGGAAACCCAACCGACCAGCGGGTTGCATGGCTAGAGCTAGGCCCAGTTACAGAATGTACCCGCCCACTGACTAACTAACATGGAAGTGCACAGACCCCTGCAGAAAGACTACTTTCCCCTTGCAAAGCGGGTTTGTGCACTTCCGTGTGGGAGGGTAAATTATATTGTTGGCTTCACTTTCAGTTCCTGGCAAAATGTAAAATGGTTCCTCCCTCTATTTCAGGTCGATTTCAAACTGAAAGCAGCACAAAAGGAAACGCAAGGGTGTGAATGCACTAGCCGTCAGAGAGGGCCCTCCAATCCAACGAGGCTGAATCTCCAGAAGGGATTGGCCTTCGGAAGGCCCTTGTGCCTGAATCGATTCTTGTGGCCCGATGCAACGAAAAGGGCTGGGGAAAAAATAATACACTTTGCGACTTCACCAGTTTAGCCAGCGCTCGTGATCGTGGATCTGCAATAATCAAAAACAGGGCTCCACCCAAAATGGCAAAGAATCAACAGGTCGGATAAGATTCAAAACACAAAACCACGGGGGGGTTCTTCCGGCCTCAGTACTTTACCATGATCAACGTCACCCCCAAGTGGTGGGGTAAAGGAAATCACCAACCAATTTCTGACTTTGTTTTTTTCCAGGAACAGTCAACCTAACGACCTCTGTAATACAACCTTCAGTTTTGTTTTTGGCCCGAGGATGGTCATCTAAATTGGGTCCCAAGGCCATTCTTTTCATGGGGTTGAACCCTGGTTGATCAATATTTCTTTTGGCCCCAACACTAAAGGACCTTTTGATCAACCTCCATGTTCCTACAAATCACATCTTGCCACCAAAAGGTCTCGGTTTCAGCTGATGGTCTTGGTACGTCGGAACCAACCTCCAGAACTTTGTTCCTGCGTACCTCAAATTTGCGGATTTGCGTTGAATCTGTCGACACCCAAAACGCCATGAAACTGTGGCCCAGTGCTTCCAGGTACAACTATAGGTAACCACCAAGAAACCAGGAGGATCTAGAGAGAAGGATCCCTGCTTCAAGGAGCGATCGGGTAACTCAGCAGGTAAGCGGTTAGTAAGGGTTATAACCAACTTAGGGGACTTATAACCGTGGCAAGTGGGTTAGAACTATGATTATTACCCACCTAACAGATGTACCCTGCCCCTTTAAGTGGCTACCTATAGTTGGAACTGAAAGGACTGGGATTTACACCGAGAGACCCTCACGGTCGCCGTCGGCCCGTCGGCTCCTTTTCACGGCAAGGGGCGAGCACTGAATCGAAGCCTGCGGCTGCTGCACCGCCCACCTGATCAAGAGCCCAACCTGTCCAAGGGCAACCTGGACACCCCAACCGGGTTTCATAGGCGTATTTTGGTGAGACATTGATAGTTTTCCCGGGTAATTGGGGGGGCATAAAACCAATTAATAAAAGCAGTGGAACCCGTCTATTTGGGGTGTCTTTCTTTTGGGGCACGCCGCAAAATAGTGGCTTTTACCAATTTGGAGCCCATCTAGTTCTGACCAAACTAACCTCGGGACACCTACTGTAGATGGTTGCAAAATCCATTTCGCACCACCGTTCGAAACCCAACGAAACAATTCGATTCCCCAACGCAAAAACCAACGTGTTGGTTTCAACCATGGTTTCAACTGGTGCGAAATGGATTTCGTCCACAGTACGGACCCAGGTGTTCCTTCCTTTGACTCACAAACAGGTGGTAGTTGGCCACACAAAAACCGAGGGTCGACAACCAGCCCAACAACTGCTTTCTCAACCATGGCCAAGATCCCGTTTGCGGCTGGTTGATGGAAGGGGGGGCCAGGTCTGAGAAACGAAAATCACAGAACCAGCTCCCACGAGGTCAAAAACCAGCCAACGACGCCAAGAACTCGGTCCTAAGAACTCTCCTAACAGGTAGTTGGGTGTGTTTTTTGTTTGAGACTACTCCCTGCTTGGTGACTTTAAAGGACAAGCAAAAGGAAAGCCACCCCAACAAATGGGGCAGAGCGGTCTGATTCCTTGTTTCCTTTCAAGGGAATCCATTGGTTACCAAGACCGTTGCTTTATCTGAGAACTTGCAAGAAAAAGGGGGACACTTCCATTTGCTTTAGCCCCATAGAATAAATCAATATTTCCAGTAGTGATAGATTCCCGTTAAATCAACACAGAAAAATCAACAATATGGCCATGGGTCAAAACACCGTACCCCCAGTGAACATCCCAATCCCCACTAAAATAGACTAAAATGCGTGGTGCACCTATCGCAAAATGGTACCATTGGTTTTGAACCAGGCCAGATGTATGTCAGCAAATGGAAGGAAATGCCCCCAGCGCTGGGTCGTCGAGGAAATGAAGTCACATGACAGATATGCGATTGCACAAACTTGTTTAAACGTGTTTCTGTTTAAACCTGTTTGTGTTTAAACGTGTTTAGCCCCGCCCTGGAAGTCAGTCCCAGCGGCATCGTGGACAAGAGAATCGCCGACATGACAGATATGCTTGGCCCCCGCAGTTTTCAGCGCGGCGGCGGCTTCTCGAAAAATATCGCCTCGGATGGACTCCCCAGAAAAGGAACATCGGATGGTCCTCCAGGTTTCAGAGGTTAGAATAAGGGTACCCGATGTTTTTTTCTGTGGTCTATTTTAGTAGGGGAACCCTTCCCCAAAAAACGGGTAATAGGGTACTACTGGGGGACCTAGTCATGGAAGAAATCAAACAAAAACACCAGAAACACCAGAAGGTGTAGAGGAAACTCCTTCGGGGGGGCCCAATTTTGAGGGAACAAAGGCACGAGTTCTTTGCAGCCACGTGAGTGTTCGGCCCAAGTTGGTAAGTTGCGAGCAACTTCAACCTACAACCCGCTTACAAGTCTCCTAAGTAGAGTTTAATCTAGTTTGTGGGTTGTACCCCAGGCCAACCTTTTACCCACTAGGCGTGATAGATATCAGCACATTTGCCAGGGTTGGTATGCAGCCAAAACCCCAAACAGAAGTTATAAGGAAATCCCGCCACGCACGATGCAAACAACAAGCCAAATACACACAAACTAAAGAATAACAATGTACGTAAATAAGTATTTAAGTCCTAAGAAACCACTAAGCAAGTCAGCCAGTCAGCCAGTCAGTCAGTAAGTCGGTCGGTCCGTCGGTCCGTCCGTCCGTCCGTCAATCAGGCAGTGAGCACACAAGCACGAAAGTAAGCAAACAAGTGAGTAATTGACTAACTACCTAGCTGACGAACTGCTAGCAAACTAACCAACAAACTAACTAACTCACCAACTAAACAACCAACTAACTAACTAGCTGACTAACTGATTAGCTAACTAACGAAGTATAACTAGCTAACCGGCTGAGCAACTATCGAACTAACTGACTCGGGTTTGTCTTAGAATAGGGTTTCGCTCGTCCAAGTCTTCAAGTGCTTGGCACCAACTCCAAAAACAAACGGCACAAAAACAATCTGCCAATTTCTGAAATGTTGTCTCCGGACCTAAGTAGAACCAGTACTATTAATTGCGGCGTCTTCCCTGGTCCTGATCACCACGAGGGGCCACACCATATTAACAGCAAGCAGGGATTCTACTTAAATTCTCCGGTAACTTCTTTTTAAAATGGAGCTTCATTTGAGGAGCTGGATTTCAAACCCCCAAACCGCCAGTCCCAACCACCAAATATGAATTCCCTAAAAACAAAATGCACCCACAAAACAACAAATCTGAAAAACTTGATGCTGGAAGAAGGATTACCTGAAACAGATACTGAAAGATGTATTACTTGGTTTTGCCTGCCCACAAAAAAAAAAACAAATCCGATACGTGTTGCTTGGGATTGCCTGAAGAAAAAGAAAGCACCCACACAAAAAACACAGCGCGATGAAAACTTGTTACCAGGGGCAAGCCACGGCCTGGCTTGCCGAAGACGAAGAGGCGACTGCCCCCGAAGGCTGTGTACTTCTTGGCAAAGCAGCCGGGGCAATTGAAGGCCGTGCCATCCGCCCGATGAACGACGCAGTCCTAAGAAGAGCTAAGGTAGGGGTGTTTTTGGGGGATTTCAATTTTTTGAGCCATAAGTACCTAGAGTCTCCATGTTGTGTCTCTCAGAGAGTATTGATTATGAGGGGGGGTCCGCGTGTATTAGGACGAACGGATTATCATGAAAGTCACCTCACAAGTACCTGGAGTCTCCGTCTGACGCTTTAAAAACAGGTCCGTGACTCCATTAATTTAGGTAATGACCCCATTTTTTAAGGGTCATGGAGACTCTAGGTAGATCCACTCGAGTCCACACTGGTAGATGAAAAAACACTACGTAACCACACTGGTATTAAAAAAAAGGACCCTGGGACCCTCTTAAGGGAAACAGCCAGACCCTCTTAAGGGCACCTGTGCAGATATTTCCTAAGAATGCGAATACTGGGACCCTGAAGAAACACAGCAACTGTTCAAGCACTGTCTGCAATCCTGATTTGCTGGACCTGGATGTTTTGTTTTGACACCGTCAGGGTAGTGGGGCCTAAACCAAAAAAGCAGGGTGAAAGAGGACCAACCAACCAGTTGCCCTAGTTGTAACGGCGAGAAAGCCTACTTGAGCTTGGCAACGAACATCCAAGGAAAAAAACACGCTGAGCCTGGGATCTTGAAAAACATATACCTGGAGTCTCCGTCTGATCCTTTAAAAATGGGTCAATGACCCCATTTTGTTTGGGGTAACGACCCATTTTTCACGGGTCGGAAGGAGCCTTCAGGTACCTGTGGGTTCCAGTCCAGGACTGGGAACCAACCGAAAGGCCCTCTTGAAGGGAGCTCGAAAGGCAACCAACCATTTTGGGGGTTTTCCCTGTTTGTGACACATATCAACAGGGATCCGGATGCAATACACACCTGAACGTTGCAACTTGTAAATGGTGGTTTCCAACTTTATCTTGGTGTTGAAACAGCCAGCCATGTTTCAAAGGGTGACGCAAAATGCTTTGATCTTTCAAGGAGCCCTGATCAAACATATAAAGGTACCGTATATATATATAATATTGTATTATATTATTATTACACCCTTGTGATAGCGGTTCAGGGTTCTAGATGTGGTGGACTACGGCTGACACTTGGCCTGCCGAAACGGGGTGCACCACCAACGAAACTTTTGTTTTCGTTCCTGGGAGTCTCCCGAGTCGGACCCGAATGAAAAAATGGTGGGGTCGTTACCCAAAATAAGGGTTGGTCATTGACCCATTTTCAAAGGGTCGTGCAGACTCCGGGTTCAGATGATTCATGTCTAGTTTCGCCACGAATATACAGTAGTTTTGGAGGAATACGCAAATATTCTCAGGACGCAAACACACAAGGCTGACCCGTTGGGGCCCAAAAGGGAAGCCCCGAAGGTCATTTCAGCTTGGTTCGCTCTGGGCAAGTACAGATATGATGTGCTTTTGCTCTCTTTTTTTGAGGGGGGGAACGTCAAAATGGAGGGCTTTCCTACGGTTTTCCTCACATCATTCAGCCACCCTGTACCCCCCAAACTGCAACAAGTTTCGGAGCGTGGGTGTTCGGCAAAGTTAGTAAGTTGTCCGCAACCTATAAGATACAACCCCCACTGAGTCTCCCCAAGTGGGGTTACGCTTGTTAGTTTGGGGAGGGCCTTTCTACTGGGCAACAAACATCTAAGGAAGCTCCCTTGGTACCCCATATTTGGGTCTCGTAACCCACCAAGAACCAGGTCAACTCCACTTAAAGGATTTGTAAGCTGGCTATAACATTGGTTGCGGACAACATACTAACTTGGCCACCCGAGAGGGTCACTTAGGGAGGCGGGCTTCCAACACCCATGGCTTCCGTGGTTTGTCTCACCATGGTATTGCCCACTTTCCTGACGTACCCGATCGCCCCTTTAAGCATATGTTGCCAGGTATGTCCCGTTGTAAGCATCATCTTTGGGAGTTTCTCGTCTCGTGGGGTAAAGTTTTAAGGGGGCCCCTCTAAGTATACGTTTCCAACTTGAAATGCCATCAACAACTATCGAAATGCGAAAAAAACAAACACGATTCCCAGAAAAGTGTGTCTTAGGTTTCCCTCAGGCAAACAAGTTCAAAGCGATAAAGCTCCGCGGTTGCCCGCGCTTGCGACGCTCCTCTCCCGCGTCCTTGAAACGCCGCGGCGCGGGATTCGCGATGATCAGCGGGCGCTGCAGCTCCGCGGCCTGCTGCAAGACGCTGCCGAAGACCTCCCAGCTGGCGTCCGACTCGAAGGTCCTCGAGCCGCGAAAACGGGAGGCTCGAGGCTCGAGGCTGGAGACGTTGAGTGTTCTTTTTTCCCGCCTCCCCCCCCATTAGCACCGTAAGGTGTTTGTTTTGGGGGGGCTGGTGTCTTTTGCGAATTTCCATGAGTGGAACCTTGGTGTTGCTGTTGCTGTTGTTGTTTCTGTGAGGGGGGGGTTTCTTCCAAAATAATATCATACTCAAAGGTGAACCAACTCAGTGAAACGGGCTGGGCACATCTTGTTTTTTGGAGTACCCCACATGTGGCCCAGTGCGTTCAGCTTAGAGTAGAGTAAGCCTTCGGGATTACCTCAAGGTTTTGCATCATGGTTGCCCTGGTCATCTACTACCTGGAGTCTCCTTCTGACCCTTGAAGAATGCTTGGTCATTACCCAACATAATGGGGTTGACCCATTTTTTAAGGGTCAGACTCGGAGACTCCAGGTATAGTGGTGCCTGGAAGCACTGGGTTTGCTACCCTTGCGATGGAGCCCAACACCCATTTTTGTAGGTGTCAAGTGCACCAACATCCAGGACCCAATTTTGAGCCTGGTTTCCTTTTTGCGGGTGGTTTCAAGGAACACCAATCAGAACACCGAAGCCATTTTGAGCCGTAAGAACCATGTAAAACTCACGTCCTGAGTGGGTTGGCCAAAAAGAGTCCTGCTTTTGATTTACCACTATTTGTTTCTTTCGAACAGTTGGAAGTCAGGGAGTAGGTAGAAACAAGACACCGGGCAACTGCCAGGAGCTGCAATGGACCTTCTTTTTTGTCGAAATGACCCATACAAAACTGAAGTAAGGCAGAAAAAAGGAATCGGTCCTTTGGGGGTGCAAGTACCCTCCCACCAACTAGCATGGAAGTGCAAAAAGGCCCTTTCCAAGAGGAAAGTCGTCTTTCTACAGGGGTCTGTCTTCCATGTTAGCTGGTGGCAGGGGGTAGCAACAAGGTACCAGGCAGCTGGTGGCAACCGTTGAAGTCGAGTGCGTCGAGACTCGAGCGCTGCTCGCTCAGCGTGCCCTTATTGCAGACCTGCACCCCGTTGGCGAGGATGAAATCGGCGTCCTGGACGCGCGGGCGTTAACGGCGCCGCAAAAAGGGCTCGGGCCGCACGGAAGAAGCAACCAGCCACCTACAACGAGGGTACCCCTCACCAAACAGACACCCTGTGGGCGTGTAGAAACGGGGGTTGGAGTTTGGACGCCGTGGCTGGCTTCCTTTGGATCCCGGGATTCAGTTGCCGGCCAGCATGAAAAGAAGGGTTAGGATCACAAGGGGCTAATCGAAAGATTCGCCATGCCTACTTTGACGTTCGGCTAAGTTAGTAACTCACAAATTTGTCCAAGGAACGCCCACAAACAGAGGTGTCCTTTTGAGGCTAGTACCGTTCAAAATAGTGGGAACTGTTTAGTTGGATTTATTCCATTTCCAGGCCCCTCTACATATTTCCAAAAGGCCACCTATGTTCGCAGGATGTGCTGGCCAAAAACAGGGGCCAACACGCTGTACCAAGGAGGGGCCCCTTCTTGTCTAGAGGTCCGGCAAGATAGAAAGTTGTATCCTCGCGCTTCCTTTGAACACTGACCTCGCAAAGCGCATCACCGCAAAACACAGCACCGGCGGTGGACATATCTGTGCTGAAAAGTGAGATTCAAACCCATCTCTGTGAGCTGTCAACATCGGAGGCTACTCTGCTGGACATAGGGCTCGAATTCAAGGTGCTCTGGATCAGATTGAGGGAGTCCCCCTTCTCAAGCATTGTGGTGTTGATTGTGTTTCTCCGGGTGACCCTTTTCAGGGTTGATTTAAAGGGGGCCCAAATGAGAAAAAGAAGGCACCCCCATGTCCCCTGGTTGATTTTGATGAGCCCCTTTAAGTAGTAACCTCAGTTATACCGCAGTTCTAAGCCCCCCAATTTAAATTAACCTTGTCATTCCTGGGTTATAACCCAGGGAGACGATCTTAGGTGGGTAATCAGGCTTAACCACGTGGTGTGGGCTCACCCGATGGCTTCACTTAGATCTTGGGGTCAGCGAGTCCTGCGCTGAGGCGACCAACTCGAGGCCCATGATCCTCAACTCCTGGCCCCGACCGCCGCCGGACTCGGCAACTGGAAAAGCCGCATGGCCATGGGTCCAAATTTCGTAACTTCAGTGAACATGTTAACTGTTTTTTTTCACTAAACTAGACGAGAATGGGTGGTGAGTTCACCTACCCCAAAATGGTACCATATGGGTCACTACATGGGTCGAAATCCCAAGCCCGGTTAGCCCCCAGTGAACATCCGATTCAATCCAACCACTAAAATAGGAAGCCTAAAATGGGTGGTGAACTCACCAACCAACCAAAAAGGGATCAAATTAGACCAAAATGGGTGGTGAATTCACCTACCAACCAAAATGGGATCCTATTGGTTTTGACAACCACAGCCATATGGGTCCCTCAATGTTTTGAGGGCACCCTGTTTTGGGGTGGTTCGAAAGGAATAACGCAAGGAAAAACAAAATCCATGTTGCGACGGAAAAAAGGGAATCACGCCCATATGGGTGTTTCTCAAAATATGAAAGCAAACAAATAGGTGGTTTCTGTTGGTGTCCCTTCAAATACCAACCAAAAGGGGTCCACAAATTTACAGCACAGCCATGTGATAGCCATGTGTTGGGACAATATCCCCATCGAGGCGTTAGGGTCCAGGCAGCACAGGAATCTTCTTGCTTCCATTTGGTTAAGACACGTGGAAGTAGTGATAAAATCATTAAAACCAAACAAGGGGAAAAAAACATATAAAATAAAGAAAGAAACAAAACAGCAAATTGAAGCGTGGGAGCTCCCTTTTTGGGGAGGGTTTCCCATGTGAATGTTCAATTCGAAGCATCCGCTTTGAAGCGGTCGCTGATCGAACGCCCTTGGTTGATACACAAGAACTCCATGATTTCTTTGGTGCCAACGGGGTTCGCAAACATCCACAGTATCTGGGTGAATTATAATACTTCACCAACCTGAAAAAAGGTGCTTGGGGGGCTATTCCCAACATAAACCCCCATTTGGGGTGAGGACTGTGAGGTCGTCATAATTCACCCAGACAGTATGGAACATGACCCCTTTTGCGACATCCTGGGATTCGGCCAGGCCGCCACCATTGAAAATCAATGAGCGGGGGGGTCATTTTCAATCACCATTCTTTCCCGTGGAGTAACTCATCATCTAAATTGAGCCCCTCTGAACAGAACACAGATTTCCAATAGTGATGTATTCCCTTTAAAAACCAACAGCAAAACATAACATATTCTTAAGCAAAGGGAAGGTTAAGTGGCTGCCACACAATGGAATGGCTTCTCTTTTAGGACCCCTGATTTTGTCAAGTCCATTTGCGGTCAACACTTTCTGTGGGTCACGGCTCCCTGAGTAGGATCCCTTATACTTAATACTTTGCTGTCTATTCTGCCAAGCTGGTCTTTTAAACGGCTAAGAAAATGAGTGAAAATGTGATAACCTACCAATAAGAGAGTCCTTTTAGAGGGGCTTATAGCTCCAAGTCTAGGTCCTCCAGTAGAGGTTGGTTAGAATAAGGGTACCCTTCTTTCTAAAGTCTATTTTAGTGAGGATTCCTCCCCCAAGACAGGGTAAAAGGGCACTACTGGGGCGCCTAGAGTTTAACTTTCAGTGGGTTAAATGGAAACTACCACTAAAACACTAAAAAATGCGAAAAAGCTAAGGAACCGCTAAGGGCTGGGCTTGCCACCAAGTAATTTGGCCAAACCTCCAAGTAGTAAGGGTTCCTGACCACCAACTCGAACCCAACTCGACCCGACTTCGCGCGAGTGGTTCGCCTCTGGCGACCAAGTGCCTCGCTGTAGATGATCCTGACGAAAGGTTCTCTGAAATGGAGGATGTCTCCAAATAGCTTAGTTGCTGTTGACCCCCCTGAGAAAAATGATTAACTAATTCGGGTTTGGTGGAAGACCCCTTGATTTCCCAAAAAGTGAAAGTCTAAAGATCCAACCCAATAGCAGTCAAGATAGATTCCCCCACCAATTAGCCTGAAACCTGACTGTTCCGGGGTCCCTTTAACAGGAAAACGGTCCAAACCAGGACCCCCCCCCAACGTCAGGTTCCATGGGAGGGTAATGACCCTTCATTGAACAAACGAAATCAACAGCCTGATGCTTTTTTGGCGATGGTATCCAGTGCCGTTTGCTGCGTGTTGTTGTTGGTTTCTTTACTTAAGGGGCAGGGTACTTAGTAAGTGGGCAATAACCATGGCGATAACCCACGTACTACGGTTCTGAGTCTCCATTCAGTGGGTTGTCTCACCAGGCTTACTAACCTCTTACAAAGCCCCTGGACCTGAAAGGATTGGCACGGATGTACTGGGTGCTGCTTCTGAAGCTTTCCATGTGCTTTGGGCAAGCAAGTGAGTACTGGGCTTCTGGTGCTTCCTTACACTTCATGCCAAAGGAACACACCGGCAACTGGCCATTCCGCTTTGCCTGGCGCTACCACTAAGGTGTCTCTTTCAAAGTAAACTCAAAAAACAAGAGGCCGTCCCCCCCCAAAAAAAAAGAAAAAACTTGAAGGATGTATTGGGGCCAGCTTAAAAACCACCAGGTGAATCGATGCTCTTGCTGTTAGCAAATGATTCCTGGACTGACCTGGACCCTCAAGCTTCCCTTCGAAATTGACATCTTCCCCCAACAATGAGCAATACGTCTACCTTTAAACCCCTCACCCTAAGGGAAACTCGCAAAAACAACAAGGGTCTCCTTTGAGCAACCCCACCCCCATCTCCCCAAAATTCCCCGCCCCCCTTCTAACCACGGCCGCCCAAAACTGCCAAAGCCCCCCGTGCCTCGTGGGAGATAAAGAGGCACCGCAGTCGCGCCGGCGCAGCTTCGGAGATAAGGAGCTGCAGATGTCGCTTCGCCAGGTCCCCGGAGGTCACGAAGGACACAAAGTCCTACCCCCGCGCGCGCAACGCGAGCGAGGCGAATCGGGAGAAGCGAGGGAGAAGCGAGGACATGGCGAGCTTGGGGACGTTGGTTTTGTTTCGCGTTTTGTTTTTTGGCGTTGGTACCCCTTTTTGGTGGTGTTAAAGGGAAACCAAAACAAAGGACACAAAGTCCTCCGTGCGAATCGTCGAGCTGGGCGAGTCCGACGCAACGCACGCCCTCCTACGATCGGTGCGAAAAGAACGGTTTTGGGATTCACGCAAAAAAAGAGAAGAACCGCCCAGGAGGCTCCCTCTGCTTAGGTGCCCCCGTTTCTTGAGGGACATCCTAGGGTTCTTGAACCCATTCCCAATGAAAGAATAGCACTTAGATGATGACAGTCCTGAACGGAAAACAAGAATGGTGACTATATTGACCCAACCACTGTTTAGTGGTGCCAACTGCCTGAATCCCAGGATCACCGCAAAGGCCCTGGACCCTCAAACTCTCAAATGACCCTGAGAAGTCTGATGCTATAAGGGCCAACACGGGGGTTGCGGGGCACTTTAAAACCAAGTCTAGTCATGATTGTAGGAGCAAACGATTGGCAATTATTTACCAACCCCCTTAGATTCTGCCTCCAAGCTTTCTACCGAGGGGTAGTCATAAAAAAGCCTGCCTTTGACGAAGCCGGCGAAGCCGTCGTCTCAGTTGGTCCATCGATGTTTATGGGCCAGGGTTGTCCATGTGGGACCTTTCTCGAAGAATTTGGGTGTGATTTTCAGGGTGCTCCTTGTTGGTTAGCTTTAAAAGGAGAAGGGACACCACAATTCTGGGGGGTGACCTTAAAAAAATAAATCCGTCTGTGAACTTATGACTCAGTCGGTGTCACTTGGTACATCCGACCTCTCGGGGCGCGAGAACTGATTGGGGACAAGACTTCTCCGATTGGCCTTTGGGGTGACACATGGACCAGAAAGAGAAAACACCCAGCCTGCCAAGTGAAACTCACCATGAAACGGTTCAAAAGCAAATGAAAGAAATCACCAAGCGGAAAAATCAAATAACAAAATGAACCCAAGCAGCAAGTGTTCGTCGGTAGGGACCCTTTTCCCTGAGGTGTTGTAACATTCACCCGGCTTTCACTCTATAGCCACTATACAACGGCTTCTACTCTATATACACCACAGAAAACAAGGGGTTTGTGGCTTGGGGGTACTGGAAACCGTCTTAGAAACAAGGGAAATACATGGTCACCTTCCCTCGCCCATCCCCCAAAAACAACAACACAGAAAACAACACATTGAAGACCTTGTTGGGATGGTCATTGAGGCCTGATCGGAATTACCACAGCTATGGAGTATGGGGACCCTCAGGGTACTATACAGGTAAATGGATCTTACCATTCATCCATTGGTTCTCTTGGTTCTTGGTGGTCCACTTTCCATCTCTTGTTGGTTCTCTTGGTTTTCTTTTGCCATCCTCTGACCTTGAGTTTCTGGAAAGAAGGAATCCTGGGCTCAAAGCCATGGACAACAACCTGCATTGTTTGTTACAATGTGCATATATCCACAAACACAAATGAGCCGTGCCAAATACTCTTGTGTAAAAAGCGGTCCTATAAACTTGCTTTCGCGGACCCTTTCGCGATGCTTTCGCGAACCCATGTTTTGCCTTCGCGGGCTTTGGTTTCTTTAGAATTGCTTTCGCGACGCTTTCGCGGCGGAGCGTCACACAGCATGCAGGCTTTCGCGGGTCTTTCGCGGCGGGACCTTCTTTGGTTACTTTCGCGATAAGCTTTCGCAAGCTTTCGCGGCCTGCGTTTTGGCTTTCGCGGGGATTCTATAGGACACCCCCCTTTTTTACTTTGTATTGTCAGGGTTTCTGGCGCTGCTCAAATGGATGTGGTGTTGTCAGTGGACCCACTCAAATTGTGGTTTGCCTGGTTGTTTCCCCTGAACACCACAGAACAGGGGTACCCTCAAAAAGAAGACACCCCCAGACCCATATATATTATATATATGTTACAACATGTATCTATAAATGTGTATATATATATATATATACATATATACATACATATTTAGGGCATACTGTGTGGGTCCCCTTCGAAAAGGAGGGGGGTGGAAGGGGTACCAAGAGCCCCTCTTGGGCTATATGACGCTCTGCCCTCTCTCCCGAGCGCGATGACCTTCCATTTGGCTAAGACCCCCGGAAAAAAATAAATAAAAAATCCAGTAATGATAGATTCCCTTTTAAACCAACAGGGGGAAACAAAAAAACAAAAACAAAGCAAATGGAAGTGAGGCTCTGCCCGAGTCGTGTCGGTCCTCGGGTCTGAGGCCTAAGTCCTCCACCCGGCTCTGGGCCTTCTGCGCCTCGCAGGGGGAGTTGGAGACGATGGCCAGCGCCACCTAGCACACGAAGTCAAACGAAGAAAGCGGCTTGGAAGTGCTCTCCGGCCACGGACAAGACCAGCCCCCCGCAAAAAAACAACACGCTTTGGGGCCATGATTGCGATGATTTTGGGTACTGACCAACCATTTTTTAATAGTCATGGCGACTCCAGGAGGAGCTTTGTGGGAGCTGTTCGAATTCCGATCCCCTGCAAAAAAACAGTTGAACTCCACTGGCACTGCTCCACTGCTGCGAATGACGGCGACATGGCCGTTTTCGGCGCGGGGGCCTGAAGTCTCCACATGCCTACGAGGCTCCCAACCACCGGGGTGTGTAACGGGGCCGGGTCGAAGCCATTGAAAGCCGAAGCCGATCGGAGCCTCTGGGTAGAAAGAAAACAAAAACACACCTGCCCCAATTCCCATCAAAGGAATGATAAGGACCGAATTTAGATGAAGGGTGGTCTAAATCCCAGGCTGAGCCTGGTGGGAGCAAGAAATGAACGGATAGGCTTCGCCTTCGGGAGTCGAGCGAGTTTTCCACCACCACCACCACCACCTTGAGGGGGAGGGGGCGGAAATGGAACCAATGCAGATCTCAGGTGTCGAAATCCTCCCCCCAATTCCACTTGCTTGACGTTCGTTGGGTTTGGGGAGCAAAAAATCATTTTTTTGCAGCTAAGTGGGTTTGGATTTCAACCACTAAACCACCATAAGCAAAAATGTAAAAAATGTTTCCCAACGACAAGCATGTAAAGGATCCGGTGGGGATACGGCACATTGCCCCCAACATGGCTGGTGAGTGAGTCTCACACACCGCCGAAAAACCGAGAAAAGGAAACATGACGCCACGAGAAAACCGGCGAGTGGTTGGCTGGCCTTCCGTTGCCGGAGCTCGGCTAAACAGTCCAAGGTGTCGGGCAAGAGCCGCTTTCCATCGTGAAGAACCTGAGGCACAGCTTTGCTCAGTTTCCCAATTCCTGGGTATGGATCAAAATCAAGCCACCCGCAGATTCAAGCCATTTTCGGTACCTATTTCTGACCCACAGCCACCTCTGGGTTGCCATGACTGAGCATGGCCCAACACAGGCAAACACCCAAAGGTGAAGGGTTTGTTTCGCTGTCAAGATCAAACCACGGTTCCCCTTTTGGGGCAATCAGGCACCCAATCGGTGCAAATAACAACCAGAATCCTCAAGCGACGGTCTTTTGGACAGTACTTAGTAGATTAAGGGCTTTAGGGTAAATGAATAGCTTAACACCCGTGTTGTGCTAAGTTACTTCATGTTTCGGTATGTCTCAATGAATCACATCTAATCTGCTTGCACGCAAGGCTGTGCCTTCCCAATGCATAGCCTGCAACGCTCTTAAATTGGTAGTTTCCATCGCCACATGCACGCGGATGTAAGCAACGATGTAGTTGCACCTGGCAATGCATGTCTAATACGCGGTGTGATTGCCAACTAATAGCCAAACTCCTGTCTGATACGCGGTGTGACTGGATCCAACACACAAGATGGGGGTACCCTTGGTGCTCTGCATGAGCAGCTCCTGAGTCGCATGGAACATGTCGCTTACAAGTTTCAACGCACTCATGCCAAGCAGAAACCAACAGCCATCGACGCATGCTCTCACCATGCCAAGGGGCGCCGTATTGATCAAGCCTTGGCTGGACAGAGACAACAGCATACCAGCATACCAGCATACTATTGTGAACGAGTCTCACGCGATACCACAACTCCCCAACTGGATGGTCCCTGGGATTTAGTTGCTACCACTAAACAAACGGGGGATAGCATAACCATTGCTTACCGTTCAGGATTATCATCTAAAATGGGTCCTCGCCATTATTTTAATGCGCATCGGAACCCTAGGGAAGGAGATCACACTTTGAATTACTTCTTTCGTTCTAGGCATGTAAAGACTTCTGTGCCTGAATGGCCGTGTTGCTGCTACTGCCGAATTGGATGCGACAGTGCCCAAGCCAATTTAACCACCCATTGAGGCTTACCTGAAACAAACAGGGCACACACAAGCACTGGGAATTAGGGCGCCAGCAACCTGGTGAAATCAGGTTGGCTCACCTTTACCACTGCAATGGTCTTGCTGTATAAATATGTATACAAAGCTTGTTATTGTTATTATGAGTATTACTAATAGTTGAAAAACTTTATTGTTATGAAAATGTTTTTTATTATCATTATTAATACTATTAGTACTAGTTTTATTAGTATTATTACTACTAGACTTTCATTGTTGATAGTAGTTGTAGTATTAGTGGTTGAAATATTATTATTTTGTTAATAGTATTACTATAGTTATTTATCATTATTATTTTTTTAGTATTAATTGTCATTATTAATATGCATTACTACTATTATTTATGATTAATACTATTATTGTTGTTTTATTATTTTGACTGCTATTATTATACTAATATATGTATATATATATATATGTATATAGTACAGACAATGGGTAAGAGAGGCCGACTACAGGTCAAGCGCAGTTTCACTCAAATGTCGGTACACGTGGCGTTTCCAAACATCTGCGCGAATCCGTCCCCCCTTCTTCCTGAAGCTCCTCTTGGCAACAACACATGCGTGTGTCGTTGTTGGAGGAACCTCCTAAATGGTGGTTCTGCGGGTTCTCCTACAATCAAAGCCTCCACTTGTTGTGCCCGAAAGTCGCTTCAAACAGGCACGCTGTCGACAACCAAAGTGGGGCATACACGTTCAGGCATTAGGTCACTTTTCGGGGATGGCGCAACAATTCGAATCAACTACCCAAAAATACCTTTATAGGGCCCACAGGCGTATCGGACAATTAACAAGGGTGCACATCAAAGAGAGCAACAACGTTCTGATTCTGTTTCATGTTCAGTCTAACCTCAATAATACGCCCGGGCGGAATCCCCAACAGCCCCGGAACCCTCCAGAACCCTCCCTTAAAGCCCCAAACCACCCGGTCGCCCAATTTCTGGGCACAGACCCCACAGCTTCCAGCTGACGGGGTAAATTATGGTTCATATGGGTCCCCTTGTTGGGTAGTTTTTAAAGGGAAACCAAAAGGACTGCCAAAGCCATTGTGAGGGAATGACCCCAAAACACCAGCCCCTATAGTTTCCTGAAAACAAATCCCTAAGTTCATTCCCACAACCACTGGGTCATTCCCTACCTATCGCACCAGGAAGCAAGACTCGGTTGCTTTCTGCTCCCCTGCTAAAAGTTTAACTTTCAGTGGCTTAATACGGAAAACCCAACTAAGTTTGCAAAAAGTTGAAGTCCTAACATCCAAGCAAAATGCACCAAAGATACGGCCTTAATAAGGCTTTAGAGGCCCATGATGTGTGTTTCTCAGGTGGCTACAGGGCCATGTACTAGTTGTATGATAGTCCCTAGGTACTTGCAGCAAGCAAAATGCACCCAAAGTGTCTGTTTGCCAATCAACTGCTCTTCCCAAACAGTATGCCGGGTGATAAGTAGCGAGTCTGGAAGAAACAGATACTCGTCCCCTTTTGGTATCCTTGTTAAACCAAACTAAACCTATGAGCAAAATGCACCAAGCAAAAAGTCAAAGCAGCAGCAGGCCGTCGTAGCCCGCTTTTACCACTGCAGAGATGCCGGCGACCTGCGCCGTGCTCCGATCTGCTCTTCTCCTCTGTGCCTGAGCGCCGTTGTTCTCCTCCTATACCCTCCTCAGCTTCCATTTGGTTAAGACCCCCGGATTTTTGTTTGTTTAATATTTCCAGTAGTGATAAATGCCTTCTTAAAACCAACAAGGGAGGATATACAATATTCTTAAGCAAATGGCAGCCAGTGCTTCCAGGGCAACCATCCATGGTAAAACCTAGAGGTTAGAATTCCGAAGGGTTGCCTACTATAGTGCGAACTAGAAGCACTGGGCTGGGGTTCAGGCAAGCCACTATTCAAACATTGGTTGGGTTCATAGAACCACCATTCTTTACTGTTCAGGATTGTCATCATCTGAACTGGGTAGACCATTCCTCACTTCCTGGGTTGGCCAAAAGAAGAAACAAAACACATCGCAACACACAAAACTTGCCGAGAACGGTGACGTGGCCATGGGTCAAAAGCTCGTACCCGCAGTGCACCTACCCCAAAATGGTACCATTGGTTTTGACCCACAGCCACGTAAATTTTCCCCCTGCCGGCCGATCGAGCTGGTTTTATTCTGAGCTCCGTGCCATGGTTTGGACCTGAACCGCCTGGTCCCGGTCCAAGTCTGATGACACCTGAAAACATCCAGGCACCACACCCAAAGCTTGGTATACCCTGGAGTCTCCGTGACCCTTGGTGGTTTTAAACATTTTCTTTTGACCCGTTTTATGGTGAGTTTCGCTTGGTATTGGTGTTTTCTCTTGTTGGTCCATGTTTCGTCACCCCAAAGGCCAATCGGGTAAGTCTTCCAGGAGTCTCCGTCTGACCCTTCAAAAATGGGCCAATGACCCCATTTTGGGTAGTGACCAACCACTTTTTAAGGGTCAGAAGGAGACTCCAGGTACCCATCAACACCCGCCATTCCTTTTGCAACGGAGGGGGATGGGGGGGGGCGGGGCTGGACAAACGTATGTGTATATATATATCCCGAAAGTCGCGCTTTCGCGAAGGCGAAACGCACACCTCGGGTTTTTGACCATCAGCAAAACGCCTTTTCAGTCAGCCCAAGCACCCTGTAAAACACCAAGCAGAGGGTTTCCTTGGGCGTGTTTACTACCATGTTGTGATGTGGGATTCATCAAACAGAGGGTTTCCTTGGACGTGCTTACTACCATGTTGTGATGTGGGGTTCATCAAGCAAAGGGTTCCCTTGGGCGTGCTTACATCAAGCAGAGGGTTTCCTTGGGCGTGTTGACTACCATGTTGTGATGTGGGATTCATCAAACAGGGGGTTGCCTTGGACGTGTTTACTACCATGTTGTGATGTCTGGTTCATCGAACAGATGGTTCCCTTGGGCGTGCTTACATCAAGCAGAGGGTTCCCTTGGGCGTGTTTACTACCATGTGGTGATGTGAGATTCATCAAACAGAGGGTGTTCTTCGACGTGTTTTGTGATGTGGGATTCATCAAACAGAGGGTTCCCTTGGGTGTGCTTGCGTCAAGCAGAGGGTTTCCTTGGGCGTGTTTACTACCGTGTTGAGATGTGGGATTCATCAAACAGAGGGATTCCTTGGACGTGTTTACTACCATGTTGTGATGTGGGGTTCATCAAACAGAGGGTTCCCTTGAGCGTGCTTACATCAACCAGAGGGTTCCCTTGGGCGTGTTTACTACCGTGTTGAGATGTGGGATTCATCAAACAGAGGGATTCCTTGGACGTGTTTACTACCATGTTGTGATGTGGGGTTCATCAAACAGAGGGTTCCCTTGAGCGTGCTTACATCAACCAGAGGGTTCCCTTGGGCGTGTTTACTACCGTGTTGAGATGTGGGATTCATCAAACAGAGGGATTCCTTGGACGTGTTTACTACCATGTTGTGATGTGGGGTTCATCAAACAGAGGGTTCCCTTGGGCGTGCTTACATCAACTAGAGGGTTCCCTTGGGCGTGTTTACTACCATGTTGTGATGTGGGATTCATCAAACAAAGGGTTTCCTTGGACGTGTTTACTACCATGTTGTGCTGTGGGGTTCATCAAACAGAGGGTTCCCTTGGGCGTGCGTACATCAAGCAGAGGGTTCCCTTGAGCGTGTGTACTACCATGTTGTGATGTGGGGTTCCTCAAACAGAGGGTTTCCCTGGACGTGTTTACTAATATGTTGTGATGTGGGGTTCATCAAACAGAGGGTTCCCGTGTTTACTACCATGTTGAGATGTGGGATTCATCAAACAAAGGGTTTCCTTACACGTGTTTACTACCATGTTGTGATGTGGGATTCATCAAGCAGAGGCTTCCCTTGGGCGCGGATACATCAAACAGAGGGTTCCCTTGGGCGTGCTTACACCAAGCAGAGGGTTCCCTTCGTGTGTACTACCAGGTTGTGATGTAAGGTAAGATATTCTGTCCAACGGCACGAAATGAAGTCTAGGTCCTCCAGATTTGAGAGGTGAATTAAGGGTGCCAACTTTTTGCTGTGGTCCTATTTTAGTAGGGGGACCTTCCCAACCAAAAAAGAAAAACGGTAAAAGTTGGCACCAATTGCTGGGGGACCAAATGAAGTCCAAAACAACCAACGCCTGGCGCTCGGATTTCTCAGGCCCCTGGGCTTTTCCGGGGCCCGGGCCCAGCAGTCGCATTCTTGGCCTCGCTGGAACAACGGGGTACGCACAAAGCCCCAGTTCGGTCCCAGAAACAAAAATGAAAATCACAAAAAACCCTGAGGAAATGGGGATCGCTTTTTGAAAAGAACGATGGCTGAAAAGAATGGGGAATCAACCCCTACAAGGTTCGTTCACCTTTTGGGGTCACTCAAACTTGGCCAAGGAAAAACCGAAAGGCCAAAAGGTCGAGTCGCTTTGGGCAACTGAGGGTATGTCTCCAACTAGACGGAGTTAGGCCAGAGGCTACTTTGGTACGCAATTAAAAAAAAAAAGAAAACACGGTTGTGGGGTACGAGTTCAAAAACAGGTAGGTTGTGTTCCCCAAAAAAATATGGGTTATGGGTACCCTTGGTTCTCAATACTTGTGGTTGTGGGTTTGGTTCTTTCGGCAATCCGTCAAACACAGATTCAACTGACCGCAAGTATGAGGTACCAAGGGATCCTTTGCGAAACGTGTGCACTTCCATGCTTGAACAAACACGGTCTCCATGATTGCTCAAAAGAATGTATTCCCTGGGATTCAGTTGCCACCACCAAGTCAATTGGAGTTCATATATCAACTTTCTCATCACCACAATCGGGTCAACCATTATTCTAATCGGGGTTGAACCCCGGGGGTGCTCCCTAGGTTCCCAGAACAAACGAAACCAGCATGTACGAAAATACAAAAAATGACCAGCCCTCATATTACGCTGATAGGTAGCTGTATTGAAGGGAGACAGAAAAGACATGGTCCAAATTTGGTCACCTACCTCCTAAACATGTACTTTGACCCGTTTTGACACTTTTTCAGTAGGTGAGTGTCTAGAAAACCTCTGCGTTTAACACCAGGTAGCACTTACTCGGTTGGGATTGCTGGTTTGGATTTGGATTTGAACTCCTGGCTTTAGAGGATATATGGGAAACCAGGTCCGGATCACCTCTAAACCACCAGAAATTTCAAGTCACTACTCCAAAATGGCTACCGAAGCTAAGAAGTGTGAAAGGCGGAGACTCCAAGAAGTGCCCCTTGTGTAGGGAGAACAGGAATTCACAGCGAAGAACTACCCTAAGAACCGGTCCCTCCAGCACCGAGACTCAAACCAAACCCACTTTGTTCTATAGGGTGAACCGTTCTTTTTCAACATAGGGGGTGTTCCCCTCCAAAAGTGATAAATCCCGCCCGCAAAAGAAAATGCCCAACCAACTCCGTGTCCTTTGATGACCAGTTGGCACCCTCTGGACTCTGGATAGTATATAGTTGCCATGCAAACCCAGTGCTTCCAGTATAGTAGGTAAATTTACCAAGGGACATGTGTAACCTGGAGGTAAGAAAAAAGCCATCGTTGCCTACTATAGTGGTACATGGCAGTGGGTCAAAAATAGGTGCCCATAAATGGAATCCAGGACTAAAACCTGCGGTCCCCTGGTGGTTTAATTTGACCCATGCCCGTATGTAGATGGACTAACCGGCAAAGACATCTGCGACCCCCGACGCAGCTGCGACACTTCCTGCCCCATGGCGTCAGGTGCTGTCGTCAGTGCTCCCGGAGCGGCTTCCCGCGACAAGAGGGTATGGGTGTTTCTTAAAAAATGGCTTGCTTTCCTTCTGTGATGTCCTAATGATGCATAAGTTTTTCTAAAAATGGGGGACACATTTTATAATTGTGTCCTTCTGTGATGTCCCTTTAAAACAAAATACGCCTGGTATCCTCAAGAAGCACACACACACAGTAAAAAAGCCTTACGCAAATAAGGGTTGGCAAGTCAACACCCCAAGCACGGGAGCGAGCGCGATGCGTTGATCTGGAGCTCGATGTGCCAAGAAAAGCCTTGAGTTGAGACTGCCGTTTGCTGGTGCGAAATGTACTGTATGTGGGTGTGTGTGCGCACGTGTGTCTTGAGGGCATCCTCTTTTTTGCGGGGGATTGAACGGGGACATAAAAGGGCGTTGATTGGTCTTCTCTCTCTTGGCTGGAAACTGAACTCGCTGGAGCTTGGCTCAACTCCATGAATTTGCCCGGGGCGTGCAGCTTTTTTGCTTGATCCGAAACAGCTGGATCGGATCGAAGCAACCCACAATTTTCACGAGACGGACTCTGTTTTGAAGCCAGCAGGGTCCAAAAGATCCGCCACATTTCCTGGTGGTTCATTCATCAAAGCTATATATATATATACATAAGCTGTTTGCGGGATATGACACAAACTCCTCTAAACTCCGCCACGAAAAAAAAGAAGAAAGGAAGTGGGTGAGAGCCATCTCTACAGAAACATGAAATTATTGACCTGAACAAGTCAAACCGTCTAAGGGTGTATTTTGAAATCCTCACGGTTTGACACTCCCCTACCGGGACATGAAATAGGTGTTGGTTGACGTTGCTCCTGGACAATCCATGCGACATGAACAGTGCGCTCGCACTTCCTTTGGCTCCGCGAAACATACCACCCACCTACCCCACCCCACCCCACCCCACCAACCCCCACCCCGCCCCATCCCACGTTGTCTCAATTCCCTGCGGGGCAGGGTGGCGGAGGCTGAACCGTTCGCCTGCATGATCATGATTTGATTTGATTGTGTGGCACCCCACAAGCCGACTCTGCGCTTCAAGCCCTTTCTTGGAACTCCAACAGCCTCGATTTTGACGGTGAACGTATATCATTCGGAGGTACCAAAGAGCCCGTCAGTGGTTGTAAAGGAAAACCGAAGGGACAACTACATATTGCTCCTCGTGCTTTTGCAGGGGGGGAGTCGCCGAATAAACATGCACATAGTACAAGGCGCCTGCTTGGCAAAGACGTGACCCTATCCCAAGAGCCGTCCGCAGGTGCCTGGGTATATGACAGTTATCTGTTGATGGGTTCCCCTTATGGTTGGAGCAGGGCCGCAGAAAAACCCAATCGTCCCACTGTTTGCCAGAAAAAGTGCGAATATATTTTTGCCTTCCAATCGAAAGTCCAGAAACTCAGGGAGTGAGGAGGGAAATTGATTGAGTTCCACTTCGGGAGAGAACCCGTCTGGCGCTGCATCTCTTTCTTGTTTCCGAAGTTTGGAGACCCGGACGTGCGTCCGGACCGAGACCCAGCGCCCTCTTAACGCGCCGAGTTCGAGTGAAGTGGTCAAAGGCCGGGCCCAGTTCTGCAAAAAACTGACGCCTCTTGTGTTCCCCAACAAGCTCTGAGCGTGATGTCTGGGCTGCCCTCAGATCCCCTGCTACAAGTTTAACTGGAAACTACCACTAGGACCACGTCCAACTACCACTAAACACCAAACAACTAAACATCTAAGGAACTGGATGGCGGGGAGCGAGATGTGAAAGCAACACGCTGTGAATATTTTTGCGCCCAACACCGTGCCGCTTGTTCTGGGCTCTAGGAAAGGCGCCAGGAAAGACCGACGGAACCCGGGCAAAAAGGATCGGGGAATCGGGACCCGGCCCAGGGTTCCGCAGACCTCCAGTGGCGGTTCGGACAAACTGGTATCATTCTTTCTTGGTAGTGCAAAACAAAAATATAACCAGGAAGACCCAAAATTCATGTCTCACTGCCTGAGTGGATGGCACCGGAGATCTGACCGGTCTGACCGAACCCGGCCTGACGAAGCGATTCGACGATTCCACGCGGCGAGCCGGACTCGAGAGGCGCGCTACCAGCGGAAACGGGGCACCGAAAAGTTGGGCATCGGAACCGCCTTGCGGACGCATAACCTGGGCTCGCGGGAAAAACATGGTCCGCAGAAAACATGCGTGGGAACAAGGAAACCGATGCTCCAGTTTACCATAGTTTACCAGTGTTGTGGTTGAGTATGGTTGGTTTAGCAGCATGCTCATGGAAGCGGGATGCCTTAGGGTTCTTCCTCTTTTGCTTTTGTGTGGGACTAATTATCCAGTTTGAAGTAAGTTGCCATTATTTTGCGGCGCACTTTGCACCAATTGGGCAAGTTGGGATGGGTGAAACTCTGAGCATGGCATGATGACATAACTCTGAGCACAATGAAACTCTAGGACCTAGGGCTAAGATGGGTGTCACTGTTTCTTTGCGGGGAGACGGAGACCCGTTTTGGTTGGCTTCACAATGGGATTCCCTATTTTAATACCTGCGCTTTATGGGATCATACTGTGGCAGGACAAACTCTACGCCAGGCAGCAATTGGATTCAAGCCCAAGCAACTGGTTGTGTGAATATAACCGCCAGTTTCATCTAAATTGGGTCAACCATTTTTAAAATGGGAGGTTGAACCCTAGCCCAGCGCTTGCAGTGACCACTATTGTAGGTAATCAGGGACAGCCACGAGGTAAACTTCCAGTTACCACTAAGTATAGTAGGTAACCAAGGAAAACCATGACCTAGAGGTAAAGGATCCTGAAGGGTTTCCTATAGTGGCGAAACGCCTGGAAGCACTGGTAGGGTTTGGGTAAAAAGACACGGGGATATCCCCAGCGAGGTGCTCGGAGATCGAGTGTTGCTGCAGCTCCGCCGCGTGGATGCCCCCTTTGACCTGACTGAGTCGAACCCCGAGACGGGGGATTCTACTTCGGTCGGCCAAGACTTCCATTTGGTTAAGCCCCCTGGACAAAAAGATATAAACAGCAGTGATAGATTCCCTTTAAGCCCAAAATGAAAACATATTCTTAAGCAAGTGGAACATAGCAAGCTGCGTGTATCCTAAGTTACACCCTGCTTATAAGTCCCCTAGAGTGAACCTTGCTATTGGTGGGTTATAATCCAGGTGGCTCATGACTTAATGATTTGGCCGGACATCAAAGTACTAACTTGGCTCTCAAGATACATGGCCATGGGTCAAAAGCCCGTACCCCCAGAGAACATCCCAATCCCCACTAAAATACGTTCTAAAATGGGTGGTGAATTCACCTACCAACCAAAATGGGATCCCATTTGTTTTGACCCACAGCCACATATAAACATGAATTGCAACAGGGCCCGGACCCTCTGGTAGACATCATTTGGGGCTTCATATCCACCAACTACTTTTGCGGTGGTTCCATGGTCATATATGAGTGTCTTCTTTAAAGGGACCCCAAAATGGTGGCTTTCCCGTTGGTGTCCCTTCAAAAATGGGGACCCACCCCAACAAAAAAAGACAAACCCCTCTGCCGTACTGCACCCGAGAAAAAGTGGAACCTGCTCAAATGGACCGGTAAATGGACGGTTTGGGGCGCCTGTAGCTTATCCACTGGAAACCCAACCGACCAGCGGGTTGCATGGCTAGAGCTAGGCCCAGTTACAGAATGTACCCGCCCACTGACTAACTAACATGGAAGTGCACAGACCCCTGCAGAAAGACTACTTTCCCCTTGCAAAGCGGGTTTGTGCACTTCCGTGTGGGAGGGTAAATTATATTGTTGGCTTCACTTTCAGTTCCTGGCAAAATGTAAAATGGTTCCTCCCTCTATTTCAGGTCGATTTCAAACTGAAAGCAGCACAAAAGGAAACGCAAGGGTGTGAATGCACTAGCCGTCAGAGAGGGCCCTCCAATCCAACGAGGCTGAATCTCCAGAAGGGATTGGCCTTCGGAAGGCCCTTGTGCCTGAATCGATTCTTGTGGCCCGATGCAACGAAAAGGGCTGGGGAAAAAATAATACACTTTGCGACTTCACCAGTTTAGCCAGCGCTCGTGATCGTGGATCTGCAATAATCAAAAACAGGGCTCCACCCAAAATGGCAAAGAATCAACAGGTCGGATAAGATTCAAAACACAAAACCACGGGGGGGTTCTTCCGGCCTCAGTACTTTACCATGATCAACGTCACCCCCAAGTGGTGGGGTAAAGGAAATCACCAACCAATTTCTGACTTTGTTTTTTTCCAGGAACAGTCAACCTAACGACCTCTGTAATACAACCTTCAGTTTTGTTTTTGGCCCGAGGATGGTCATCTAAATTGGGTCCCAAGGCCATTCTTTTCATGGGGTTGAACCCTGGTTGATCAATATTTCTTTTGGCCCCAACACTAAAGGACCTTTTGATCAACCTCCATGTTCCTACAAATCACATCTTGCCACCAAAAGGTCTCGGTTTCAGCTGATGGTCTTGGTACGTCGGAACCAACCTCCAGAACTTTGTTCCTGCGTACCTCAAATTTGCGGATTTGCGTTGAATCTGTCGACACCCAAAACGCCATGAAACTGTGGCCCAGTGCTTCCAGGTACAACTATAGGTAACCACCAAGAAACCAGGAGGATCTAGAGAGAAGGATCCCTGCTTCAAGGAGCGATCGGGTAACTCAGCAGGTAAGCGGTTAGTAAGGGTTATAACCAACTTAGGGGACTTATAACCGTGGCAAGTGGGTTAGAACTATGATTATTACCCACCTAACAGATGTACCCTGCCCCTTTAAGTGGCTACCTATAGTTGGAACTGAAAGGACTGGGATTTACACCGAGAGACCCTCACGGTCGCCGTCGGCCCGTCGGCTCCTTTTCACGGCAAGGGGCGAGCACTGAATCGAAGCCTGCGGCTGCTGCACCGCCCACCTGATCAAGAGCCCAACCTGTCCAAGGGCAACCTGGACACCCCAACCGGGTTTCATAGGCGTATTTTGGTGAGACATTGATAGTTTTCCCGGGTAATTGGGGGGGCATAAAACCAATTAATAAAAGCAGTGGAACCCGTCTATTTGGGGTGTCTTTCTTTTGGGGCACGCCGCAAAATAGTGGCTTTTACCAATTTGGAGCCCATCTAGTTCTGACCAAACTAACCTCGGGACACCTACTGTAGATGGTTGCAAAATCCATTTCGCACCACCGTTCGAAACCCAACGAAACAATTCGATTCCCCAACGCAAAAACCAACGTGTTGGTTTCAACCATGGTTTCAACTGGTGCGAAATGGATTTCGTCCACAGTACGGACCCAGGTGTTCCTTCCTTTGACTCACAAACAGGTGGTAGTTGGCCACACAAAAACCGAGGGTCGACAACCAGCCCAACAACTGCTTTCTCAACCATGGCCAAGATCCCGTTTGCGGCTGGTTGATGGAAGGGGGGGCCAGGTCTGAGAAACGAAAATCACAGAACCAGCTCCCACGAGGTCAAAAACCAGCCAACGACGCCAAGAACTCGGTCCTAAGAACTCTCCTAACAGGTAGTTGGGTGTGTTTTTTGTTTGAGACTACTCCCTGCTTGGTGACTTTAAAGGACAAGCAAAAGGAAAGCCACCCCAACAAATGGGGCAGAGCGGTCTGATTCCTTGTTTCCTTTCAAGGGAATCCATTGGTTACCAAGACCGTTGCTTTATCTGAGAACTTGCAAGAAAAAGGGGGACACTTCCATTTGCTTTAGCCCCATAGAATAAATCAATATTTCCAGTAGTGATAGATTCCCGTTAAATCAACACAGAAAAATCAACAATATGGCCATGGGTCAAAACACCGTACCCCCAGTGAACATCCCAATCCCCACTAAAATAGACTAAAATGCGTGGTGCACCTATCGCAAAATGGTACCATTGGTTTTGAACCAGGCCAGATGTATGTCAGCAAATGGAAGGAAATGCCCCCAGCGCTGGGTCGTCGAGGAAATGAAGTCACATGACAGATATGCGATTGCACAAACTTGTTTAAACGTGTTTCTGTTTAAACCTGTTTGTGTTTAAACGTGTTTAGCCCCGCCCTGGAAGTCAGTCCCAGCGGCATCGTGGACAAGAGAATCGCCGACATGACAGATATGCTTGGCCCCCGCAGTTTTCAGCGCGGCGGCGGCTTCTCGAAAAATATCGCCTCGGATGGACTCCCCAGAAAAGGAACATCGGATGGTCCTCCAGGTTTCAGAGGTTAGAATAAGGGTACCCGATGTTTTTTTCTGTGGTCTATTTTAGTAGGGGAACCCTTCCCCAAAAAACGGGTAATAGGGTACTACTGGGGGACCTAGTCATGGAAGAAATCAAACAAAAACACCAGAAACACCAGAAGGTGTAGAGGAAACTCCTTCGGGGGGGCCCAATTTTGAGGGAACAAAGGCACGAGTTCTTTGCAGCCACGTGAGTGTTCGGCCCAAGTTGGTAAGTTGCGAGCAACTTCAACCTACAACCCGCTTACAAGTCTCCTAAGTAGAGTTTAATCTAGTTTGTGGGTTGTACCCCAGGCCAACCTTTTACCCACTAGGCGTGATAGATATCAGCACATTTGCCAGGGTTGGTATGCAGCCAAAACCCCAAACAGAAGTTATAAGGAAATCCCGCCACGCACGATGCAAACAACAAGCCAAATACACACAAACTAAAGAATAACAATGTACGTAAATAAGTATTTAAGTCCTAAGAAACCACTAAGCAAGTCAGCCAGTCAGCCAGTCAGTCAGTAAGTCGGTCGGTCCGTCGGTCCGTCCGTCCGTCCGTCAATCAGGCAGTGAGCACACAAGCACGAAAGTAAGCAAACAAGTGAGTAATTGACTAACTACCTAGCTGACGAACTGCTAGCAAACTAACCAACAAACTAACTAACTCACCAACTAAACAACCAACTAACTAACTAGCTGACTAACTGATTAGCTAACTAACGAAGTATAACTAGCTAACCGGCTGAGCAACTATCGAACTAACTGACTCGGGTTTGTCTTAGAATAGGGTTTCGCTCGTCCAAGTCTTCAAGTGCTTGGCACCAACTCCAAAAACAAACGGCACAAAAACAATCTGCCAATTTCTGAAATGTTGTCTCCGGACCTAAGTAGAACCAGTACTATTAATTGCGGCGTCTTCCCTGGTCCTGATCACCACGAGGGGCCACACCATATTAACAGCAAGCAGGGATTCTACTTAAATTCTCCGGTAACTTCTTTTTAAAATGGAGCTTCATTTGAGGAGCTGGATTTCAAACCCCCAAACCGCCAGTCCCAACCACCAAATATGAATTCCCTAAAAACAAAATGCACCCACAAAACAACAAATCTGAAAAACTTGATGCTGGAAGAAGGATTACCTGAAACAGATACTGAAAGATGTATTACTTGGTTTTGCCTGCCCACAAAAAAAAAAACAAATCCGATACGTGTTGCTTGGGATTGCCTGAAGAAAAAGAAAGCACCCACACAAAAAACACAGCGCGATGAAAACTTGTTACCAGGGGCAAGCCACGGCCTGGCTTGCCGAAGACGAAGAGGCGACTGCCCCCGAAGGCTGTGTACTTCTTGGCAAAGCAGCCGGGGCAATTGAAGGCCGTGCCATCCGCCCGATGAACGACGCAGTCCTAAGAAGAGCTAAGGTAGGGGTGTTTTTGGGGGATTTCAATTTTTTGAGCCATAAGTACCTAGAGTCTCCATGTTGTGTCTCTCAGAGAGTATTGATTATGAGGGGGGGTCCGCGTGTATTAGGACGAACGGATTATCATGAAAGTCACCTCACAAGTACCTGGAGTCTCCGTCTGACGCTTTAAAAACAGGTCCGTGACTCCATTAATTTAGGTAATGACCCCATTTTTTAAGGGTCATGGAGACTCTAGGTAGATCCACTCGAGTCCACACTGGTAGATGAAAAAACACTACGTAACCACACTGGTATTAAAAAAAAGGACCCTGGGACCCTCTTAAGGGAAACAGCCAGACCCTCTTAAGGGCACCTGTGCAGATATTTCCTAAGAATGCGAATACTGGGACCCTGAAGAAACACAGCAACTGTTCAAGCACTGTCTGCAATCCTGATTTGCTGGACCTGGATGTTTTGTTTTGACACCGTCAGGGTAGTGGGGCCTAAACCAAAAAAGCAGGGTGAAAGAGGACCAACCAACCAGTTGCCCTAGTTGTAACGGCGAGAAAGCCTACTTGAGCTTGGCAACGAACATCCAAGGAAAAAAACACGCTGAGCCTGGGATCTTGAAAAACATATACCTGGAGTCTCCGTCTGATCCTTTAAAAATGGGTCAATGACCCCATTTTGTTTGGGGTAACGACCCATTTTTCACGGGTCGGAAGGAGCCTTCAGGTACCTGTGGGTTCCAGTCCAGGACTGGGAACCAACCGAAAGGCCCTCTTGAAGGGAGCTCGAAAGGCAACCAACCATTTTGGGGGTTTTCCCTGTTTGTGACACATATCAACAGGGATCCGGATGCAATACACACCTGAACGTTGCAACTTGTAAATGGTGGTTTCCAACTTTATCTTGGTGTTGAAACAGCCAGCCATGTTTCAAAGGGTGACGCAAAATGCTTTGATCTTTCAAGGAGCCCTGATCAAACATATAAAGGTACCGTATATATATATAATATTGTATTATATTATTATTACACCCTTGTGATAGCGGTTCAGGGTTCTAGATGTGGTGGACTACGGCTGACACTTGGCCTGCCGAAACGGGGTGCACCACCAACGAAACTTTTGTTTTCGTTCCTGGGAGTCTCCCGAGTCGGACCCGAATGAAAAAATGGTGGGGTCGTTACCCAAAATAAGGGTTGGTCATTGACCCATTTTCAAAGGGTCGTGCAGACTCCGGGTTCAGATGATTCATGTCTAGTTTCGCCACGAATATACAGTAGTTTTGGAGGAATACGCAAATATTCTCAGGACGCAAACACACAAGGCTGACCCGTTGGGGCCCAAAAGGGAAGCCCCGAAGGTCATTTCAGCTTGGTTCGCTCTGGGCAAGTACAGATATGATGTGCTTTTGCTCTCTTTTTTTGAGGGGGGGAACGTCAAAATGGAGGGCTTTCCTACGGTTTTCCTCACATCATTCAGCCACCCTGTACCCCCCAAACTGCAACAAGTTTCGGAGCGTGGGTGTTCGGCAAAGTTAGTAAGTTGTCCGCAACCTATAAGATACAACCCCCACTGAGTCTCCCCAAGTGGGGTTACGCTTGTTAGTTTGGGGAGGGCCTTTCTACTGGGCAACAAACATCTAAGGAAGCTCCCTTGGTACCCCATATTTGGGTCTCGTAACCCACCAAGAACCAGGTCAACTCCACTTAAAGGATTTGTAAGCTGGCTATAACATTGGTTGCGGACAACATACTAACTTGGCCACCCGAGAGGGTCACTTAGGGAGGCGGGCTTCCAACACCCATGGCTTCCGTGGTTTGTCTCACCATGGTATTGCCCACTTTCCTGACGTACCCGATCGCCCCTTTAAGCATATGTTGCCAGGTATGTCCCGTTGTAAGCATCATCTTTGGGAGTTTCTCGTCTCGTGGGGTAAAGTTTTAAGGGGGCCCCTCTAAGTATACGTTTCCAACTTGAAATGCCATCAACAACTATCGAAATGCGAAAAAAACAAACACGATTCCCAGAAAAGTGTGTCTTAGGTTTCCCTCAGGCAAACAAGTTCAAAGCGATAAAGCTCCGCGGTTGCCCGCGCTTGCGACGCTCCTCTCCCGCGTCCTTGAAACGCCGCGGCGCGGGATTCGCGATGATCAGCGGGCGCTGCAGCTCCGCGGCCTGCTGCAAGACGCTGCCGAAGACCTCCCAGCTGGCGTCCGACTCGAAGGTCCTCGAGCCGCGAAAACGGGAGGCTCGAGGCTCGAGGCTGGAGACGTTGAGTGTTCTTTTTTCCCGCCTCCCCCCCCATTAGCACCGTAAGGTGTTTGTTTTGGGGGGGCTGGTGTCTTTTGCGAATTTCCATGAGTGGAACCTTGGTGTTGCTGTTGCTGTTGTTGTTTCTGTGAGGGGGGGGTTTCTTCCAAAATAATATCATACTCAAAGGTGAACCAACTCAGTGAAACGGGCTGGGCACATCTTGTTTTTTGGAGTACCCCACATGTGGCCCAGTGCGTTCAGCTTAGAGTAGAGTAAGCCTTCGGGATTACCTCAAGGTTTTGCATCATGGTTGCCCTGGTCATCTACTACCTGGAGTCTCCTTCTGACCCTTGAAGAATGCTTGGTCATTACCCAACATAATGGGGTTGACCCATTTTTTAAGGGTCAGACTCGGAGACTCCAGGTATAGTGGTGCCTGGAAGCACTGGGTTTGCTACCCTTGCGATGGAGCCCAACACCCATTTTTGTAGGTGTCAAGTGCACCAACATCCAGGACCCAATTTTGAGCCTGGTTTCCTTTTTGCGGGTGGTTTCAAGGAACACCAATCAGAACACCGAAGCCATTTTGAGCCGTAAGAACCATGTAAAACTCACGTCCTGAGTGGGTTGGCCAAAAAGAGTCCTGCTTTTGATTTACCACTATTTGTTTCTTTCGAACAGTTGGAAGTCAGGGAGTAGGTAGAAACAAGACACCGGGCAACTGCCAGGAGCTGCAATGGACCTTCTTTTTTGTCGAAATGACCCATACAAAACTGAAGTAAGGCAGAAAAAAGGAATCGGTCCTTTGGGGGTGCAAGTACCCTCCCACCAACTAGCATGGAAGTGCAAAAAGGCCCTTTCCAAGAGGAAAGTCGTCTTTCTACAGGGGTCTGTCTTCCATGTTAGCTGGTGGCAGGGGGTAGCAACAAGGTACCAGGCAGCTGGTGGCAACCGTTGAAGTCGAGTGCGTCGAGACTCGAGCGCTGCTCGCTCAGCGTGCCCTTATTGCAGACCTGCACCCCGTTGGCGAGGATGAAATCGGCGTCCTGGACGCGCGGGCGTTAACGGCGCCGCAAAAAGGGCTCGGGCCGCACGGAAGAAGCAACCAGCCACCTACAACGAGGGTACCCCTCACCAAACAGACACCCTGTGGGCGTGTAGAAACGGGGGTTGGAGTTTGGACGCCGTGGCTGGCTTCCTTTGGATCCCGGGATTCAGTTGCCGGCCAGCATGAAAAGAAGGGTTAGGATCACAAGGGGCTAATCGAAAGATTCGCCATGCCTACTTTGACGTTCGGCTAAGTTAGTAACTCACAAATTTGTCCAAGGAACGCCCACAAACAGAGGTGTCCTTTTGAGGCTAGTACCGTTCAAAATAGTGGGAACTGTTTAGTTGGATTTATTCCATTTCCAGGCCCCTCTACATATTTCCAAAAGGCCACCTATGTTCGCAGGATGTGCTGGCCAAAAACAGGGGCCAACACGCTGTACCAAGGAGGGGCCCCTTCTTGTCTAGAGGTCCGGCAAGATAGAAAGTTGTATCCTCGCGCTTCCTTTGAACACTGACCTCGCAAAGCGCATCACCGCAAAACACAGCACCGGCGGTGGACATATCTGTGCTGAAAAGTGAGATTCAAACCCATCTCTGTGAGCTGTCAACATCGGAGGCTACTCTGCTGGACATAGGGCTCGAATTCAAGGTGCTCTGGATCAGATTGAGGGAGTCCCCCTTCTCAAGCATTGTGGTGTTGATTGTGTTTCTCCGGGTGACCCTTTTCAGGGTTGATTTAAAGGGGGCCCAAATGAGAAAAAGAAGGCACCCCCATGTCCCCTGGTTGATTTTGATGAGCCCCTTTAAGTAGTAACCTCAGTTATACCGCAGTTCTAAGCCCCCCAATTTAAATTAACCTTGTCATTCCTGGGTTATAACCCAGGGAGACGATCTTAGGTGGGTAATCAGGCTTAACCACGTGGTGTGGGCTCACCCGATGGCTTCACTTAGATCTTGGGGTCAGCGAGTCCTGCGCTGAGGCGACCAACTCGAGGCCCATGATCCTCAACTCCTGGCCCCGACCGCCGCCGGACTCGGCAACTGGAAAAGCCGCATGGCCATGGGTCCAAATTTCGTAACTTCAGTGAACATGTTAACTGTTTTTTTTCACTAAACTAGACGAGAATGGGTGGTGAGTTCACCTACCCCAAAATGGTACCATATGGGTCACTACATGGGTCGAAATCCCAAGCCCGGTTAGCCCCCAGTGAACATCCGATTCAATCCAACCACTAAAATAGGAAGCCTAAAATGGGTGGTGAACTCACCAACCAACCAAAAAGGGATCAAATTAGACCAAAATGGGTGGTGAATTCACCTACCAACCAAAATGGGATCCTATTGGTTTTGACAACCACAGCCATATGGGTCCCTCAATGTTTTGAGGGCACCCTGTTTTGGGGTGGTTCGAAAGGAATAACGCAAGGAAAAACAAAATCCATGTTGCGACGGAAAAAAGGGAATCACGCCCATATGGGTGTTTCTCAAAATATGAAAGCAAACAAATAGGTGGTTTCTGTTGGTGTCCCTTCAAATACCAACCAAAAGGGGTCCACAAATTTACAGCACAGCCATGTGATAGCCATGTGTTGGGACAATATCCCCATCGAGGCGTTAGGGTCCAGGCAGCACAGGAATCTTCTTGCTTCCATTTGGTTAAGACACGTGGAAGTAGTGATAAAATCATTAAAACCAAACAAGGGGAAAAAAACATATAAAATAAAGAAAGAAACAAAACAGCAAATTGAAGCGTGGGAGCTCCCTTTTTGGGGAGGGTTTCCCATGTGAATGTTCAATTCGAAGCATCCGCTTTGAAGCGGTCGCTGATCGAACGCCCTTGGTTGATACACAAGAACTCCATGATTTCTTTGGTGCCAACGGGGTTCGCAAACATCCACAGTATCTGGGTGAATTATAATACTTCACCAACCTGAAAAAAGGTGCTTGGGGGGCTATTCCCAACATAAACCCCCATTTGGGGTGAGGACTGTGAGGTCGTCATAATTCACCCAGACAGTATGGAACATGACCCCTTTTGCGACATCCTGGGATTCGGCCAGGCCGCCACCATTGAAAATCAATGAGCGGGGGGGTCATTTTCAATCACCATTCTTTCCCGTGGAGTAACTCATCATCTAAATTGAGCCCCTCTGAACAGAACACAGATTTCCAATAGTGATGTATTCCCTTTAAAAACCAACAGCAAAACATAACATATTCTTAAGCAAAGGGAAGGTTAAGTGGCTGCCACACAATGGAATGGCTTCTCTTTTAGGACCCCTGATTTTGTCAAGTCCATTTGCGGTCAACACTTTCTGTGGGTCACGGCTCCCTGAGTAGGATCCCTTATACTTAATACTTTGCTGTCTATTCTGCCAAGCTGGTCTTTTAAACGGCTAAGAAAATGAGTGAAAATGTGATAACCTACCAATAAGAGAGTCCTTTTAGAGGGGCTTATAGCTCCAAGTCTAGGTCCTCCAGTAGAGGTTGGTTAGAATAAGGGTACCCTTCTTTCTAAAGTCTATTTTAGTGAGGATTCCTCCCCCAAGACAGGGTAAAAGGGCACTACTGGGGCGCCTAGAGTTTAACTTTCAGTGGGTTAAATGGAAACTACCACTAAAACACTAAAAAATGCGAAAAAGCTAAGGAACCGCTAAGGGCTGGGCTTGCCACCAAGTAATTTGGCCAAACCTCCAAGTAGTAAGGGTTCCTGACCACCAACTCGAACCCAACTCGACCCGACTTCGCGCGAGTGGTTCGCCTCTGGCGACCAAGTGCCTCGCTGTAGATGATCCTGACGAAAGGTTCTCTGAAATGGAGGATGTCTCCAAATAGCTTAGTTGCTGTTGACCCCCCTGAGAAAAATGATTAACTAATTCGGGTTTGGTGGAAGACCCCTTGATTTCCCAAAAAGTGAAAGTCTAAAGATCCAACCCAATAGCAGTCAAGATAGATTCCCCCACCAATTAGCCTGAAACCTGACTGTTCCGGGGTCCCTTTAACAGGAAAACGGTCCAAACCAGGACCCCCCCCCAACGTCAGGTTCCATGGGAGGGTAATGACCCTTCATTGAACAAACGAAATCAACAGCCTGATGCTTTTTTGGCGATGGTATCCAGTGCCGTTTGCTGCGTGTTGTTGTTGGTTTCTTTACTTAAGGGGCAGGGTACTTAGTAAGTGGGCAATAACCATGGCGATAACCCACGTACTACGGTTCTGAGTCTCCATTCAGTGGGTTGTCTCACCAGGCTTACTAACCTCTTACAAAGCCCCTGGACCTGAAAGGATTGGCACGGATGTACTGGGTGCTGCTTCTGAAGCTTTCCATGTGCTTTGGGCAAGCAAGTGAGTACTGGGCTTCTGGTGCTTCCTTACACTTCATGCCAAAGGAACACACCGGCAACTGGCCATTCCGCTTTGCCTGGCGCTACCACTAAGGTGTCTCTTTCAAAGTAAACTCAAAAAACAAGAGGCCGTCCCCCCCCAAAAAAAAAGAAAAAACTTGAAGGATGTATTGGGGCCAGCTTAAAAACCACCAGGTGAATCGATGCTCTTGCTGTTAGCAAATGATTCCTGGACTGACCTGGACCCTCAAGCTTCCCTTCGAAATTGACATCTTCCCCCAACAATGAGCAATACGTCTACCTTTAAACCCCTCACCCTAAGGGAAACTCGCAAAAACAACAAGGGTCTCCTTTGAGCAACCCCACCCCCATCTCCCCAAAATTCCCCGCCCCCCTTCTAACCACGGCCGCCCAAAACTGCCAAAGCCCCCCGTGCCTCGTGGGAGATAAAGAGGCACCGCAGTCGCGCCGGCGCAGCTTCGGAGATAAGGAGCTGCAGATGTCGCTTCGCCAGGTCCCCGGAGGTCACGAAGGACACAAAGTCCTACCCCCGCGCGCGCAACGCGAGCGAGGCGAATCGGGAGAAGCGAGGGAGAAGCGAGGACATGGCGAGCTTGGGGACGTTGGTTTTGTTTCGCGTTTTGTTTTTTGGCGTTGGTACCCCTTTTTGGTGGTGTTAAAGGGAAACCAAAACAAAGGACACAAAGTCCTCCGTGCGAATCGTCGAGCTGGGCGAGTCCGACGCAACGCACGCCCTCCTACGATCGGTGCGAAAAGAACGGTTTTGGGATTCACGCAAAAAAAGAGAAGAACCGCCCAGGAGGCTCCCTCTGCTTAGGTGCCCCCGTTTCTTGAGGGACATCCTAGGGTTCTTGAACCCATTCCCAATGAAAGAATAGCACTTAGATGATGACAGTCCTGAACGGAAAACAAGAATGGTGACTATATTGACCCAACCACTGTTTAGTGGTGCCAACTGCCTGAATCCCAGGATCACCGCAAAGGCCCTGGACCCTCAAACTCTCAAATGACCCTGAGAAGTCTGATGCTATAAGGGCCAACACGGGGGTTGCGGGGCACTTTAAAACCAAGTCTAGTCATGATTGTAGGAGCAAACGATTGGCAATTATTTACCAACCCCCTTAGATTCTGCCTCCAAGCTTTCTACCGAGGGGTAGTCATAAAAAAGCCTGCCTTTGACGAAGCCGGCGAAGCCGTCGTCTCAGTTGGTCCATCGATGTTTATGGGCCAGGGTTGTCCATGTGGGACCTTTCTCGAAGAATTTGGGTGTGATTTTCAGGGTGCTCCTTGTTGGTTAGCTTTAAAAGGAGAAGGGACACCACAATTCTGGGGGGTGACCTTAAAAAAATAAATCCGTCTGTGAACTTATGACTCAGTCGGTGTCACTTGGTACATCCGACCTCTCGGGGCGCGAGAACTGATTGGGGACAAGACTTCTCCGATTGGCCTTTGGGGTGACACATGGACCAGAAAGAGAAAACACCCAGCCTGCCAAGTGAAACTCACCATGAAACGGTTCAAAAGCAAATGAAAGAAATCACCAAGCGGAAAAATCAAATAACAAAATGAACCCAAGCAGCAAGTGTTCGTCGGTAGGGACCCTTTTCCCTGAGGTGTTGTAACATTCACCCGGCTTTCACTCTATAGCCACTATACAACGGCTTCTACTCTATATACACCACAGAAAACAAGGGGTTTGTGGCTTGGGGGTACTGGAAACCGTCTTAGAAACAAGGGAAATACATGGTCACCTTCCCTCGCCCATCCCCCAAAAACAACAACACAGAAAACAACACATTGAAGACCTTGTTGGGATGGTCATTGAGGCCTGATCGGAATTACCACAGCTATGGAGTATGGGGACCCTCAGGGTACTATACAGGTAAATGGATCTTACCATTCATCCATTGGTTCTCTTGGTTCTTGGTGGTCCACTTTCCATCTCTTGTTGGTTCTCTTGGTTTTCTTTTGCCATCCTCTGACCTTGAGTTTCTGGAAAGAAGGAATCCTGGGCTCAAAGCCATGGACAACAACCTGCATTGTTTGTTACAATGTGCATATATCCACAAACACAAATGAGCCGTGCCAAATACTCTTGTGTAAAAAGCGGTCCTATAAACTTGCTTTCGCGGACCCTTTCGCGATGCTTTCGCGAACCCATGTTTTGCCTTCGCGGGCTTTGGTTTCTTTAGAATTGCTTTCGCGACGCTTTCGCGGCGGAGCGTCACACAGCATGCAGGCTTTCGCGGGTCTTTCGCGGCGGGACCTTCTTTGGTTACTTTCGCGATAAGCTTTCGCAAGCTTTCGCGGCCTGCGTTTTGGCTTTCGCGGGGATTCTATAGGACACCCCCCTTTTTTACTTTGTATTGTCAGGGTTTCTGGCGCTGCTCAAATGGATGTGGTGTTGTCAGTGGACCCACTCAAATTGTGGTTTGCCTGGTTGTTTCCCCTGAACACCACAGAACAGGGGTACCCTCAAAAAGAAGACACCCCCAGACCCATATATATTATATATATGTTACAACATGTATCTATAAATGTGTATATATATATATATATACATATATACATACATATTTAGGGCATACTGTGTGGGTCCCCTTCGAAAAGGAGGGGGGTGGAAGGGGTACCAAGAGCCCCTCTTGGGCTATATGACGCTCTGCCCTCTCTCCCGAGCGCGATGACCTTCCATTTGGCTAAGACCCCCGGAAAAAAATAAATAAAAAATCCAGTAATGATAGATTCCCTTTTAAACCAACAGGGGGAAACAAAAAAACAAAAACAAAGCAAATGGAAGTGAGGCTCTGCCCGAGTCGTGTCGGTCCTCGGGTCTGAGGCCTAAGTCCTCCACCCGGCTCTGGGCCTTCTGCGCCTCGCAGGGGGAGTTGGAGACGATGGCCAGCGCCACCTAGCACACGAAGTCAAACGAAGAAAGCGGCTTGGAAGTGCTCTCCGGCCACGGACAAGACCAGCCCCCCGCAAAAAAACAACACGCTTTGGGGCCATGATTGCGATGATTTTGGGTACTGACCAACCATTTTTTAATAGTCATGGCGACTCCAGGAGGAGCTTTGTGGGAGCTGTTCGAATTCCGATCCCCTGCAAAAAAACAGTTGAACTCCACTGGCACTGCTCCACTGCTGCGAATGACGGCGACATGGCCGTTTTCGGCGCGGGGGCCTGAAGTCTCCACATGCCTACGAGGCTCCCAACCACCGGGGTGTGTAACGGGGCCGGGTCGAAGCCATTGAAAGCCGAAGCCGATCGGAGCCTCTGGGTAGAAAGAAAACAAAAACACACCTGCCCCAATTCCCATCAAAGGAATGATAAGGACCGAATTTAGATGAAGGGTGGTCTAAATCCCAGGCTGAGCCTGGTGGGAGCAAGAAATGAACGGATAGGCTTCGCCTTCGGGAGTCGAGCGAGTTTTCCACCACCACCACCACCACCTTGAGGGGGAGGGGGCGGAAATGGAACCAATGCAGATCTCAGGTGTCGAAATCCTCCCCCCAATTCCACTTGCTTGACGTTCGTTGGGTTTGGGGAGCAAAAAATCATTTTTTTGCAGCTAAGTGGGTTTGGATTTCAACCACTAAACCACCATAAGCAAAAATGTAAAAAATGTTTCCCAACGACAAGCATGTAAAGGATCCGGTGGGGATACGGCACATTGCCCCCAACATGGCTGGTGAGTGAGTCTCACACACCGCCGAAAAACCGAGAAAAGGAAACATGACGCCACGAGAAAACCGGCGAGTGGTTGGCTGGCCTTCCGTTGCCGGAGCTCGGCTAAACAGTCCAAGGTGTCGGGCAAGAGCCGCTTTCCATCGTGAAGAACCTGAGGCACAGCTTTGCTCAGTTTCCCAATTCCTGGGTATGGATCAAAATCAAGCCACCCGCAGATTCAAGCCATTTTCGGTACCTATTTCTGACCCACAGCCACCTCTGGGTTGCCATGACTGAGCATGGCCCAACACAGGCAAACACCCAAAGGTGAAGGGTTTGTTTCGCTGTCAAGATCAAACCACGGTTCCCCTTTTGGGGCAATCAGGCACCCAATCGGTGCAAATAACAACCAGAATCCTCAAGCGACGGTCTTTTGGACAGTACTTAGTAGATTAAGGGCTTTAGGGTAAATGAATAGCTTAACACCCGTGTTGTGCTAAGTTACTTCATGTTTCGGTATGTCTCAATGAATCACATCTAATCTGCTTGCACGCAAGGCTGTGCCTTCCCAATGCATAGCCTGCAACGCTCTTAAATTGGTAGTTTCCATCGCCACATGCACGCGGATGTAAGCAACGATGTAGTTGCACCTGGCAATGCATGTCTAATACGCGGTGTGATTGCCAACTAATAGCCAAACTCCTGTCTGATACGCGGTGTGACTGGATCCAACACACAAGATGGGGGTACCCTTGGTGCTCTGCATGAGCAGCTCCTGAGTCGCATGGAACATGTCGCTTACAAGTTTCAACGCACTCATGCCAAGCAGAAACCAACAGCCATCGACGCATGCTCTCACCATGCCAAGGGGCGCCGTATTGATCAAGCCTTGGCTGGACAGAGACAACAGCATACCAGCATACCAGCATACTATTGTGAACGAGTCTCACGCGATACCACAACTCCCCAACTGGATGGTCCCTGGGATTTAGTTGCTACCACTAAACAAACGGGGGATAGCATAACCATTGCTTACCGTTCAGGATTATCATCTAAAATGGGTCCTCGCCATTATTTTAATGCGCATCGGAACCCTAGGGAAGGAGATCACACTTTGAATTACTTCTTTCGTTCTAGGCATGTAAAGACTTCTGTGCCTGAATGGCCGTGTTGCTGCTACTGCCGAATTGGATGCGACAGTGCCCAAGCCAATTTAACCACCCATTGAGGCTTACCTGAAACAAACAGGGCACACACAAGCACTGGGAATTAGGGCGCCAGCAACCTGGTGAAATCAGGTTGGCTCACCTTTACCACTGCAATGGTCTTGCTGTATAAATATGTATACAAAGCTTGTTATTGTTATTATGAGTATTACTAATAGTTGAAAAACTTTATTGTTATGAAAATGTTTTTTATTATCATTATTAATACTATTAGTACTAGTTTTATTAGTATTATTACTACTAGACTTTCATTGTTGATAGTAGTTGTAGTATTAGTGGTTGAAATATTATTATTTTGTTAATAGTATTACTATAGTTATTTATCATTATTATTTTTTTAGTATTAATTGTCATTATTAATATGCATTACTACTATTATTTATGATTAATACTATTATTGTTGTTTTATTATTTTGACTGCTATTATTATACTAATATATGTATATATATATATATGTATATAGTACAGACAATGGGTAAGAGAGGCCGACTACAGGTCAAGCGCAGTTTCACTCAAATGTCGGTACACGTGGCGTTTCCAAACATCTGCGCGAATCCGTCCCCCCTTCTTCCTGAAGCTCCTCTTGGCAACAACACATGCGTGTGTCGTTGTTGGAGGAACCTCCTAAATGGTGGTTCTGCGGGTTCTCCTACAATCAAAGCCTCCACTTGTTGTGCCCGAAAGTCGCTTCAAACAGGCACGCTGTCGACAACCAAAGTGGGGCATACACGTTCAGGCATTAGGTCACTTTTCGGGGATGGCGCAACAATTCGAATCAACTACCCAAAAATACCTTTATAGGGCCCACAGGCGTATCGGACAATTAACAAGGGTGCACATCAAAGAGAGCAACAACGTTCTGATTCTGTTTCATGTTCAGTCTAACCTCAATAATACGCCCGGGCGGAATCCCCAACAGCCCCGGAACCCTCCAGAACCCTCCCTTAAAGCCCCAAACCACCCGGTCGCCCAATTTCTGGGCACAGACCCCACAGCTTCCAGCTGACGGGGTAAATTATGGTTCATATGGGTCCCCTTGTTGGGTAGTTTTTAAAGGGAAACCAAAAGGACTGCCAAAGCCATTGTGAGGGAATGACCCCAAAACACCAGCCCCTATAGTTTCCTGAAAACAAATCCCTAAGTTCATTCCCACAACCACTGGGTCATTCCCTACCTATCGCACCAGGAAGCAAGACTCGGTTGCTTTCTGCTCCCCTGCTAAAAGTTTAACTTTCAGTGGCTTAATACGGAAAACCCAACTAAGTTTGCAAAAAGTTGAAGTCCTAACATCCAAGCAAAATGCACCAAAGATACGGCCTTAATAAGGCTTTAGAGGCCCATGATGTGTGTTTCTCAGGTGGCTACAGGGCCATGTACTAGTTGTATGATAGTCCCTAGGTACTTGCAGCAAGCAAAATGCACCCAAAGTGTCTGTTTGCCAATCAACTGCTCTTCCCAAACAGTATGCCGGGTGATAAGTAGCGAGTCTGGAAGAAACAGATACTCGTCCCCTTTTGGTATCCTTGTTAAACCAAACTAAACCTATGAGCAAAATGCACCAAGCAAAAAGTCAAAGCAGCAGCAGGCCGTCGTAGCCCGCTTTTACCACTGCAGAGATGCCGGCGACCTGCGCCGTGCTCCGATCTGCTCTTCTCCTCTGTGCCTGAGCGCCGTTGTTCTCCTCCTATACCCTCCTCAGCTTCCATTTGGTTAAGACCCCCGGATTTTTGTTTGTTTAATATTTCCAGTAGTGATAAATGCCTTCTTAAAACCAACAAGGGAGGATATACAATATTCTTAAGCAAATGGCAGCCAGTGCTTCCAGGGCAACCATCCATGGTAAAACCTAGAGGTTAGAATTCCGAAGGGTTGCCTACTATAGTGCGAACTAGAAGCACTGGGCTGGGGTTCAGGCAAGCCACTATTCAAACATTGGTTGGGTTCATAGAACCACCATTCTTTACTGTTCAGGATTGTCATCATCTGAACTGGGTAGACCATTCCTCACTTCCTGGGTTGGCCAAAAGAAGAAACAAAACACATCGCAACACACAAAACTTGCCGAGAACGGTGACGTGGCCATGGGTCAAAAGCTCGTACCCGCAGTGCACCTACCCCAAAATGGTACCATTGGTTTTGACCCACAGCCACGTAAATTTTCCCCCTGCCGGCCGATCGAGCTGGTTTTATTCTGAGCTCCGTGCCATGGTTTGGACCTGAACCGCCTGGTCCCGGTCCAAGTCTGATGACACCTGAAAACATCCAGGCACCACACCCAAAGCTTGGTATACCCTGGAGTCTCCGTGACCCTTGGTGGTTTTAAACATTTTCTTTTGACCCGTTTTATGGTGAGTTTCGCTTGGTATTGGTGTTTTCTCTTGTTGGTCCATGTTTCGTCACCCCAAAGGCCAATCGGGTAAGTCTTCCAGGAGTCTCCGTCTGACCCTTCAAAAATGGGCCAATGACCCCATTTTGGGTAGTGACCAACCACTTTTTAAGGGTCAGAAGGAGACTCCAGGTACCCATCAACACCCGCCATTCCTTTTGCAACGGAGGGGGATGGGGGGGGGCGGGGCTGGACAAACGTATGTATATATATATATATCCCGAAAGTCGCGCTTTCGCGAAGGCGAAACGCACACCTCGGGTTTTTGACCATCAGCAAAACGCCTTTTCAGTCAGCCCAAGCACCCTGTAAAACACCAAGCAGAGGGTTTCCTTGGGCGTGTTTACTACCATGTTGTGATGTGGGATTCATCAAACAGAGGGTTTCCTTGGACGTGCTTACTACCATGTTGTGATGTGGGGTTCATCAAGCAAAGGGTTCCCTTGGGCGTGCTTACATCAAGCAGAGGGTTTCCTTGGGCGTGTTGTGTTGTGATGTGGGATTCATCAAACAGAGGGGTTCCTTGGACGTGTTTACTACCATGTTGTGATGTGGTGGTTCATCAAACAGAGGGTTCCCTTGAGCGTGCTTACATCAACCAGAGGGTTCCCTTGGGCGTGTTTACTACCGTGTTGAGATGTGGGATTCATCAAACAGAGGGATTCCTTGGACGTGTTTACTACCATGTTGTGATGTGGGGTTCATCAAACAGAGGGTTCCCTTGAGCGTGCTTACATCAACCAGAGGGTTCCCTTGGGCGTGTTTACTACCGTGTTGAGATGTGGGATTCATCAAACAGAGGGATTCCTTGGACGTGTTTACTACCATGTTGTGATGTGGGGTTCATCAAACAGAGGGTTCCCTTGAGCGTGCTTACATCAACCAGAGGGTTCCCTTGGGCGTGTTTACTACCGTGTTGAGATGTGGGATTCATCAAACAGAGGGATTCCTTGGACGTGTTTACTACCATGTTGTGATGTGGGGTTCATCAAACAGAGGGTTCCCTTGGGCGTGCTTACATCAACTAGAGGGTTCCCTTGGGCGTGTTTACTACCATGTTGTGATGTGGGATTCATCAAACAAAGGGTTTCCTTGGACGTGTTTACTACCATGTTGTGCTGTGGGGTTCATCAAACAGAGGGTTCCCTTGGGCGTGCGTACATCAAGCAGAGGGTTCCCTTGAGCGTGTGTACTACCATGTTGTGATGTGGGGTTCCTCAAACAGAGGGTTTCCCTGGACGTGTTTACTAATATGTTGTGATGTGGGGTTCATCAAACAGAGGGTTCCCGTGTTTACTACCATGTTGAGATGTGGGATTCATCAAACAAAGGGTTTCCTTACACGTGTTTACTACCATGTTGTGATGTGGGATTCATCAAGCAGAGGCTTCCCTTGGGCGCGGATACATCAAACAGAGGGTTCCCTTGGGCGTGCTTACACCAAGCAGAGGGTTCCCTTCGTGTGTACTACCAGGTTGTGATGTAAGGTAAGATATTCTGTCCAACGGCACGAAATGAAGTCTAGGTCCTCCAGATTTGAGAGGTGAATTAAGGGTGCCAACTTTTTGCTGTGGTCCTATTTTAGTAGGGGGACCTTCCCAACCAAAAAAGAAAAACGGTAAAAGTTGGCACCAATTGCTGGGGGACCAAATGAAGTCCAAAACAACCAACGCCTGGCGCTCGGATTTCTCAGGCCCCTGGGCTTTTCCGGGGCCCGGGCCCAGCAGTCGCATTCTTGGCCTCGCTGGAACAACGGGGTACGCACAAAGCCCCAGTTCGGTCCCAGAAACAAAAATGAAAATCACAAAAAACCCTGAGGAAATGGGGATCGCTTTTTGAAAAGAACGATGGCTGAAAAGAATGGGGAATCAACCCCTACAAGGTTCGTTCACCTTTTGGGGTCACTCAAACTTGGCCAAGGAAAAACCGAAAGGCCAAAAGGTCGAGTCGCTTTGGGCAACTGAGGGTATGTCTCCAACTAGACGGAGTTAGGCCAGAGGCTACTTTGGTACGCAATTAAAAAAAAAAGAAAACACGGTTGTGGGGTACGAGTTCAAAAACAGGTAGGTTGTGTTCCCCAAAAAAATATGGGTTATGGGTACCCTTGGTTCTCAATACTTGTGGTTGTGGGTTTGGTTCTTTCGGCAATCCGTCAAACACAGATTCAACTGACCGCAAGTATGAGGTACCAAGGGATCCTTTGCGAAACGTGTGCACTTCCATGCTTGAACAAACACGGTCTCCATGATTGCTCAAAAGAATGTATTCCCTGGGATTCAGTTGCCACCACCAAGTCAATTGGAGTTCATATATCAACTTTCTCATCACCACAATCGGGTCAACCATTATTCTAATCGGGGTTGAACCCCGGGGGTGCTCCCTAGGTTCCCAGAACAAACGAAACCAGCATGTACGAAAATACAAAAAATGACCAGCCCTCATATTACGCTGATAGGTAGCTGTATTGAAGGGAGACAGAAAAGACATGGTCCAAATTTGGTCACCTACCTCCTAAACATGTACTTTGACCCGTTTTGACACTTTTTCAGTAGGTGAGTGTCTAGAAAACCTCTGCGTTTAACACCAGGTAGCACTTACTCGGTTGGGATTGCTGGTTTGGATTTGGATTTGAACTCCTGGCTTTAGAGGATATATGGGAAACCAGGTCCGGATCACCTCTAAACCACCAGAAATTTCAAGTCACTACTCCAAAATGGCTACCGAAGCTAAGAAGTGTGAAAGGCGGAGACTCCAAGAAGTGCCCCTTGTGTAGGGAGAACAGGAATTCACAGCGAAGAACTACCCTAAGAACCGGTCCCTCCAGCACCGAGACTCAAACCAAACCCACTTTGTTCTATAGGGTGAACCGTTCTTTTTCAACATAGGGGGTGTTCCCCTCCAAAAGTGATAAATCCCGCCCGCAAAAGAAAATGCCCAACCAACTCCGTGTCCTTTGATGACCAGTTGGCACCCTCTGGACTCTGGATAGTATATAGTTGCCATGCAAACCCAGTGCTTCCAGTATAGTAGGTAAATTTACCAAGGGACATGTGTAACCTGGAGGTAAGAAAAAAGCCATCGTTGCCTACTATAGTGGTACATGGCAGTGGGTCAAAAATAGGTGCCCATAAATGGAATCCAGGACTAAAACCTGCGGTCCCCTGGTGGTTTAATTTGACCCATGCCCGTATGTAGATGGACTAACCGGCAAAGACATCTGCGACCCCCGACGCAGCTGCGACACTTCCTGCCCCATGGCGTCAGGTGCTGTCGTCAGTGCTCCCGGAGCGGCTTCCCGCGACAAGAGGGTATGGGTGTTTCTTAAAAAATGGCTTGCTTTCCTTCTGTGATGTCCTAATGATGCATAAGTTTTTCTAAAAATGGGGGACACATTTTATAATTGTGTCCTTCTGTGATGTCCCTTTAAAACAAAATACGCCTGGTATCCTCAAGAAGCACACACACACAGTAAAAAAGCCTTACGCAAATAAGGGTTGGCAAGTCAACACCCCAAGCACGGGAGCGAGCGCGATGCGTTGATCTGGAGCTCGATGTGCCAAGAAAAGCCTTGAGTTGAGACTGCCGTTTGCTGGTGCGAAATGTACTGTATGTGGGTGTGTGTGCGCACGTGTGTCTTGAGGGCATCCTCTTTTTTGCGGGGGATTGAACGGGGACATAAAAGGGCGTTGATTGGTCTTCTCTCTCTTGGCTGGAAACTGAACTCGCTGGAGCTTGGCTCAACTCCATGAATTTGCCCGGGGCGTGCAGCTTTTTTGCTTGATCCGAAACAGCTGGATCGGATCGAAGCAACCCACAATTTTCACGAGACGGACTCTGTTTTGAAGCCAGCAGGGTCCAAAAGATCCGCCACATTTCCTGGTGGTTCATTCATCAAAGCTATATATATATATACATAAGCTGTTTGCGGGATATGACACAAACTCCTCTAAACTCCGCCACGAAAAAAAAGAAGAAAGGAAGTGGGTGAGAGCCATCTCTACAGAAACATGAAATTATTGACCTGAACAAGTCAAACCGTCTAAGGGTGTATTTTGAAATCCTCACGGTTTGACACTCCCCTACCGGGACATGAAATAGGTGTTGGTTGACGTTGCTCCTGGACAATCCATGCGACATGAACAGTGCGCTCGCACTTCCTTTGGCTCCGCGAAACATACCACCCACCTACCCCACCCCACCCCACCCCACCAACCCCCACCCCGCCCCATCCCACGTTGTCTCAATTCCCTGCGGGGCAGGGTGGCGGAGGCTGAACCGTTCGCCTGCATGATCATGATTTGATTTGATTGTGTGGCACCCCACAAGCCGACTCTGCGCTTCAAGCCCTTTCTTGGAACTCCAACAGCCTCGATTTTGACGGTGAACGTATATCATTCGGAGGTACCAAAGAGCCCGTCAGTGGTTGTAAAGGAAAACCGAAGGGACAACTACATATTGCTCCTCGTGCTTTTGCAGGGGGGGAGTCGCCGAATAAACATGCACATAGTACAAGGCGCCTGCTTGGCAAAGACGTGACCCTATCCCAAGAGCCGTCCGCAGGTGCCTGGGTATATGACAGTTATCTGTTGATGGGTTCCCCTTATGGTTGGAGCAGGGCCGCAGAAAAACCCAATCGTCCCACTGTTTGCCAGAAAAAGTGCGAATATATTTTTGCCTTCCAATCGAAAGTCCAGAAACTCAGGGAGTGAGGAGGGAAATTGATTGAGTTCCACTTCGGGAGAGAACCCGTCTGGCGCTGCATCTCTTTCTTGTTTCCGAAGTTTGGAGACCCGGACGTGCGTCCGGACCGAGACCCAGCGCCCTCTTAACGCGCCGAGTTCGAGTGAAGTGGTCAAAGGCCGGGCCCAGTTCTGCAAAAAACTGACGCCTCTTGTGTTCCCCAACAAGCTCTGAGCGTGATGTCTGGGCTGCCCTCAGATCCCCTGCTACAAGTTTAACTGGAAACTACCACTAGGACCACGTCCAACTACCACTAAACACCAAACAACTAAACATCTAAGGAACTGGATGGCGGGGAGCGAGATGTGAAAGCAACACGCTGTGAATATTTTTGCGCCCAACACCGTGCCGCTTGTTCTGGGCTCTAGGAAAGGCGCCAGGAAAGACCGACGGAACCCGGGCAAAAAGGATCGGGGAATCGGGACCCGGCCCAGGGTTCCGCAGACCTCCAGTGGCGGTTCGGACAAACTGGTATCATTCTTTCTTGGTAGTGCAAAACAAAAATATAACCAGGAAGACCCAAAATTCATGTCTCACTGCCTGAGTGGATGGCACCGGAGATCTGACCGGTCTGACCGAACCCGGCCTGACGAAGCGATTCGACGATTCCACGCGGCGAGCCGGACTCGAGAGGCGCGCTACCAGCGGAAACGGGGCACCGAAAAGTTGGGCATCGGAACCGCCTTGCGGACGCATAACCTGGGCTCGCGGGAAAAACATGGTCCGCAGAAAACATGCGTGGGAACAAGGAAACCGATGCTCCAGTTTACCATAGTTTACCAGTGTTGTGGTTGAGTATGGTTGGTTTAGCAGCATGCTCATGGAAGCGGGATGCCTTAGGGTTCTTCCTCTTTTGCTTTTGTGTGGGACTAATTATCCAGTTTGAAGTAAGTTGCCATTATTTTGCGGCGCACTTTGCACCAATTGGGCAAGTTGGGATGGGTGAAACTCTGAGCATGGCATGATGACATAACTCTGAGCACAATGAAACTCTAGGACCTAGGGCTAAGATGGGTGTCACTGTTTCTTTGCGGGGAGACGGAGACCCGTTTTGGTTGGCTTCACAATGGGATTCCCTATTTTAATACCTGCGCTTTATGGGATCATACTGTGGCAGGACAAACTCTACGCCAGGCAGCAATTGGATTCAAGCCCAAGCAACTGGTTGTGTGAATATAACCGCCAGTTTCATCTAAATTGGGTCAACCATTTTTAAAATGGGAGGTTGAACCCTAGCCCAGCGCTTGCAGTGACCACTATTGTAGGTAATCAGGGACAGCCACGAGGTAAACTTCCAGTTACCACTAAGTATAGTAGGTAACCAAGGAAAACCATGACCTAGAGGTAAAGGATCCTGAAGGGTTTCCTATAGTGGCGAAACGCCTGGAAGCACTGGTAGGGTTTGGGTAAAAAGACACGGGGATATCCCCAGCGAGGTGCTCGGAGATCGAGTGTTGCTGCAGCTCCGCCGCGTGGATGCCCCCTTTGACCTGACTGAGTCGAACCCCGAGACGGGGGATTCTACTTCGGTCGGCCAAGACTTCCATTTGGTTAAGCCCCCTGGACAAAAAGATATAAACAGCAGTGATAGATTCCCTTTAAGCCCAAAATGAAAACATATTCTTAAGCAAGTGGAACATAGCAAGCTGCGTGTATCCTAAGTTACACCCTGCTTATAAGTCCCCTAGAGTGAACCTTGCTATTGGTGGGTTATAATCCAGGTGGCTCATGACTTAATGATTTGGCCGGACATCAAAGTACTAACTTGGCTCTCAAGATACATGGCCATGGGTCAAAAGCCCGTACCCCCAGAGAACATCCCAATCCCCACTAAAATACGTTCTAAAATGGGTGGTGAATTCACCTACCAACCAAAATGGGATCCCATTTGTTTTGACCCACAGCCACATATAAACATGAATTGCAACAGGGCCCGGACCCTCTGGTAGACATCATTTGGGGCTTCATATCCACCAACTACTTTTGCGGTGGTTCCATGGTCATATATGAGTGTCTTCTTTAAAGGGACCCCAAAATGGTGGCTTTCCCGTTGGTGTCCCTTCAAAAATGGGGACCCACCCCAACAAAAAAAGACAAACCCCTCTGCCGTACTGCACCCGAGAAAAAGTGGAACCTGCTCAAATGGACCGGTAAATGGACGGTTTGGGGCGCCTGTAGCTTATCCACTGGAAACCCAACCGACCAGCGGGTTGCATGGCTAGAGCTAGGCCCAGTTACAGAATGTACCCGCCCACTGACTAACTAACATGGAAGTGCACAGACCCCTGCAGAAAGACTACTTTCCCCTTGCAAAGCGGGTTTGTGCACTTCCGTGTGGGAGGGTAAATTATATTGTTGGCTTCACTTTCAGTTCCTGGCAAAATGTAAAATGGTTCCTCCCTCTATTTCAGGTCGATTTCAAACTGAAAGCAGCACAAAAGGAAACGCAAGGGTGTGAATGCACTAGCCGTCAGAGAGGGCCCTCCAATCCAACGAGGCTGAATCTCCAGAAGGGATTGGCCTTCGGAAGGCCCTTGTGCCTGAATCGATTCTTGTGGCCCGATGCAACGAAAAGGGCTGGGGAAAAAATAATACACTTTGCGACTTCACCAGTTTAGCCAGCGCTCGTGATCGTGGATCTGCAATAATCAAAAACAGGGCTCCACCCAAAATGGCAAAGAATCAACAGGTCGGATAAGATTCAAAACACAAAACCACGGGGGGGTTCTTCCGGCCTCAGTACTTTACCATGATCAACGTCACCCCCAAGTGGTGGGGTAAAGGAAATCACCAACCAATTTCTGACTTTGTTTTTTTCCAGGAACAGTCAACCTAACGACCTCTGTAATACAACCTTCAGTTTTGTTTTTGGCCCGAGGATGGTCATCTAAATTGGGTCCCAAGGCCATTCTTTTCATGGGGTTGAACCCTGGTTGATCAATATTTCTTTTGGCCCCAACACTAAAGGACCTTTTGATCAACCTCCATGTTCCTACAAATCACATCTTGCCACCAAAAGGTCTCGGTTTCAGCTGATGGTCTTGGTACGTCGGAACCAACCTCCAGAACTTTGTTCCTGCGTACCTCAAATTTGCGGATTTGCGTTGAATCTGTCGACACCCAAAACGCCATGAAACTGTGGCCCAGTGCTTCCAGGTACAACTATAGGTAACCACCAAGAAACCAGGAGGATCTAGAGAGAAGGATCCCTGCTTCAAGGAGCGATCGGGTAACTCAGCAGGTAAGCGGTTAGTAAGGGTTATAACCAACTTAGGGGACTTATAACCGTGGCAAGTGGGTTAGAACTATGATTATTACCCACCTAACAGATGTACCCTGCCCCTTTAAGTGGCTACCTATAGTTGGAACTGAAAGGACTGGGATTTACACCGAGAGACCCTCACGGTCGCCGTCGGCCCGTCGGCTCCTTTTCACGGCAAGGGGCGAGCACTGAATCGAAGCCTGCGGCTGCTGCACCGCCCACCTGATCAAGAGCCCAACCTGTCCAAGGGCAACCTGGACACCCCAACCGGGTTTCATAGGCGTATTTTGGTGAGACATTGATAGTTTTCCCGGGTAATTGGGGGGGCATAAAACCAATTAATAAAAGCAGTGGAACCCGTCTATTTGGGGTGTCTTTCTTTTGGGGCACGCCGCAAAATAGTGGCTTTTACCAATTTGGAGCCCATCTAGTTCTGACCAAACTAACCTCGGGACACCTACTGTAGATGGTTGCAAAATCCATTTCGCACCACCGTTCGAAACCCAACGAAACAATTCGATTCCCCAACGCAAAAACCAACGTGTTGGTTTCAACCATGGTTTCAACTGGTGCGAAATGGATTTCGTCCACAGTACGGACCCAGGTGTTCCTTCCTTTGACTCACAAACAGGTGGTAGTTGGCCACACAAAAACCGAGGGTCGACAACCAGCCCAACAACTGCTTTCTCAACCATGGCCAAGATCCCGTTTGCGGCTGGTTGATGGAAGGGGGGGCCAGGTCTGAGAAACGAAAATCACAGAACCAGCTCCCACGAGGTCAAAAACCAGCCAACGACGCCAAGAACTCGGTCCTAAGAACTCTCCTAACAGGTAGTTGGGTGTGTTTTTTGTTTGAGACTACTCCCTGCTTGGTGACTTTAAAGGACAAGCAAAAGGAAAGCCACCCCAACAAATGGGGCAGAGCGGTCTGATTCCTTGTTTCCTTTCAAGGGAATCCATTGGTTACCAAGACCGTTGCTTTATCTGAGAACTTGCAAGAAAAAGGGGGACACTTCCATTTGCTTTAGCCCCATAGAATAAATCAATATTTCCAGTAGTGATAGATTCCCGTTAAATCAACACAGAAAAATCAACAATATGGCCATGGGTCAAAACACCGTACCCCCAGTGAACATCCCAATCCCCACTAAAATAGACTAAAATGCGTGGTGCACCTATCGCAAAATGGTACCATTGGTTTTGAACCAGGCCAGATGTATGTCAGCAAATGGAAGGAAATGCCCCCAGCGCTGGGTCGTCGAGGAAATGAAGTCACATGACAGATATGCGATTGCACAAACTTGTTTAAACGTGTTTCTGTTTAAACCTGTTTGTGTTTAAACGTGTTTAGCCCCGCCCTGGAAGTCAGTCCCAGCGGCATCGTGGACAAGAGAATCGCCGACATGACAGATATGCTTGGCCCCCGCAGTTTTCAGCGCGGCGGCGGCTTCTCGAAAAATATCGCCTCGGATGGACTCCCCAGAAAAGGAACATCGGATGGTCCTCCAGGTTTCAGAGGTTAGAATAAGGGTACCCGATGTTTTTTTCTGTGGTCTATTTTAGTAGGGGAACCCTTCCCCAAAAAACGGGTAATAGGGTACTACTGGGGGACCTAGTCATGGAAGAAATCAAACAAAAACACCAGAAACACCAGAAGGTGTAGAGGAAACTCCTTCGGGGGGGCCCAATTTTGAGGGAACAAAGGCACGAGTTCTTTGCAGCCACGTGAGTGTTCGGCCCAAGTTGGTAAGTTGCGAGCAACTTCAACCTACAACCCGCTTACAAGTCTCCTAAGTAGAGTTTAATCTAGTTTGTGGGTTGTACCCCAGGCCAACCTTTTACCCACTAGGCGTGATAGATATCAGCACATTTGCCAGGGTTGGTATGCAGCCAAAACCCCAAACAGAAGTTATAAGGAAATCCCGCCACGCACGATGCAAACAACAAGCCAAATACACACAAACTAAAGAATAACAATGTACGTAAATAAGTATTTAAGTCCTAAGAAACCACTAAGCAAGTCAGCCAGTCAGCCAGTCAGTCAGTAAGTCGGTCGGTCCGTCGGTCCGTCCGTCCGTCCGTCAATCAGGCAGTGAGCACACAAGCACGAAAGTAAGCAAACAAGTGAGTAATTGACTAACTACCTAGCTGACGAACTGCTAGCAAACTAACCAACAAACTAACTAACTCACCAACTAAACAACCAACTAACTAACTAGCTGACTAACTGATTAGCTAACTAACGAAGTATAACTAGCTAACCGGCTGAGCAACTATCGAACTAACTGACTCGGGTTTGTCTTAGAATAGGGTTTCGCTCGTCCAAGTCTTCAAGTGCTTGGCACCAACTCCAAAAACAAACGGCACAAAAACAATCTGCCAATTTCTGAAATGTTGTCTCCGGACCTAAGTAGAACCAGTACTATTAATTGCGGCGTCTTCCCTGGTCCTGATCACCACGAGGGGCCACACCATATTAACAGCAAGCAGGGATTCTACTTAAATTCTCCGGTAACTTCTTTTTAAAATGGAGCTTCATTTGAGGAGCTGGATTTCAAACCCCCAAACCGCCAGTCCCAACCACCAAATATGAATTCCCTAAAAACAAAATGCACCCACAAAACAACAAATCTGAAAAACTTGATGCTGGAAGAAGGATTACCTGAAACAGATACTGAAAGATGTATTACTTGGTTTTGCCTGCCCACAAAAAAAAAAACAAATCCGATACGTGTTGCTTGGGATTGCCTGAAGAAAAAGAAAGCACCCACACAAAAAACACAGCGCGATGAAAACTTGTTACCAGGGGCAAGCCACGGCCTGGCTTGCCGAAGACGAAGAGGCGACTGCCCCCGAAGGCTGTGTACTTCTTGGCAAAGCAGCCGGGGCAATTGAAGGCCGTGCCATCCGCCCGATGAACGACGCAGTCCTAAGAAGAGCTAAGGTAGGGGTGTTTTTGGGGGATTTCAATTTTTTGAGCCATAAGTACCTAGAGTCTCCATGTTGTGTCTCTCAGAGAGTATTGATTATGAGGGGGGGTCCGCGTGTATTAGGACGAACGGATTATCATGAAAGTCACCTCACAAGTACCTGGAGTCTCCGTCTGACGCTTTAAAAACAGGTCCGTGACTCCATTAATTTAGGTAATGACCCCATTTTTTAAGGGTCATGGAGACTCTAGGTAGATCCACTCGAGTCCACACTGGTAGATGAAAAAACACTACGTAACCACACTGGTATTAAAAAAAAGGACCCTGGGACCCTCTTAAGGGAAACAGCCAGACCCTCTTAAGGGCACCTGTGCAGATATTTCCTAAGAATGCGAATACTGGGACCCTGAAGAAACACAGCAACTGTTCAAGCACTGTCTGCAATCCTGATTTGCTGGACCTGGATGTTTTGTTTTGACACCGTCAGGGTAGTGGGGCCTAAACCAAAAAAGCAGGGTGAAAGAGGACCAACCAACCAGTTGCCCTAGTTGTAACGGCGAGAAAGCCTACTTGAGCTTGGCAACGAACATCCAAGGAAAAAAACACGCTGAGCCTGGGATCTTGAAAAACATATACCTGGAGTCTCCGTCTGATCCTTTAAAAATGGGTCAATGACCCCATTTTGTTTGGGGTAACGACCCATTTTTCACGGGTCGGAAGGAGCCTTCAGGTACCTGTGGGTTCCAGTCCAGGACTGGGAACCAACCGAAAGGCCCTCTTGAAGGGAGCTCGAAAGGCAACCAACCATTTTGGGGGTTTTCCCTGTTTGTGACACATATCAACAGGGATCCGGATGCAATACACACCTGAACGTTGCAACTTGTAAATGGTGGTTTCCAACTTTATCTTGGTGTTGAAACAGCCAGCCATGTTTCAAAGGGTGACGCAAAATGCTTTGATCTTTCAAGGAGCCCTGATCAAACATATAAAGGTACCGTATATATATATAATATTGTATTATATTATTATTACACCCTTGTGATAGCGGTTCAGGGTTCTAGATGTGGTGGACTACGGCTGACACTTGGCCTGCCGAAACGGGGTGCACCACCAACGAAACTTTTGTTTTCGTTCCTGGGAGTCTCCCGAGTCGGACCCGAATGAAAAAATGGTGGGGTCGTTACCCAAAATAAGGGTTGGTCATTGACCCATTTTCAAAGGGTCGTGCAGACTCCGGGTTCAGATGATTCATGTCTAGTTTCGCCACGAATATACAGTAGTTTTGGAGGAATACGCAAATATTCTCAGGACGCAAACACACAAGGCTGACCCGTTGGGGCCCAAAAGGGAAGCCCCGAAGGTCATTTCAGCTTGGTTCGCTCTGGGCAAGTACAGATATGATGTGCTTTTGCTCTCTTTTTTTGAGGGGGGGAACGTCAAAATGGAGGGCTTTCCTACGGTTTTCCTCACATCATTCAGCCACCCTGTACCCCCCAAACTGCAACAAGTTTCGGAGCGTGGGTGTTCGGCAAAGTTAGTAAGTTGTCCGCAACCTATAAGATACAACCCCCACTGAGTCTCCCCAAGTGGGGTTACGCTTGTTAGTTTGGGGAGGGCCTTTCTACTGGGCAACAAACATCTAAGGAAGCTCCCTTGGTACCCCATATTTGGGTCTCGTAACCCACCAAGAACCAGGTCAACTCCACTTAAAGGATTTGTAAGCTGGCTATAACATTGGTTGCGGACAACATACTAACTTGGCCACCCGAGAGGGTCACTTAGGGAGGCGGGCTTCCAACACCCATGGCTTCCGTGGTTTGTCTCACCATGGTATTGCCCACTTTCCTGACGTACCCGATCGCCCCTTTAAGCATATGTTGCCAGGTATGTCCCGTTGTAAGCATCATCTTTGGGAGTTTCTCGTCTCGTGGGGTAAAGTTTTAAGGGGGCCCCTCTAAGTATACGTTTCCAACTTGAAATGCCATCAACAACTATCGAAATGCGAAAAAAACAAACACGATTCCCAGAAAAGTGTGTCTTAGGTTTCCCTCAGGCAAACAAGTTCAAAGCGATAAAGCTCCGCGGTTGCCCGCGCTTGCGACGCTCCTCTCCCGCGTCCTTGAAACGCCGCGGCGCGGGATTCGCGATGATCAGCGGGCGCTGCAGCTCCGCGGCCTGCTGCAAGACGCTGCCGAAGACCTCCCAGCTGGCGTCCGACTCGAAGGTCCTCGAGCCGCGAAAACGGGAGGCTCGAGGCTCGAGGCTGGAGACGTTGAGTGTTCTTTTTTCCCGCCTCCCCCCCCATTAGCACCGTAAGGTGTTTGTTTTGGGGGGGCTGGTGTCTTTTGCGAATTTCCATGAGTGGAACCTTGGTGTTGCTGTTGCTGTTGTTGTTTCTGTGAGGGGGGGGTTTCTTCCAAAATAATATCATACTCAAAGGTGAACCAACTCAGTGAAACGGGCTGGGCACATCTTGTTTTTTGGAGTACCCCACATGTGGCCCAGTGCGTTCAGCTTAGAGTAGAGTAAGCCTTCGGGATTACCTCAAGGTTTTGCATCATGGTTGCCCTGGTCATCTACTACCTGGAGTCTCCTTCTGACCCTTGAAGAATGCTTGGTCATTACCCAACATAATGGGGTTGACCCATTTTTTAAGGGTCAGACTCGGAGACTCCAGGTATAGTGGTGCCTGGAAGCACTGGGTTTGCTACCCTTGCGATGGAGCCCAACACCCATTTTTGTAGGTGTCAAGTGCACCAACATCCAGGACCCAATTTTGAGCCTGGTTTCCTTTTTGCGGGTGGTTTCAAGGAACACCAATCAGAACACCGAAGCCATTTTGAGCCGTAAGAACCATGTAAAACTCACGTCCTGAGTGGGTTGGCCAAAAAGAGTCCTGCTTTTGATTTACCACTATTTGTTTCTTTCGAACAGTTGGAAGTCAGGGAGTAGGTAGAAACAAGACACCGGGCAACTGCCAGGAGCTGCAATGGACCTTCTTTTTTGTCGAAATGACCCATACAAAACTGAAGTAAGGCAGAAAAAAGGAATCGGTCCTTTGGGGGTGCAAGTACCCTCCCACCAACTAGCATGGAAGTGCAAAAAGGCCCTTTCCAAGAGGAAAGTCGTCTTTCTACAGGGGTCTGTCTTCCATGTTAGCTGGTGGCAGGGGGTAGCAACAAGGTACCAGGCAGCTGGTGGCAACCGTTGAAGTCGAGTGCGTCGAGACTCGAGCGCTGCTCGCTCAGCGTGCCCTTATTGCAGACCTGCACCCCGTTGGCGAGGATGAAATCGGCGTCCTGGACGCGCGGGCGTTAACGGCGCCGCAAAAAGGGCTCGGGCCGCACGGAAGAAGCAACCAGCCACCTACAACGAGGGTACCCCTCACCAAACAGACACCCTGTGGGCGTGTAGAAACGGGGGTTGGAGTTTGGACGCCGTGGCTGGCTTCCTTTGGATCCCGGGATTCAGTTGCCGGCCAGCATGAAAAGAAGGGTTAGGATCACAAGGGGCTAATCGAAAGATTCGCCATGCCTACTTTGACGTTCGGCTAAGTTAGTAACTCACAAATTTGTCCAAGGAACGCCCACAAACAGAGGTGTCCTTTTGAGGCTAGTACCGTTCAAAATAGTGGGAACTGTTTAGTTGGATTTATTCCATTTCCAGGCCCCTCTACATATTTCCAAAAGGCCACCTATGTTCGCAGGATGTGCTGGCCAAAAACAGGGGCCAACACGCTGTACCAAGGAGGGGCCCCTTCTTGTCTAGAGGTCCGGCAAGATAGAAAGTTGTATCCTCGCGCTTCCTTTGAACACTGACCTCGCAAAGCGCATCACCGCAAAACACAGCACCGGCGGTGGACATATCTGTGCTGAAAAGTGAGATTCAAACCCATCTCTGTGAGCTGTCAACATCGGAGGCTACTCTGCTGGACATAGGGCTCGAATTCAAGGTGCTCTGGATCAGATTGAGGGAGTCCCCCTTCTCAAGCATTGTGGTGTTGATTGTGTTTCTCCGGGTGACCCTTTTCAGGGTTGATTTAAAGGGGGCCCAAATGAGAAAAAGAAGGCACCCCCATGTCCCCTGGTTGATTTTGATGAGCCCCTTTAAGTAGTAACCTCAGTTATACCGCAGTTCTAAGCCCCCCAATTTAAATTAACCTTGTCATTCCTGGGTTATAACCCAGGGAGACGATCTTAGGTGGGTAATCAGGCTTAACCACGTGGTGTGGGCTCACCCGATGGCTTCACTTAGATCTTGGGGTCAGCGAGTCCTGCGCTGAGGCGACCAACTCGAGGCCCATGATCCTCAACTCCTGGCCCCGACCGCCGCCGGACTCGGCAACTGGAAAAGCCGCATGGCCATGGGTCCAAATTTCGTAACTTCAGTGAACATGTTAACTGTTTTTTTTCACTAAACTAGACGAGAATGGGTGGTGAGTTCACCTACCCCAAAATGGTACCATATGGGTCACTACATGGGTCGAAATCCCAAGCCCGGTTAGCCCCCAGTGAACATCCGATTCAATCCAACCACTAAAATAGGAAGCCTAAAATGGGTGGTGAACTCACCAACCAACCAAAAAGGGATCAAATTAGACCAAAATGGGTGGTGAATTCACCTACCAACCAAAATGGGATCCTATTGGTTTTGACAACCACAGCCATATGGGTCCCTCAATGTTTTGAGGGCACCCTGTTTTGGGGTGGTTCGAAAGGAATAACGCAAGGAAAAACAAAATCCATGTTGCGACGGAAAAAAGGGAATCACGCCCATATGGGTGTTTCTCAAAATATGAAAGCAAACAAATAGGTGGTTTCTGTTGGTGTCCCTTCAAATACCAACCAAAAGGGGTCCACAAATTTACAGCACAGCCATGTGATAGCCATGTGTTGGGACAATATCCCCATCGAGGCGTTAGGGTCCAGGCAGCACAGGAATCTTCTTGCTTCCATTTGGTTAAGACACGTGGAAGTAGTGATAAAATCATTAAAACCAAACAAGGGGAAAAAAACATATAAAATAAAGAAAGAAACAAAACAGCAAATTGAAGCGTGGGAGCTCCCTTTTTGGGGAGGGTTTCCCATGTGAATGTTCAATTCGAAGCATCCGCTTTGAAGCGGTCGCTGATCGAACGCCCTTGGTTGATACACAAGAACTCCATGATTTCTTTGGTGCCAACGGGGTTCGCAAACATCCACAGTATCTGGGTGAATTATAATACTTCACCAACCTGAAAAAAGGTGCTTGGGGGGCTATTCCCAACATAAACCCCCATTTGGGGTGAGGACTGTGAGGTCGTCATAATTCACCCAGACAGTATGGAACATGACCCCTTTTGCGACATCCTGGGATTCGGCCAGGCCGCCACCATTGAAAATCAATGAGCGGGGGGGTCATTTTCAATCACCATTCTTTCCCGTGGAGTAACTCATCATCTAAATTGAGCCCCTCTGAACAGAACACAGATTTCCAATAGTGATGTATTCCCTTTAAAAACCAACAGCAAAACATAACATATTCTTAAGCAAAGGGAAGGTTAAGTGGCTGCCACACAATGGAATGGCTTCTCTTTTAGGACCCCTGATTTTGTCAAGTCCATTTGCGGTCAACACTTTCTGTGGGTCACGGCTCCCTGAGTAGGATCCCTTATACTTAATACTTTGCTGTCTATTCTGCCAAGCTGGTCTTTTAAACGGCTAAGAAAATGAGTGAAAATGTGATAACCTACCAATAAGAGAGTCCTTTTAGAGGGGCTTATAGCTCCAAGTCTAGGTCCTCCAGTAGAGGTTGGTTAGAATAAGGGTACCCTTCTTTCTAAAGTCTATTTTAGTGAGGATTCCTCCCCCAAGACAGGGTAAAAGGGCACTACTGGGGCGCCTAGAGTTTAACTTTCAGTGGGTTAAATGGAAACTACCACTAAAACACTAAAAAATGCGAAAAAGCTAAGGAACCGCTAAGGGCTGGGCTTGCCACCGAGTAATTTGGCCAAACCTCCAAGTAGTAAGGGTTCCTGACCACCAACTCGAACCCAACTCGACCCGACTTCGCGCGAGTGGTTCGCCTCTGGCGACCAAGTGCCTCGCTGTAGATGATCCTGACGAAAGGTTCTCTGAAATGGAGGATGTCTCCAAATAGCTTAGTTGCTGTTGACCCCCCTGAGAAAAATGATTAACTAATTCGGGTTTGGTGGAAGACCCCTTGATTTCCCAAAAAGTGAAAGTCTAAAGATCCAACCCAATAGCAGTCAAGATAGATTCCCCCACCAATTAGCCTGAAACCTGACTGTTCCGGGGTCCCTTTAACAGGAAAACGGTCCAAACCAGGACCCCCCCCCAACGTCAGGTTCCATGGGAGGGTAATGACCCTTCATTGAACAAACGAAATCAACAGCCTGATGCTTTTTTGGCGATGGTATCCAGTGCCGTTTGCTGCGTGTTGTTGTTGGTTTCTTTACTTAAGGGGCAGGGTACTTAGTAAGTGGGCAATAACCATGGCGATAACCCACGTACTACGGTTCTGAGTCTCCATTCAGTGGGTTGTCTCACCAGGCTTACTAACCTCTTACAAAGCCCCTGGACCTGAAAGGATTGGCACGGATGTACTGGGTGCTGCTTCTGAAGCTTTCCATGTGCTTTGGGCAAGCAAGTGAGTACTGGGCTTCTGGTGCTTCCTTACACTTCATGCCAAAGGAACACACCGGCAACTGGCCATTCCGCTTTGCCTGGCGCTACCACTAAGGTGTCTCTTTCAAAGTAAACTCAAAAAACAAGAGGCCGTCCCCCCCCAAAAAAAAAGAAAAAACTTGAAGGATGTATTGGGGCCAGCTTAAAAACCACCAGGTGAATCGATGCTCTTGCTGTTAGCAAATGATTCCTGGACTGACCTGGACCCTCAAGCTTCCCTTCGAAATTGACATCTTCCCCCAACAATGAGCAATACGTCTACCTTTAAACCCCTCACCCTAAGGGAAACTCGCAAAAACAACAAGGGTCTCCTTTGAGCAACCCCACCCCCATCTCCCCAAAATTCCCCGCCCCCCTTCTAACCACGGCCGCCCAAAACTGCCAAAGCCCCCCGTGCCTCGTGGGAGATAAAGAGGCACCGCAGTCGCGCCGGCGCAGCTTCGGAGATAAGGAGCTGCAGATGTCGCTTCGCCAGGTCCCCGGAGGTCACGAAGGACACAAAGTCCTACCCCCGCGCGCGCAACGCGAGCGAGGCGAATCGGGAGAAGCGAGGGAGAAGCGAGGACATGGCGAGCTTGGGGACGTTGGTTTTGTTTCGCGTTTTGTTTTTTGGCGTTGGTACCCCTTTTTGGTGGTGTTAAAGGGAAACCAAAACAAAGGACACAAAGTCCTCCGTGCGAATCGTCGAGCTGGGCGAGTCCGACGCAACGCACGCCCTCCTACGATCGGTGCGAAAAGAACGGTTTTGGGATTCACGCAAAAAAAGAGAAGAACCGCCCAGGAGGCTCCCTCTGCTTAGGTGCCCCCGTTTCTTGAGGGACATCCTAGGGTTCTTGAACCCATTCCCAATGAAAGAATAGCACTTAGATGATGACAGTCCTGAACGGAAAACAAGAATGGTGACTATATTGACCCAACCACTGTTTAGTGGTGCCAACTGCCTGAATCCCAGGATCACCGCAAAGGCCCTGGACCCTCAAACTCTCAAATGACCCTGAGAAGTCTGATGCTATAAGGGCCAACACGGGGGTTGCGGGGCACTTTAAAACCAAGTCTAGTCATGATTGTAGGAGCAAACGATTGGCAATTATTTACCAACCCCCTTAGATTCTGCCTCCAAGCTTTCTACCGAGGGGTAGTCATAAAAAAGCCTGCCTTTGACGAAGCCGGCGAAGCCGTCGTCTCAGTTGGTCCATCGATGTTTATGGGCCAGGGTTGTCCATGTGGGACCTTTCTCGAAGAATTTGGGTGTGATTTTCAGGGTGCTCCTTGTTGGTTAGCTTTAAAAGGAGAAGGGACACCACAATTCTGGGGGGTGACCTTAAAAAAATAAATCCGTCTGTGAACTTATGACTCAGTCGGTGTCACTTGGTACATCCGACCTCTCGGGGCGCGAGAACTGATTGGGGACAAGACTTCTCCGATTGGCCTTTGGGGTGACACATGGACCAGAAAGAGAAAACACCCAGCCTGCCAAGTGAAACTCACCATGAAACGGTTCAAAAGCAAATGAAAGAAATCACCAAGCGGAAAAATCAAATAACAAAATGAACCCAAGCAGCAAGTGTTCGTCGGTAGGGACCCTTTTCCCTGAGGTGTTGTAACATTCACCCGGCTTTCACTCTATAGCCACTATACAACGGCTTCTACTCTATATACACCACAGAAAACAAGGGGTTTGTGGCTTGGGGGTACTGGAAACCGTCTTAGAAACAAGGGAAATACATGGTCACCTTCCCTCGCCCATCCCCCAAAAACAACAACACAGAAAACAACACATTGAAGACCTTGTTGGGATGGTCATTGAGGCCTGATCGGAATTACCACAGCTATGGAGTATGGGGACCCTCAGGGTACTATACAGGTAAATGGATCTTACCATTCATCCATTGGTTCTCTTGGTTCTTGGTGGTCCACTTTCCATCTCTTGTTGGTTCTCTTGGTTTTCTTTTGCCATCCTCTGACCTTGAGTTTCTGGAAAGAAGGAATCCTGGGCTCAAAGCCATGGACAACAACCTGCATTGTTTGTTACAATGTGCATATATCCACAAACACAAATGAGCCGTGCCAAATACTCTTGTGTAAAAAGCGGTCCTATAAACTTGCTTTCGCGGACCCTTTCGCGATGCTTTCGCGAACCCATGTTTTGCCTTCGCGGGCTTTGGTTTCTTTAGAATTGCTTTCGCGACGCTTTCGCGGCGGAGCGTCACACAGCATGCAGGCTTTCGCGGGTCTTTCGCGGCGGGACCTTCTTTGGTTACTTTCGCGATAAGCTTTCGCAAGCTTTCGCGGCCTGCGTTTTGGCTTTCGCGGGGATTCTATAGGACACCCCCCTTTTTTACTTTGTATTGTCAGGGTTTCTGGCGCTGCTCAAATGGATGTGGTGTTGTCAGTGGACCCACTCAAATTGTGGTTTGCCTGGTTGTTTCCCCTGAACACCACAGAACAGGGGTACCCTCAAAAAGAAGACACCCCCAGACCCATATATATTATATATATGTTACAACATGTATCTATAAATGTGTATATATATATATATATACATATATACATACATATTTAGGGCATACTGTGTGGGTCCCCTTCGAAAAGGAGGGGGGTGGAAGGGGTACCAAGAGCCCCTCTTGGGCTATATGACGCTCTGCCCTCTCTCCCGAGCGCGATGACCTTCCATTTGGCTAAGACCCCCGGAAAAAAATAAATAAAAAATCCAGTAATGATAGATTCCCTTTTAAACCAACAGGGGGAAACAAAAAAACAAAAACAAAGCAAATGGAAGTGAGGCTCTGCCCGAGTCGTGTCGGTCCTCGGGTCTGAGGCCTAAGTCCTCCACCCGGCTCTGGGCCTTCTGCGCCTCGCAGGGGGAGTTGGAGACGATGGCCAGCGCCACCTAGCACACGAAGTCAAACGAAGAAAGCGGCTTGGAAGTGCTCTCCGGCCACGGACAAGACCAGCCCCCCGCAAAAAAACAACACGCTTTGGGGCCATGATTGCGATGATTTTGGGTACTGACCAACCATTTTTTAATAGTCATGGCGACTCCAGGAGGAGCTTTGTGGGAGCTGTTCGAATTCCGATCCCCTGCAAAAAAACAGTTGAACTCCACTGGCACTGCTCCACTGCTGCGAATGACGGCGACATGGCCGTTTTCGGCGCGGGGGCCTGAAGTCTCCACATGCCTACGAGGCTCCCAACCACCGGGGTGTGTAACGGGGCCGGGTCGAAGCCATTGAAAGCCGAAGCCGATCGGAGCCTCTGGGTAGAAAGAAAACAAAAACACACCTGCCCCAATTCCCATCAAAGGAATGATAAGGACCGAATTTAGATGAAGGGTGGTCTAAATCCCAGGCTGAGCCTGGTGGGAGCAAGAAATGAACGGATAGGCTTCGCCTTCGGGAGTCGAGCGAGTTTTCCACCACCACCACCACCACCTTGAGGGGGAGGGGGCGGAAATGGAACCAATGCAGATCTCAGGTGTCGAAATCCTCCCCCCAATTCCACTTGCTTGACGTTCGTTGGGTTTGGGGAGCAAAAAATCATTTTTTTGCAGCTAAGTGGGTTTGGATTTCAACCACTAAACCACCATAAGCAAAAATGTAAAAAATGTTTCCCAACGACAAGCATGTAAAGGATCCGGTGGGGATACGGCACATTGCCCCCAACATGGCTGGTGAGTGAGTCTCACACACCGCCGAAAAACCGAGAAAAGGAAACATGACGCCACGAGAAAACCGGCGAGTGGTTGGCTGGCCTTCCGTTGCCGGAGCTCGGCTAAACAGTCCAAGGTGTCGGGCAAGAGCCGCTTTCCATCGTGAAGAACCTGAGGCACAGCTTTGCTCAGTTTCCCAATTCCTGGGTATGGATCAAAATCAAGCCACCCGCAGATTCAAGCCATTTTCGGTACCTATTTCTGACCCACAGCCACCTCTGGGTTGCCATGACTGAGCATGGCCCAACACAGGCAAACACCCAAAGGTGAAGGGTTTGTTTCGCTGTCAAGATCAAACCACGGTTCCCCTTTTGGGGCAATCAGGCACCCAATCGGTGCAAATAACAACCAGAATCCTCAAGCGACGGTCTTTTGGACAGTACTTAGTAGATTAAGGGCTTTAGGGTAAATGAATAGCTTAACACCCGTGTTGTGCTAAGTTACTTCATGTTTCGGTATGTCTCAATGAATCACATCTAATCTGCTTGCACGCAAGGCTGTGCCTTCCCAATGCATAGCCTGCAACGCTCTTAAATTGGTAGTTTCCATCGCCACATGCACGCGGATGTAAGCAACGATGTAGTTGCACCTGGCAATGCATGTCTAATACGCGGTGTGATTGCCAACTAATAGCCAAACTCCTGTCTGATACGCGGTGTGACTGGATCCAACACACAAGATGGGGGTACCCTTGGTGCTCTGCATGAGCAGCTCCTGAGTCGCATGGAACATGTCGCTTACAAGTTTCAACGCACTCATGCCAAGCAGAAACCAACAGCCATCGACGCATGCTCTCACCATGCCAAGGGGCGCCGTATTGATCAAGCCTTGGCTGGACAGAGACAACAGCATACCAGCATACCAGCATACTATTGTGAACGAGTCTCACGCGATACCACAACTCCCCAACTGGATGGTCCCTGGGATTTAGTTGCTACCACTAAACAAACGGGGGATAGCATAACCATTGCTTACCGTTCAGGATTATCATCTAAAATGGGTCCTCGCCATTATTTTAATGCGCATCGGAACCCTAGGGAAGGAGATCACACTTTGAATTACTTCTTTCGTTCTAGGCATGTAAAGACTTCTGTGCCTGAATGGCCGTGTTGCTGCTACTGCCGAATTGGATGCGACAGTGCCCAAGCCAATTTAACCACCCATTGAGGCTTACCTGAAACAAACAGGGCACACACAAGCACTGGGAATTAGGGCGCCAGCAACCTGGTGAAATCAGGTTGGCTCACCTTTACCACTGCAATGGTCTTGCTGTATAAATATGTATACAAAGCTTGTTATTGTTATTATGAGTATTACTAATAGTTGAAAAACTTTATTGTTATGAAAATGTTTTTTATTATCATTATTAATACTATTAGTACTAGTTTTATTAGTATTATTACTACTAGACTTTCATTGTTGATAGTAGTTGTAGTATTAGTGGTTGAAATATTATTATTTTGTTAATAGTATTACTATAGTTATTTATCATTATTATTTTTTTAGTATTAATTGTCATTATTAATATGCATTACTACTATTATTTATGATTAATACTATTATTGTTGTTTTATTATTTTGACTGCTATTATTATACTAATATATGTATATATATATATATGTATATAGTACAGACAATGGGTAAGAGAGGCCGACTACAGGTCAAGCGCAGTTTCACTCAAATGTCGGTACACGTGGCGTTTCCAAACATCTGCGCGAATCCGTCCCCCCTTCTTCCTGAAGCTCCTCTTGGCAACAACACATGCGTGTGTCGTTGTTGGAGGAACCTCCTAAATGGTGGTTCTGCGGGTTCTCCTACAATCAAAGCCTCCACTTGTTGTGCCCGAAAGTCGCTTCAAACAGGCACGCTGTCGACAACCAAAGTGGGGCATACACGTTCAGGCATTAGGTCACTTTTCGGGGATGGCGCAACAATTCGAATCAACTACCCAAAAATACCTTTATAGGGCCCACAGGCGTATCGGACAATTAACAAGGGTGCACATCAAAGAGAGCAACAACGTTCTGATTCTGTTTCATGTTCAGTCTAACCTCAATAATACGCCCGGGCGGAATCCCCAACAGCCCCGGAACCCTCCAGAACCCTCCCTTAAAGCCCCAAACCACCCGGTCGCCCAATTTCTGGGCACAGACCCCACAGCTTCCAGCTGACGGGGTAAATTATGGTTCATATGGGTCCCCTTGTTGGGTAGTTTTTAAAGGGAAACCAAAAGGACTGCCAAAGCCATTGTGAGGGAATGACCCCAAAACACCAGCCCCTATAGTTTCCTGAAAACAAATCCCTAAGTTCATTCCCACAACCACTGGGTCATTCCCTACCTATCGCACCAGGAAGCAAGACTCGGTTGCTTTCTGCTCCCCTGCTAAAAGTTTAACTTTCAGTGGCTTAATACGGAAAACCCAACTAAGTTTGCAAAAAGTTGAAGTCCTAACATCCAAGCAAAATGCACCAAAGATACGGCCTTAATAAGGCTTTAGAGGCCCATGATGTGTGTTTCTCAGGTGGCTACAGGGCCATGTACTAGTTGTATGATAGTCCCTAGGTACTTGCAGCAAGCAAAATGCACCCAAAGTGTCTGTTTGCCAATCAACTGCTCTTCCCAAACAGTATGCCGGGTGATAAGTAGCGAGTCTGGAAGAAACAGATACTCGTCCCCTTTTGGTATCCTTGTTAAACCAAACTAAACCTATGAGCAAAATGCACCAAGCAAAAAGTCAAAGCAGCAGCAGGCCGTCGTAGCCCGCTTTTACCACTGCAGAGATGCCGGCGACCTGCGCCGTGCTCCGATCTGCTCTTCTCCTCTGTGCCTGAGCGCCGTTGTTCTCCTCCTATACCCTCCTCAGCTTCCATTTGGTTAAGACCCCCGGATTTTTGTTTGTTTAATATTTCCAGTAGTGATAAATGCCTTCTTAAAACCAACAAGGGAGGATATACAATATTCTTAAGCAAATGGCAGCCAGTGCTTCCAGGGCAACCATCCATGGTAAAACCTAGAGGTTAGAATTCCGAAGGGTTGCCTACTATAGTGCGAACTAGAAGCACTGGGCTGGGGTTCAGGCAAGCCACTATTCAAACATTGGTTGGGTTCATAGAACCACCATTCTTTACTGTTCAGGATTGTCATCATCTGAACTGGGTAGACCATTCCTCACTTCCTGGGTTGGCCAAAACAAGTCCCAACCTGTTATTTGCCACTAAAATGGTCCAGACCCAAAACACAGTCAGGAACTCTGGAAATAAGATTCTTTTACTTGGCAGGCATAGCTTTTGGCGACCAACGAGGACTTGAACCCCACAATCCCCAAAATGAACCTCGTTGGGTTTGTAGTAGGCTACACGGACTGGAGGGCAGCTCTCGGGTGGCCCTTGACAACCATGAAAAAAAGACAACACGTCTTTGATTCTGGTCCATGTTTGGCAACCCAAACTGGGCTGCCCATTTTCAGATCCCCCGCTGAAAGTGTAACTTTTGGTGGGTTAAATGGAAACTACCACTAAACACCAAAAAGCCAAAAGGCTAAGTGGATGGCTGGGAACCACCAAGCAAAGTGATATGTGCCTTAGATGGTCTATTGATGTGCTCTGGCAACATCCAAAACTAGCCCACTGCTCCCAGTTGGTACCCCTGATCCTTCTGCGTACTGGACAAAGTTGGCTTCGCATCAGTTGGGATGGATGAAACTCTATGAATGGCCCATTCACAGCATGTTCATAGAGGGGGATTCCCCTTTTTCTATATCACAGACAGCGGCATAACACCGATTCCTACTGTGGATGGACGAAATCCTGCACCACTTTGAAACCACGGGAAGCCATGGTTTGGTTTTTTTGTTTTTTTTGCAGGGGAATGATCATTCCAGGGTTTCTTGATGGTGCGAAATGGGTGCGGCTCAAAATTAAACAGGAGGGGCTACGCAGGTTTTGGTCCATGTTTCCACTTACCAGGGTTCCACTTTGGTACCGGTTTTTTGAGCCACAGCCAAATGGATTTCGCAACCATCCACAGTAGCACCAGCCTCCGACTGCCTTTTGGATACGACTTGTTGACATCGGAAGCACTTGGAGGGGGCGGTCCAGCACCATATCAGTACGTCACACTCAAACGTTGGCAACGGCCGCACAAAAAAAAAGACGGTTCCCTACTCTGGGCTGCCCATTTTCAGATCCCCCGCTAAAAGTTTAACTTTTGGTGGGTTAAATGGAAACTACCACTAAACACTGAAAAGCCAAAAGGCTAAGAGGATGGCTGGGAGCCACCAAGTACTAATCTTCCTAAACTACATCTAGTAGTTCTTCTGATTATGCTCATGATCTATCTTGGTCTTACAGTACCCTGCCACCCCCGCGCATGCTGAGTAGATGGCCCAACAAAGTCCACACTTTGTCGCTTGCCACCAAACTGGTCTTCCCAAAGAAGCATCAAGTCCAGCACCTCACTCCCCGAGCCCCATCGAATCGGCCGAACGACACCGCACCGCACCTGGAATGTCACAGGCATAGATAGCGCTGCCGCACACGCCACGCCCCAGAACCTGTGCCTTTGCCTCCTCGAACTCGACCCATGCCCAGTACTCCTCGGGCGAGCAGTAAGTTGCACCTGCCGGGGGTTCTGTGCACGATCAAAATTACCAAATCTAGGGTCCCTTGAAACCTGGAGTCAGGCAGTCTCCTTCTGACCCTTACAAAAAGGAGGTCACGACTTGTTGTTTTGGGTATGTGACCTTATGTTTGCAGGGTCAAAAGACGTCAGAAGGAGACTCCAGGTACCTTCTAAAGAAGGTTCCAAATGACCCGTCAAGGAACCGTCATGGGACCATCTCAGGTTGCAGTGCCCAAACCCTCCAAAGATCCAGTTAGACCAGGTTGGTGGAAAGACCCTGCTTTTCTCCAGGTGTCCTGCTTTTGGTGGGTACATTAAACTTCTGGGGACCAGGGAACATTTGGCCTTGATTCCGCACAAAATGTGCGGCTGCCATTTAGTGAGTTCCCACTTCGCATCCCAGAAACAAATCACATACTTGCGACTGAACATTTGAACGGATGGCCACAGGAGCTTTTGGTGTCCAACTGCCAGGGACGAGGCTCTGCCCTTACGATTTAGCAAGAACCGAATACCAAATGAACTGGTGTTTGTATCCTTGGGGTTTAGTTAAAGGGAAAGCGTCTGAAACATGTCGTACTTTAGGGTTCTTAGCTCTATCCATGAGGGCTTCTGCAGACGGGTGTCGTTTTCTTCCTTCCGCTCGGGTTCAAGGGCCCGCCTGTGGTTGCGGGCTCCACCCGGAGATGTAGAGCGGCATGGGGCTCACAAAATCCCCTAAAAAACCTGGGGCCCAACGGCTCTGGACGAGAAGAGCGGTCGCTTTCAGCGAGGCTCACAGCCAAGGTGCAAGGAAATCGGACCATTTGGAGCTCGTCCAACTTGGATTTCGGTGGAACAGGTTTCATTTCTATGTCCCTCCCAATTGTAACCCAGGCCTCACATGGACGATGGGAAGCTGAAAGCAGCGTCTTTCATGAAGTCCCTGAAAGGGGTGGTCTAAGGAAGGGGGATTCCCTAAGGATTCGTAAGGAAATCTGGGGAGCCCTAAGGAACCCTAGGGCTCTCAACTTGTATTGTATTCACAAAGAGGGAATCCTAAATCCTCATCCGTCCTAGGGACGTCAATACAACAAGGGAAACCACCTTCCATAAGGCTTGTTTTTGAACAGCGCAATCCGTTGACCCAGCGTGTACGCATCGCAAAGACTGTTCAAAGCTGTGAACAGGGGCGGGCAAAGGATACCCTACACTTAAGTCATACGGCTCCCTCACAGGGTCCAAACACCATTTATGTGAACATCGTTGTGTTAAAGGCGAAATGCGGTTGAAGTATTTAGCAGGTACCAAGAGACCCTTAGTGTTACACCGAAGCATACGGATGTGCTTGTCCCAGTCTGGCCCACGGAAAACTGTGTAACAGATCAGAAACACGGGTGTGTCTTTTTTTTGAGGGTTCTTTCGAAGGAGACCAAAGGGAATTCACTTATTTGCGTCTCCCGCAAAACAAACAACAAAAAACAACAACGACAAACTCACATTCACATTCGCTTGTGGTGTTGTTTGGGAATCAGTTTCAACAGCATGGCCGCCTGAAATACCAAGCCAGAAGCACAGCGATGCCATGACCACAATTCCCTACAGTCCTGGTAATTGCCCCATCAATAGAAGCCGTTGGAAACCGGCTGTCTAAAATCCCTAACTTGGCCAATATCTGAGGAACTCAAAACACAAAATAGTTTCAGTGCTTCATATGGGTGTGGCTTCTTTTCTAGTGGTTGGAAGGGAAACCAAATGGAAAACCACAATTCGGGGGGGGGGTCCCCTAAAAAAAGACGAGCCACCCAAATACAATCCACCCCAAAACTCACTTCCGGAGTGGATGGGCCAAACAAAGTCCTTCAACCTTTTATTTACCACTTGCCACTAATATGGTCCAAACCCAAAAAGCTTCAAGTCCATGAACTCAGGAAGTGAGACAAACTGAAGGAAACCAAAAGGGTTGATGGCCACGTAAGTCATCTCCCGCGTCACCAGACGTGCCGCTCCGCGCCACCGCCACTCCCGCGCTCGCCTTTTTGTTAATGTGCAGAATGCAATCCAAATGGGTGTGGCTCAAAACTTAAGAGCTAGGGCAAATCGCAGGTTTTAGTCTTTGGCTCCATTTACCTTTCAGTGCCATTTTGGGGAACACTTTTTGAGCCACAGCCAAATCTCTCCGCGGCTGGGTCTGCTCGACCTGTGTATGCCTCGCATGTCTTTGGGTTGGTAACCTATTCAGGTTGGCTGGGAAAATCAAAACAAAAACCACCAGTTGTCGGACCTCCAGTTTTTTGACACGAAATTGTTCATCTCACTTGCACTTCCTGAGTGGATGGGCAAAAAAGTATGAACGTCTTGTTTACCACTCAAACGGTCTTTCCAAAAAGTATAAAGTCCATGAACTCAGGGAGTGAGTCATGTTTGCAGGCTTGCTTCCCAGAATGTTCCCGAGTGCATGTGTAGTGATTCCAATCGCCATGAGGCCATGAGACGCGCTTCGTTGGACGTGTGCTCGCTTTGGCTTCAGCCGGCGGTCGTTGGACGCTTGGCATCCGCGCGTGAAACTGGAACATCCCACATCCGGCGCCGAAAGCTCGGCTCATCTCGCCTGGGATCAAAACATTTGAGTGACCTGCTGCCTGCTTTGGGCCATTTTGGGGCCATTTGACAACCGGCGGGGTGCTGATACCAGCGTTTTGCGACCTGATGTGACAAAGATCGGAGGGGACCATGCTCACAGGGCAGGCCACGTCAGGCAAGTGGTGAGTAAGCCTGGTGAGATAACCCACTGAATGGAGACGTATAACCATGGTACATAATGGTACTAACCACTTACAAAGTACCCTTAGGAGACTTGTGTATATATATATATCCATGGTACTACTTACTAAGTACCCGATCACCCCTTTAAGCAAAAAGCAAGGCTTGTACTGTGGATGCCCAACATACGATGGACGAAAACCGATTCGCACTGAGAAACCCTGGAATGATGATTGCCATGCAAATACCAACCAATGGTTTGCCATGTTTGAAAGTGGTGCAGGATTTTGCAACCATTTACCGTGTTGCAAGTAAACCAACCACACCCAACCTCGCAACCCTGAGAAATGCGGAAAACTTACATGTGACCCATACTTTCTTACTTGTGTCAAACCTAGATGTATGTTTTCTTTGTTCGGGAAATTGTGGTACCTGGAGTCTCCATGACCCTTTAAAATGGGTCAATGACCCCAATTTTTTGGGTCATGACCAACCATGTTTCAAGGGTCATGGAGACTCCAGGCAAACATACATGAGAACCAGGAATTGTGGCAAACTGCGTTCCCATGCCATTCATCGTTTGGGGCATCTACTGGAGATGGGTTTCAGGAAGGTTCTGTCGGGGCATCTACCAGGGGCCGCTTGGTTTGTGCATGAACTTGCAGGGACTTACGTCCAAAACACACACAGCCATATGGGTATGTGTTTTTTTGACGTGGCCATGCCCGGAGGTTGGTATAAGGGGTATGAATCGCAGGTATGGTTCGGGGTATGGCTCGGGGGTATGATTCGGGGTATGGCTCGCGCGCCTCTGAACTCTTGCTTTGTGGCCTTGGACGCTGCAAAGCTCCCGTGCGCTGGCAACTGGATAGGCGTCAGAATTTGGACCGCTTAGTTGCTACAAGCCAGCCTGGGTCGCTTGTGAGTGGCCTGAACTAGACAGCTGCCACTCTGCGTGAGTGGGTTAGCGAAAGCTGCTGCGCTAGGTGGAAGGAAGGCGCAGAGCCACTGCCTGAGGCGAACAAGCGACCCGCGTGCTCACAAACCCAAGCAAGCGTTGCTTAAGGGGAAGCGCCGCTGCCCAGTCAGGCCCGCCACCCGCACCAGTCACGAACCAGCGTAAGGGCAAGACAGCGTGACATCCTCAAACGGCAGCCGCGCAGAGGCTAGTGGGTCTCTCACAGGTGGTGTACCGTGTCGCGCTTGATGCATCGCAGTAAGCCTTCCGAACCCACCTTCTCTTTGAGTTTTGTGTCTTCTGAGCATTTGGACGGCATAGCTTCGCTAGTACTGCCCAGAGCGCAAGAGGCTCTTGGCTGCAAACGGCAGCAGAAGGGAATGAATCGGGGTATGAATCGGGTATGAATCGGGGGTATGAATCGGGGGACAGATTTTGTTCGACCGGAAAGACACCAAGAGTACCCCAGGAGCACAAAGACAGCTTGTGTTTCACTGCGACAGCGGCCCAGGACAGACAGCTGTTTCCACCGCGTCGGACAGACTGCAGGATTTCAAGCTCCTACAGACAACTCTAGTACCAGGACATCCGCAGGATTGCTCTATAACTCCATCCATTGGCACTTTCCATTGAAAATAGCAAGCCGAGACCGAGGTGGGTAACCGAGTGTCAAGAAACGCCACTTGAGCCAAAATGGCCCCCCGCGAGTAACCAAGTGAGTGTGTGAGTGGACATGTCAACTGTACTTGGCCCCATGACATCAGAGCCCAACCATGCAAGCATCGCAGACTCAAGAATAGATCCAGGAACCCCTAGTGAACCAGGTATTACCTCGGAGTCCCTACACATGTCAAGCTCTCTAACACTGTTTCTTGACAAGACCCCCTTCTTCACTTGAAGTTAAACCCCCTATAGCTTCCAGCTATCCATGGATCACATGCAAATGCCACAGTTCTTGCAAGTTCTTTTTTTGTGTTTTTTAAGGGGTATGACTCGGGGTATGACTCGGGGTATGGCTCGGGGGTATGGTTCGGGGTATGATTCGGGGGTATGGCTCGCCCAAGCCCCACCTCCCACGAAGACTAAAGAACTGACACGGTAAAAAAACACAGACCCATATTGCAAATTGGGTATGTGTTTGTAAAAAAATATGCGGACCCCCAAAAAGGGGGGTCTTCCTTTGATGTTCATAAAGGGCACACACAAACAAAAAACAAACCCATTTCGCATCTCTAGCTGTGTGCTCTTTGATCTCTGCAAGTGTTCGTTCCATTTGCATGAGGAAAAGGGTATCTACTCCCCGGCAAATGGACACGGAACACCCCCAAGGTGTCTGAGTGTGTGTGTGTGTGTGTGTGTGTCTACCCCTTTTGTCGGCGGGCTTGCGGGCTGAAAGGGAAACCAAAATAAAACACCCTTCGTGGGGTATTTCGACACCCAAGGTGTTTCCCGGAAAGGAGTGATTCCTCAAGCACAAATCCAAGGTGGCTGGGCGTTTATTGGCTTGAACAGGGCAGGGTACATCAGGCAAGTGGGTAAAAAGCCTGGTTTAAACATGTTTTAACCCACTACAGCCGTGATTATAAGTCTCCCAAGTGGATATGAACCAGGCTTACAAACCACATAATGTTGACCCAGGATTAATAAACCCGTCCCACTATTAGGGGGGTGTTCCCTCCAAAAGTGATGAATCCCCTCTAAAAGGGGACACCCCCTATTAATCAACCAGGGGTTTATTAATCCGGGGTTAACATTACTAAGTACCTGATCGCCCTTTTTAAGTGGGCGCTTCCTATCTGCTGCTTGTATTTCCTCGGGCAGTGAGGTCCAAGTTAGGGCTCCGCCATGGTCTATGGGTCACTTTTGGGTCAGGTGCAAGAAATCGGGCCCTGAGCGTCCAAGTAACATCGAAGGATGGCTCTTGGCGGAAAAACAAAAACATGTCTGAGTACCTCCTCAGCAAGCAACTGGATTCTTGGGGCAGTCTTACTCAACGAGCTCACCTCGGACTCCTCAAGGAGGTCATCTTCAAGGTCCTGCTGATGCCCACGTGATCGCAGTTGCCTAGCTAAAAAAATCCGGCAGATTCAACAATCAGGAGAAGCAAGATACAAACAACAACTAGGGGCACCGGTCAGCTGCCAGTCTGCACGCACTCAAGCGGGGTCCAAATTGCTGCCTATGCTCATGGGGGCTGGGGGGAGGGGGAGGGAGCCCAAATAAGGCCTTAATAAGGGCTTAATAAGGGTTTTGTTGGGCTCCCTCCCCCTCCCCTCCCTCCCCCCCAGCCCCCATAATATGCTATCATCGATACGGCCCTCGGTCCATTGAAACGAGAATACCGTCGGTGAAGCTGAAGCAAATGGAAGGTGTGTTTTGAAATGCTTGACGAATCGGGATGTGTCCAAAGGAAACAGGCCTCTTCTGGCGGGCGTTTCGAAATGCGAGAACCCGGAAAAAAAAACTTTCTCGCGGACTTAGGTCCGCGCATATTTCCACCCAGTGAGGGGTAGAATCGGCAACCCCTTGTCCCACGTTCATGTTTAAAGGAAATGCCTCCGGAACCAAAGGCAAAATGCATCAAAAGGCACCAGTTGTTCGGAGTTTGTCCGCCCCATTGACAAACAAACAAACCCATATCTGTTTTTCCAAGAGGGGGGGCACCCTTAGAAGGAGGGGACATTTGGAGAGAGAGAGAGAGAGAGATGCAAACCTCCGAATCCACCCGAACCAGGTTTTCCAACCCCAAGATTTCCTTGATACTTCTCAGGGGGGTGATTTCACCCTGTTTAACCCCCTCAGAAACCTCAAAGGGTACCAAGACACTCCACTTGGATGCTTTGACAATTTGACAAGCTAAGTGAACCACAATCAAAACCCGGGAAAATGAAGGGTAGCAAGGGACAATCCCAACAATAAATAGCTGCGGCCGCCTTCTTAATTCTTTACATGGTTCTGGGCCTAGACAATTTTAATACCGGGTTTTGATTATGACTCAATTGGAGAAGGCCATTTGGGTCACAACTCAGTGAGGTCTACTCCACTGAACGGGGGCTTGTAACCGGATCATAACTTCAAGTTGCCATCAACATACTAACTTGGCCGACAACCCAAAATTGGCACTAGGTCCTCCAATGCTGAGGTTAGAATAAGGGGATCCTTTTTTCTGGAGTCTATTTTGAAAGGGCACTACTGGGGGACCTAGGGCAATAGGGGGGATCCCTCTCCCTAGATGACTCCTCTTGCTGGGTCTCTCTTAACCGAGCGAAAAGTCCCGGCTCCTGGAAATCGCGGGCGCGCCGGCCCTGTCCGAGCGAGCAATCGGGGCGGCGGAAAGGGACCAAGGCGAGCGAGAAGCCTTTTGCTAATTTCCTGAAGCCAAAACAAAAACATGGGCTTGCCTTTCTTTTGGCGTCCCTGAAAATCCAAGGTGAAAAGGGCACCAACTCAAAACAACAGGTGGCTGGTTGTTTGTTGAGTCCTCTTCGAAGCCTCCAAAAGGAACCAACTTGTGCGAGAGAGAGAGAGAGAGAGACAGAGCTCGTGCGGCGTGGTCCTGCAGCTTGGTGACGCCTTTGAATCTCCTCTCATATCTGGGCTGCCCTCAGATCCCCCGCTAAAAGTGACTAACCTTTAGTGGGTTAAATTACACTAAACACTAAAAGGCTAAAAAGCTACGGGGATGGCTGGGAGCCATCAAGTCAAGGATAAGACCCTAATAAGGCCTTATTCAGGCTTTAGAGGCCCATGATTCCATGACGTCTGTTTCTCAAGTAGCTGCAGGGCCATGTATTAGTTTTATGATAGTCTCTAGGTACTTGCACCAACGGAAAGCCGCCAATTGTCTTAAAATAGCCGAGCCTCCAGAATGGACGACCTCCTTTCGGTTTCCCTTTTTAAAACCAGTAAGCATCACTTGGCCGTGCACAGAACATAATCTCTCAATTTGAGTAAGTTCAAGTGAGTAAGTTCTTAGCCCAACAACCCTGGGGTTCAGCCCCCATTAAAAAAGAATGGCAAGGACCCACTTTGGAGGATAAACATCCTTAAGTAAAAAATAGTGGTTATATGAACCCCCATTGTTTTTCCATGGTGGTTTGAACCGAGGGACAAGTGAAATCACCAAAGGCTTAGCACCCCCAGTGGACATAACCTTTTCATTAGTGGGAGTAGAGAGTACCATAGGTGTCCTTTCTGGGAAAAATAGATGGGTTTCCCTGTTTGAACGGACAAAGCCACCAATCTAAACCAGTGGACTCAATCTATGTCCAGCCAAACCGGTTTTTGGAATCCAACTAAAGACGCTGAGGGGCACCAACCAAAAAAAACGACAGGAGGTCAAAGACCCGTGTTTTTAACCCCTGCTGGGTGCCAACTCCAAACGAACCGCACCGCGTCTTAGCGAGCGGCGCCTTGCTGCGCTCCAGGTCTTTCAGCTCCAGCTCTCGCAGGAAGAAATCCTCTTCGGAGAGCTCCTGGGAAGAAAAGTCGGAGCGAAATTTTGATCTGTGTGTGTGAGAGCTTTGTTTTTTTTCCCCCCGGTTTTGCTGTTTCTGTTTGTTGTTTTTTCCTTTTTCTGCGTCTTTTTTTTGTTTGCAATATCTGGAACGCGGTTTTGGCCTTGCGCTTCTTGCCGTGCATTTGACCTCTTCGTCCTCCTGCTTTTTTAGGACTCGTTTAGTACTCTGTTATGTCCAACAGGGTTAGATCCACAAATTCCCGTTTTCCAGAAGAAATGTCACGATTCCTTCTGAGCCCCTGAAAAATGGTACCACAAAGCCTACACTTCCATTTGCTTAAGTCCCCTGGAGGCAAAAAACACAGTAGTGATTGATAGATACCCTTTAAGACCAAAGAGGAGACATAAGCCATATTGTAAAGCAAGTGGAAGGATCGGATGATGCTTGAATAAGGTCAACCTAGTTGCACGGTAAGCTTAACAGTTGGTTGATGGACAGTTGTTTTCCATCTTTCATTTCAGCGTTTTTGGGTTACATGTTAAGAAGATATGCAACCATAGACCCTGGCAAGACGCTTGAAACAAAACAAGCGGACCAAAGAGCGTTGTCGCCGATCCAAAGCAGTTCACCGGGTCGTAGAAGGCATGTTTTATGCTGCCGCAGTGGGCCATTCCAGTGACGACTGGTCGTCACTTTACAAGGGATGACCCCATACAAACGGCCTCAGTTCCCGGAACACTCCTAGAGCCAACAAATATCCCGGATGAAAAGACTTAAACTTAAACTTACATGATTCGGAGGTACCAAAAAAAAGGCCCCAGGCGCCGGGCAAATTGGCCAAGCGCCACATCTGTGGCAACTTCTGACGAGAAGTTGAAACTAGGAACTTACACTCCCTCAGGCTAACATGGAAGCTCCCAGAAAACCTGACCAGAAGTTTCACAAAAAAACTCGGAACTTCAAAATGGGCCCGTGGAATTTCTTCCCCCCCCCTCTTTCCCTCTCGGGGCCCCAGGACCCATTTCTCCCTGGGGCCCTGAGAAAGGCCTCGTGCACTTCTCCCCGTGGGCTATGGACCGAACGCCATGGAGGTCCCACAAGTACTACTCAGCTGCCCAGTGGATATCCATGGGGAGAAAGAATCGGCATCTTTTTTTGGTTGGTTGACTTTAAAGGGGAACCCTCCCCCCCCAAAAAGGAGGAAAAAGAAACGGGCACCACTGGGCAACTGGGCATAAGTAGACCAACAGTCCCCACCATGGAAGGCTCACCCTTCCCCGCCAGGATGCATGATAACTCAAAAGACAGACCCAGTTGTATCTCCTCCAAATCATCCTCCTCTTCTCTCTCTTTGCTAGGAGGTCTCCTGAGCCGACTTTTTCGCATCCCCATCAGGGGTTCAGCACACCCCAACGCCTGCTTTTTGGACACTTCTGACATGGGTGTATCTTTTCAAATGGCCTTGGTTGTCCTTTAGGTTTCCCTTTAAAACCACACAAACAGGGGCACCGATTCCAAAAAGACAGACGAAGCAGCCGTTGGGGTCTGGAATTGCGAAGCAACGCTCCCAGCGATGCCCACGGGAAACCAGGCGAAACCGACCTGGAGTCTCCATCTGACCCGTGAAGAAAGGTTGGTCAATGACCCCAATGTGGTTGGTCATTGACCCATTTTTGCTTCGGGTCGACTCCGGGAGGCCTACCTGGAGGCGCAAAACTCGGTCCCCGAAGGCTGCCGGAAATGATTTTTTTCGGATGGAAACGAACGGGGCCGGCAGAAACCGAGAGAAGTCGAAAGGGCAGATCTGTTCGGCAGAAAAAAAAAAAGGAAGTTGATGTTGGACCCGCTTCCTGGAGTCTCCCGAGTCGGACCCGAATGAAAAATGGCTGGGTCATTACCTAAAATCATGGGGTCATTCGGGTCATGGAGACTCCAGGTTTACACTCCCCACCCAGGAGGGAGTGGAGCCCTACAATAGAGGGGACTATGAATAAAGGACGTGTAACATTAAGGAGGTCGGGACTTTCTGGGTATAAGTAAAGGGGAGTTACTTTGAAACAAAATCAGTGATGATCGTATGGGGTAAACCATTAGTAGCTCTTTAGCCCCTTCTATCAAACGTTTGGGTTTGAAGAGATCCTGGTTTGGGGGCGCCGAAAAAGAAAGCTAAAGAAACAGAGCCAACAGCGTCGCTACGTCTGCAGCCAGAAGCTCGCTGCTGGCCCGCCGGTGGTGAGGTGCGTCCTCAAAGGCACCTCGCTCGTCTCGGAAAACGTGCCGCGGCGCAAAACGCGGGATCAAGGATCTGGGGCCATTTCTTACCGAGAACTTCAGCATACCCTTGCGCCAGGGTTTCTTTTGGCTATAGTCCCATGGGTACCTGGACAGGTGCATGGAATGTTGTTTTGTGCAGAACAACCTGGAGTCTCCATGACCCTTTAAAAATGGGTCAATGACCCCAAAAAATTGGGGTATGACCCCATTTTTCAAGGGTCATGGAGACTCCAGGTACTCACTTCCTGTGTGGTTTTGCCATGAGTGGGTTGGCCAACAACTCCAAAGCTTTTGTTTGTCGCTACACTGGTCTTCCCAAAAATATGAAGTTCAGAAAACTCAGGGAGCGAATACGCTTACAAATGGGGCGTTGACTCAAACTTATGCAGATTGTCCAATGTTGAAGGGTAGGTTGAGGGGCACAGGTATACGAGTGATGCCTGAAGAAACAATTAGGGAGAAAGCAGCGCTTGTAGCATGCTTAAAATATTCAGGACCACAAGCAAGAATCAGCACATCAAGAATCAGCAACATGTGCGTATGTCTGTTGAAGGCATCCTCGCTGAAGGGTGGCGTGGTTTCGGCCAAGTCGTCCAAAAAGGCATTGCAAAATCATGGGCCGTGCATGCACAAAATAATTAAAGAGAATGGGTCTTACAAAAAAAAGACACCCAGGGTGAATTGTTCGAAACCTTAAAGATCCGCAAGCAATGACACCTGCATGCAAGCAAATGGGTAACAAGGACTGTCTTGTTCTATCAGATGTGACATTCGAGCGAGCAAATCCTTGGTCCTAGTTTGCTTAGCCAAAAAAATAATCAAGGCCGTCAACAAAGCAAGGCATCTCTTCAGGTCCTGACACGGAAGCCTTCTTCCCAAAGAAGCGTCGTTTCCGAAAGGAGTCTGTATACCCTGGACCCCAAAAGATCCAACTTTCCAACTTGGTTGCCCCAAAAAGTGTGGCTGGTGCATCCCGGATTTGGAGGGTAATCGGTTATTGTCCCAGATTTGTTGGTTCGTGAAATCCCTTTTTTGAGGGTTTGAGGAAGGTTTGGCACACCAATCCATGTCCCAATCCACTGAGCAGATCTCGCCTCGACCAACTTAAAGCCAGAAAGGGTGCCCCAGTGCCTCGGTTTCGAGCCGGCTTCAGTGAAAAACCCACCACAAAACAGAACATACCAATCCCAAGTCCACAACCCCATTTCGCCCACCTGAAAAATACGCCCACAAAGGGTAAAGCTGTGAATTGTCACCATGCAGCCAGTGGAATCGGATCTTTGGAAGGCTTGGCAATCACAGCTGCTCAGCTGTTCAGCTTTGAGACCAACATTCAGACATGAACTTGCACCGTTCCTGATTCTGAACTTGGGCGACTCGCATGGGCTCCTCCTACACAGAATTTATCCGGTGCAAGCGATCGGAACCCTGCACAGTCGATACGGCTGAACGGGACTCCTGAGTACTCCTGACCTACATGTCCACTAACAAAAAAGCAAGCCGATCTTACAGGGGCGATCAGGTAACTTAGTAAGTGGTTAGTAAGCCTGGTTCTAACCTACTTATTCCCCGCTTACTAAGTACCCGGCCCCGTTAAGTCAGCCGGTGCATCTTGCATTTGCTCGTTTGCCCCTGGCAAAGTGCATAGGAAAATGATGGCATCAGGTCATCAGGTCATTTTGAGCTCACTCCACAACCCAGCCAGCTAAGCAACCCGAAAAGGAAATCATAGAGATCCCCTCCCATGACAGCCTCAGGCCATATGCATCGATGCCTCGATTCATCTCCCGGTGTTAACAAATGACCTGGGCAATGTCAGGTGTGAAGAACGACGACTTAGACGGCGAGATCACTGGCTGTCGAGATCCATAACGGATGATTGCCAAACATGAACTTTGTGGGAAACCCTGAAAGAGGACCATTCGCGACGTGTCAATTTTGAACAAAAAACAACAACAGTAGCAACACAACAGTTTGTCGTCAACGTGGACCACCGAGCCGGACAAGCGGTCTCGGAGTTCCAACGCAATGGAGTTCACCTCAATTGTCGTCCAGGACCTTTCAGCCATGCGCTCCTTCAGCTCCTCCGTCACAGGCTCAAATCGGAAACTCGATGATTCCAATCCGCTCGCCTCTGTCTAAAACATAAATGGAACATCATCTCATGGAACGGTTGCTTAGAATGCCGCTTTGCAGCTGAACATGAAGGAGCGTGTACATCAAAACCAGCAGGCAGTCATTCATCACCCGGAGTTGCATCTGCCAACAAGCCGATAGGTTGCGTCTCAAAATGATTACTTGCACTAGAATATATTTGTTTCCATCGGCACCTCCTTCGGGCCATCTCCGACCTAATCCTGCTTGCATACCCGACACAGGCATTCCACCATGGGCTCTTGCCCTTTTTAAAACAATTCTATCAACCAGTGCTGTCGGTCGCTGCATATGTCCATTGCCGGAGTATGTAGGTCATGACCAAAACATAATATTAAAATTGTCTACCTTTGGGCAGGTTCAAAGGGAACAAGGGGAAGACTGGAAACACCAACCAGGAGTCTCCACAACACTTCAAACGTGGGGTCAGGACACTCAATTTGAGTGTATGACTTCCTTTGTCTTTAAGGGTCAGAAGCAGACTCCAGGTCCTCATGTCACTTGCACACCGCATCTCCCTTGCGCGAATTCCCGTGTGTCCTTTTTTTGAGGGTCCCCCTTTTTTTTGTGGCTTTGGACGAACACAAAAAAAAACACGCAGCCCTAGTTACTTCTGCCGCTACCTCACCCCAGCCACCCCACCCCTTACCCCACCTCCCCAAAATGGCCCAACCAACCTTCAAAGCCCACACACACCCCACGCCGGTTCTTAACCTCCATGGCTTTCCAAACCGACCCATCCCATCCGAGCCGATTTTGCGGCCCCGCTTCTCCGATCCGCGCGGCCTCGCGCGCGCGCGGATCGGATCAACCCGAGCGCCGGGCAGCAGCCGGGTGGCCGCCTGGTCGTTGACGATGGACACCGCCGTGCCCTCCACCGGCTCCGCGGCCCCGGGCCTCGGCTTCCGCGAGCCAAGCGCGCGGGTCCGAGGCCAAAGAGCCCGGAGACCGAGGAGGAGAACCGCCCGGAACACCCAAAAAACACCCACAAAACCTCCTGGGATAAATATATATATATATATGTATATATTATATATATATATTATGTATATATGTTTTGGGGGGGTCAAAGGAAAAGTGCTGTGATAGTCTGGTTGTTTTCCTTTGGTTTCCCTAAGCAAGGCGGGCAGCAACTTAGCACCTGGAGCCTCCATGACTGCAAAACGGTTGGTCAAGAACCCAAAATAATGGGGTCATTGACCCATTTTGAAAGGATCAGAAGGAGACTCCAGGGAGGTAGGTTATAACCAAGCGTAGGATTCTCAAAATTGGGGCTTTGTGGTATGGTTGGTGTTTCCCAAGCAGAAGGGGGTTCTAGCATCACCCCCCCCCCCCAGGGCTCCTACGAAACGTTCTATGATAGTGCCTTTGGCTTCCCCACACAAAAAGGGGGTCCAAACTCAGACACCCCTTCAGGTTCCTCTGCGTTTCTCAAAATCGCCTGCTTATATGTCCGACGACTTAGTATCTTGTAACCAAGGGTAGGATTCTCAAAATGGTGCCCCGGTGCGGTTGGTTTTTGTTTGCTTTTTGCACGCAAAAGGCGTCCCCTAGTATCACAGCCCCCCCTGAAGAGAACCCCCAAACACCTCCAGCAAACACACCCCCTTGAAAAAGACTAAAATAGACATAGTAAGTAGGTTATAACTATTATTATGACTAGGTTCCTCAAAATGGGGCGTCCCTGGTTGGTTTCCTTGGTTTCCCTTCAAGTAGCAAACGGGGGTCCAAAATCATAGGAACGGAGAGTGCTACTTAAAGGGGTACTTACTACTTACTAGGCGGTGAGACAACCACGATGAGACAACCACAGCCATGGCGGTTCTAAGTGTAAGTGGGTGGTAACCAGACCTAACGACTTGCTCAGTACCCGATCGCCCCTTCAAGTACTCGAATATTCGTTGCCAACCTCAGGTAAGTAGGTTATGTCCATAGATAGGGAAACTTGGGTTGGCCCCCAACCGTGGTCATACCGTACTTGAGTGATTTGAACATCCAAGTAGTATGGTTGGGTTCCTTTGGTAGAAGTAAAAGGTCCCAAGTGGATTCAGACAAGCCGGTCAAGTTAGTTGTTGCCCACATGGGGATATATAACTAATAAGCAGGTTAACTCCATTTTTTGGGGGGACTTACAAGCGGGTTATAGCTTAGGTTACAACCAACTTGCGAACTTGGCGAATCGAACACCCAAGTAGGGGAAAGCCCAAGGGTTTCTTAGGGTGCCCTAGCGTTCCTTGGACTCTCCTTGCACCGCCCCTCGGGATTCCGTGGGTGTTTTGTGGCTGACGGCAACGAAGCAAACAATACAAAAAAAAAGGAGAGCAACAATATGATACAATTGCGGCAAACTGTAGAGAATCGGTGTCCGAATGTTCCCTTACTTGCAATATGTTTCGTTGGCATCCAGCGTGCTAGCGTCTTTTCCTGCAAGAAAAAGGAAGGACCCTTCAAAAAAGTCAGGTGCTTAACGGAGACACCTGGGCCCAAAAAGAAAAACTTACAAACAGAGGAATAAACCCATTATGTTCGGACAATATCTCCAGGACCCCCAAAATGGCGGCGTTCGATCTCCCTGCCGTTATTAACCCAGTAAGGGCTTGTCCTTGGCTCATCTCAGGCTTACCAGGGATAGCCCCCCCAGCATAGCCCCTCTTCGGAGCCCTATCAGGATGCTAAGAAGGAGATAATGTTTATAAGAATGCGGAGCCTTAGGATGCTTATAAGGAGCTTGAAAAGGAGCTTGAAAAGGAGCTTGAAAAGGAGCTTGAAAAGGAGCTTGAAAAGGAGCTTGAAAAGGAGCTTGAAAAGGAGCCGAAAAAGGAGCCTTGTAAGCTGTACAAGGGATCCATGAAAGCGGGCCCCTCAAGAAAGGACATACCTGAGGGGAGTCCCGGGCTCGGAGCCTCAGGTTCAGCTCTGCGTCTCACGTGGCACCCCCCCCATCAGACTTTCTTTTTTGGTACCATCCAGTTGGCAAAATTGGCCAACTAAAAAGTCGCCAAACGCTTGGGAGTTTACCACTCAAGCGATTGGCCAACTAAAAAGCTGCCCAATTTCTTTGTGCTTGAGAATGGTCCAGACCCAAAAAGTGAGTGATGCTCATAAACTTACGGAGTGAGAAACTCAACCACAAGAAACGGACCCCCACTGCATTTCTGACAAATGACAAACCCAATGATAAAAACAATCAAAAACCTACCCCTTCTGTCACGCAACCAACCATTTGATGCTGGCAGAAGTGTTGCTGACCTAATGAGTCATGAGTTGACTGGAGAGGAAAAGTTCAAACATTGACTAAAATGATGAAGACACCAACCAGCAAAAAAGTTGACCGTTTGCCAACTCAACTGGTAAGCTTAAACCTTGGGTTCCCACCCCTTTGACTCTTAGCTTCCGCGCTGGTAGCGGCAGGTGCGGCCCACGCAGTGCAGGTAGTCTGCCACGCCTCACAGTGAAGCAACTGAAATTCTCACTTCCTGAGTGGATTGGCCAAAAAGAAACTGAACTTTTTAGTTACCACCAAATGGTCTTCCCAACAAGCGTAAGGTCCAGAAACTCAGGGCTTTGGACTCCTGCTATTTTCAGCCCATGGTTACCCAGCATATCTGCTTTTGCGGGTTGGCACCCTTGTGGAAGTTGTTGACAAGGAAAGCCAATGGACAACCCCCACGTGTTTCTCGTTCTTGCGTTGGCTGCGTGCGTATGTTCAGACACTCATGAGTCATACCTGTCGCCAGACTGATCCGACCCCCAAAAAGGTGCACTGTGGTGGTAAGGGAACATCATTCGGACACCAAGTTCCTACCTGGAGTCTCCATGACCCTTCAAAAATGGGTCAATGACCCCATTATTTTGGGCAATGACCCCATTGTTTAAGGGTCATGGAGACTCCAGGTAGGGAACTTGTCAGGTGGCCCCCCAACCAACGGATTCGGAACCCGGAAAGGGATTCCTATGGTCGAAAGGCCAAGTCTGGGCAAGTGGAAACATGCTGCCTTTGTTGAAGGTGAGCTCCAGTTGCCGGACAGCGGGTAACTTAGGTTCCCATCACAACTTGCGTCGCGAATCGAACACCCCCTTTCTCAAAGTGGGGATCTTGAGCTTCCGTATTCCAGAAAAGTAAGTCGCTGTCCTCTTGCCGATTTCTGCCTGGCCATACTAGCCCCATGTCGAATCAAAGTCGCCGCCATGCAGGAGCCCAATGATTCATTTGGCAAAGGCACGCGCACAAGTTGGCGTGCCGGGAAACTGGATCGAAAGGTTACCTATCCTGGAGCCTCCATTGCCACCTTAATTTTTGCTACGACATATTTTTGCTCGTGACACGCTCTTCTCAAAAAAGCCGCTCGTTTTAACAGAAAGTGCTCGAGACATCCGCGCAAATGCAATTTGCTACCTGCGATTCGTAGCATTTTTTGAATTTGCGCTCGTTTGCGCTTTTTTGCGCCGATTTGCGCTCGTTTTGCACTTTTTTTGCACATTTTTGCGCCCGTTTTGGCGGCAACTTGACCATGGGGAAGAAGAAAACACGGCTGAATGGGATTTCTGCCCGAATCGCCAAAAAGCGCTCGGAAGCGAATGGGAGGCAAAAAGTGCTACGTCGAGTCAATTTTGGTATCGAACAAGGGGGGAGGCAGAAATTTATGCTACCATGGAGGTTCCAGGATATATATACCTGGAGTCTCCATGACCCTTCAAAAATGGGTCAATGACCCCATTATTTTGGGCAAGGACCAACCATTGTTTAAGGGTCATGGAGACTCCAGGTAGTCGTGGCGAAACGCCTGGAAGCACCGGCTTCCTTTCGGGAAACCGCAGCAAATCGACCCGCGGTAATTCGACCCCAGACTCTGCGATTCTGAGGACCCCAGACTCGATGGATCTCCCAAGAGCACCACAGCATCCACGTTGTCCAAATGGATGCCGCGGATCGCCTCCGAAGACCCGAAATGCGAACATGGACCAAAACCTGCGGTCCATGGGGGGAGGGAGGGGGGAGGGAGCCCCAATAAGTCCCAAATAAGGCCTTATTAGGGTCTTAATAAGGGCTGATTTGGGCTCCCTCCCCCTCCCCTCACTCCCCCCAAGCCCCCATGACCTGCGGTCCATACTGTGGATGGACCAAATCCTGCACCACTTTGAACCATGCGAACTGCATTGCTGGTTGGCATTTACAGGCCTGGGAATCATCATTCCAGGATCATTCGAGGGATTCTCAGGTGCGAAATGGATTTCGCGACCATCCACATCCTGGTGGTTTAATTTCATGACCCATACCGGCCCTTCTGCCCATTTAACAAGATTTGGGGAGTCCCCTTTTTTCTTTGGCATGTGTATGTTCAGTCAGTGGCCAGGCTGCTCCGACGCCCTATACTGAACATGTGGCAAGGTTGAACCTCCTTCGGACGCCAAGTTCCTAAGTCAGGGACCTTCGGAGCCTCGGAGCCTCGGACCTTCGGAGACGCGCCTCGCAGTTGGCCACCACGACCTGGCACCCGGGCCGCCGCTGCGTGCGCTGGGCGCTGCCTGCTGGGAAAGTAGCCCTTGGCTTGTGGATGGCCACCTGGGTCTATGTCCTTTCAACAAACCAAATGTGGCATGTTCAAAACAGAGCCTCAAAACAAAATACACACCCAATGGGCGTGGCTTTCTTGAAGCTCCCTTGATTGAACCAAAGGGCTAGGTTTGCGGTATGGGGCTTTGCTCGAGCCGGGCACGTGCCCTGCCTATCTTTGGCCCCTCCCCTAAGTTCACACAGCAATTCAGTCCTGGATGTTCGACCGACTTAGTAGGGTTTCACCATGGTTACAAAGGGGACCAACCAACTAGTTGCCCTAGTTATAACTATGATGTCGCAGTTGGGGAGGATTAACAAGTCGGTTCACCCAATGGGTGGAGCTTTCTTGAGGCTCCCTTGAACCGCCCATTGTGAGGGTGCTGTTCTGAGTGGTTTTCTTGAGGGCCTCTCAGGTGAACCAAACAACAGCCACCCACTTTGAGGGTTCCCGATTTAGAGGGACACCATACTTTCCAGAGAAATGAATCAAACAGGGGTTTACTTGGATGTTCTAGGGAACCATGGTTAAACAAAATGGACCAAGCCCAATGCGCCCGAAAAAATCACCGCAGTTGGAACCTACTTACCTGGCGTTGCTTCATCCAAGCCGGGCTTATTTGGAAGCTCTCCTTTCAACGAACCAAAGGTGGAAGTGGAACTGTAGGAGCAACACATGACGAACCACACAGGAACACTGGTGGCAAGCTCCAACTTGGCCGAGCCTCCTATAGAACAGCACAGTAGCTTCCATTTTGGCTACCCCTTAATACTAAAGGGCGGGGGTCAATAACAAAGACACAACACACACACTCAACTAACCTTTTCTGTGACACCAAAAGTGAGATTCCCTTTGGCTGGCTGATTCCGAGTTGAGAGCGTCTTAAGTGAGCCCTTGTTGGTTGGTTGGTGCCATTGTTGGGGGGAACACGGGAAACAACAGGGTGCAGGTAGGTGCACGGGCTGGCCTGCTGAAGAGAACAAATGCAGACGCCCCTTGTGACAATCTTGTCAGGTGCACACACGAATACCCCGTGCCACCTTTGGTTTGTTGATGTCGAAAGGACAACTTTCAAATAAGCCCAGCTGGCATCCCAACAGCCCCGGACCCCCTCAAACCCTCCGGAGCCCTCCCTGAAAGCTGATCCAAATCTGAGACCCCGTAGATTTCAGCTGTTGGGAAAACCAGGAGCTGAAAAAGGAAAAGGTATGTTAGCCGGGGATTGCAAAGTCAAAGCAAATGAGTGGAGAACCTTGAATTGCGATTGGCAGCGTTTCGTGGTGTCACTTGCAAGCAAGCAAATCGCTAAGGTCGATATGTACTGTGTTTCCCAGGGTTTGCTGGAGAGTCGCATTCCTAGCAATTCAGCTGCATTGACCTGAGTCGGATCCATCCCTGACGTGACCCTCCCACGGTTCGAACGGACTGTCATCTAAGTTGGGTGCCCCTGGGTGAACGATAGTTTTTGATGGGAATCGCATCAAGAGCCATAGGGCTATGGGATTGATGCGGCTCGGAAGCCTACGCATCGGAGAGCCGAACGCAAAAGAATCCATGTGATCCTATCCCCTAAAATGGCTCGGATCAGCGGACCATTCTCAGGGAGAGATGTGTTTCCTAGGCATGGAGAGAAGTATTACCACCGTCAGGGGTGTAGACTGCCTAGCCTACATTGGTATATCAGCATCCTAACCTCCAAAACACACACCTGGAACTCGCAAAGAAGCCTTCAGGATTTACACCTAACTGGGCTGCCGATTTCCGATCCCCCGTTAAAAGTGACTAACTTTTAGTGGGTTAAATGGAAACTGCCACTAAACACTACAAAGCTAAAAGGCTAAGGAACCGGATGGCTGGGAGCCACCAAGCTACCCCAAAAATGAAAACGTCCAACACCGGATACCGCAAGCCTTCTGGCGACCACAGCTTGGCCGCTTCGTCGATGGCCTCTCTGCAAGTCAGCACTTCATACCTGGCAAACGCAGTGGCATGTGGACATATGGCTGTGGGTCAAAACCAATGGTACCATTTTGGGGTAGGTGCACCACCCAGTTTAGTCTATTTTAGTGAGGATTGGGATGTTCACTGGGGGTACGGGATTTTGACCCATGGCCATATCCCTCACTACATGTTTTGTGCAGGGTGTCCCTCAGGCGGCATGTCACCTGACAGGAGTTTGCTCACAGCTGGCATTTGCATCTGGGATTCAGTTGCCGGCCAGCCACCATGAAAACATTCATGGTTGCTTGAAGTGTTAGGCAATATTTCCCTGAAGGGTCCAGGGCCACCATGAAAAGTTCAGGTACAAGGGAAATCCGTGTTGAACATGGCCACCATGAAAACATTGCTAGGTCCTCCAGATTTGAGAGGTTAGAATAAGGGTACCCCTTTTTTTTCTGCAGTCTCTTTTAGTAGGGGAACCCTCCCCCAAAAAAGAAACGGCAAAAGGGCACCCTTCCAATTGCTGGGGGAGCTAGACGAATGGTTGGGTGAGTATAGCCGCCCGTTCGACGTGGACTGTCACCGTTTGACGGGATCCGGTTCCTGGGGCCCTTCGTCCTTCTGGGCTTGGAAAATGCGGTTCGAATGGAAAACCTCGGGTAAACCCCCCATGGGAATGCAGGCCTTTTCGGGGGCTTAGCATGATACCCGGTTTTCCCCGGGGTGGTTTGCAGGGGGAGTGGACGTGATACCGAGGTGGACCATCCCTGTCTCTAGAAAGGGGCCCACAAACAGTCAGGTGTCACTGGATTTCCCTTCAAGCGTTGATCAACTTACCGGCGGCTTCCCTTCAACCAGGGCCAGTTTTGGAGGTAACCCAAAAATAAAAATGACAAACACCTTCGCTTCAACTTTGGGGCCGAGTCAGTTTGAGTTTGATCCTAAGGTAATCTAATACCCGGGCTCATGGCAAACCGCTCCCCGCCAAAAGGCATCCATTAGGGGTACCATGTCTCCAATCCTTTTGATACTTCTTCCCCAGCCCATAAAATAGATAAGTTTTAGGGCTTGTTGTCGGGCGTTCCTTCGAAATCGAGGCCTTCTGTTCAACCATCATGTGGACAAAGGGCTTCCCCAAAAGAAAAGTACCTGGAGTCTCCTTCTGACCCTTTAAAAATCGGTCAATGACCCCAACATTTTGGGTAATGACCAGCCATTTTGCAAGGGTCAGAAGGACTCCAGGTAGTCTCCAGGTAGTCCTCCAACCGTCATGTAAGCTGCTCTGACAGAAAGAGTCGCATTTTGAGAAACACCATGCTCGGCCACTGCAGTCCTGGAGTTCGACTTCATTTTTGTGTCAAACACTCAGCCCAAGCCTCCCACCCCAGGTGCTCAGGGGCTCAATTTAGGTCCTCCAGATTTGAGAGCTTAGAATCCGGGTACTTCTTTTTTTTCTTCTTTTCTTCTGTAGTCTCTTTTAGGTTGGGGAACCCTCAACCGAAAAAGTTAAAGGGCGCTACCGGAAGACCTAGCAACTTGGTCTATGCTTTTGTCGAACACTAGGCTCAATTTCCGAGGCCCCTTTGGCCAGCAGCAAGCCCCTTCACCTGGATCCTAGGAACCCGTTGCTTCCTTTTGGACCAAAAAAAAGGATGGCCCTGGACGAACATCTCGACCACTTCTCAGTTCAGTGACCCTGGGAAAAAGCAGGGAACCCATTTTTGGGACCATTTTAGTGGGGCAGCCACCAAAAACATGGAAAAAGGGAGCCACTGAACAACTGAGATTTGTTTGGAAGAATCTATTTCCAAAGTTTCGCGCAGCCCAGGGGCACTGGCCCGGCCCGTACTCCTGCAATCGGAAATTCAGCTGGCCTTGGTCACTCGAGAAGCGCAGCACTTTTTTTGTTTGCCCCAAGTTCTTGGGGCCTTGAAGAACAACGTCGGTACCTCGTTCTTGGCCGGTGATCGAAAACGAACGCCAAGAAGGCGTTGACTGCACTGGAAATTGATCGAGGGAAACAAAAACTGCCACCTTAACAAGAAGGAGCTAACTACACCAGAAATCTATCAAACAAAACACCGGGCTGCCCTCGAATCTCCCGCTAAAAGTTGAACTTTTAGTGGGTTAAATGGACACTGCCACTGAACACTAAAAAGCTAAAAGGCTAAGGGATGAAGGGGATGGCTGGGAGCCACCAAGTGTTGTCTAGCCCGCTCAAAAGTTTTCCCCAGCGGGACACCACGCCATTTTGGGGGTTCCTGTTTCAAAATCCGGCCGGTTTTCAGTTTGGAGCTTTTTCTCGGGCCGTAGGTTGTCCGCCGTGGGTCTTTGACGCAGTTGGAAGCCCCCGCCCCCGAGGGCGTTTTTCGTGGACACCAGCTCCAAAGCAGCGACCCCTACAGAAAACATGTAGCATGGTCCGCGGAATCCGCGGATTTGGTTTGGGGCGAGCAAGCCCTCCGTCCGCTAAGACTCGATGCGAGCAAAGCAACACCCACACACACACACACACACACATGTTTCCGTTGGTTACACTGCGTGTGGAAGTGGACATGGAAAGCGACCGATTTCTCACACCTTCGCGGCATCCAGCGGTGCAGAAAACGATGCCCAGCATCAAAACTCCCGAGCTCCGCCCGGGAGGCAGCAGCGTTTTGGAGTGTAAGGGCAGCACCCAAGACCAGGTTCAGCCCATACACGCCTCGGCAGATGTATCGCTGAAGTCAACCTCGAATAGAGATGCTGCTCATGCACGTTTTGCAACACAGCATGGTTCTGTCCAAGCGCCTTTTTTGGTGTGTTTTAAAAGTATGGGACCGGGTCCAAGCAATGGCTGGTTTCCTTTCGGTTTCACTTTAAAGCCACAAAACAGATACCCTCAACAAGCAGCAATGCATATTCGTGCCATGGTCAATAATCGTGACGGGCAGGCTGCAGAAGTCTAAACGCGTGAATTTAATCCACGTTGGGCAAGCACATGCGGCAAACCGGGAACTGCAATGGATGATCACAAGAAGCACCCACTTTGTCTTCCATTTGCGTAGAGGTCCCCGTGGAAAAAGGATTCAGTAGCTTTAATTCAAAACCAGCAGGAACAAATAAAACGGATTCTTAAGCAAATGGACGCTTCAACAAAGGCTGCCTGAAGACCGCGTGCCCTGCCAAACGACAATGGCAGGACAGCCAGACCGATTCCGCTCAGAGAAACTCAAACAAACTGCGCACGGAAACCACAGCTCAACATGCGAATCAAATGTCTGCATCTCAGAATATGGACATGTGTCAAAACATGGTAGCTACAACAGAAAGGTGTTCCCTCTAACAACCTGACAACGGCACCCTCCAAGACTTGGTTGCTTTCTGCTCCCCTGCTAAAAGTGGCACATTTGTTAGTGGTTTAATACGGCAAAAAGTTCTCAAGTCCTAACATCCCAGAAGGCAAAATGCACCAAACAAAAATCAAAGGGTGGTGTCCCCGGCACCGGACTGGAACCGAATCTCCGGAAGCCTGAAAGGTGGCAGAGACCCCGTAGGGCCCCAGGGCTCTATCCTCATTGAACGAATGGTTGACCCAACTTAGATGATGACACTACATACACACACAAACACCAAAAAAAGAACGACACAACACAAGACAACACAACACGACACGGCACGAAACGACACAACACAACCAGACAAACAAACAGGCAGGCAGGCAGGCAGACCTTCTAAGAACCTCTTATGGTGCTCACGAAAACCCTCCACGACCACAGGTATGCTACTGTGGATTGATGAACTCCTTGACTGATTGGTGGTATTTTGCAGGGGAATCATCATTCCATGCTTTCTGAGGTGATGAAGGGGATTGTCCATCCACAGTATGTTGTACTCAAACACCAAGATTGCATCCACTAAACCTCGGCCCACAAAAAAGGGCTACACAAACAATCATATGTGTACTGACTCTGCTGCATGTTTCGTCTACCGTAAAACATACGATTTCTGCAAACAAAACAACTCAAAAAGACAATGAACAAGGGCATTTCCCGGTTATTGACTCTTGGAGGTATGGATGCTTCTATGCCACCAATGTCATGCAGTATATGTCCCTTAAATATAAATGATATCCTTACCCCTCCTCCCCACATATCCAAACCACATCCCTGGAAAGTAAGTTGAAATCTGGGCCGCTCGCCCCCTGAGCAAAGGGTCTAACCTTTTGTGGCGTCAATGTAAAACTGCTTGTTTCCAAAATTCGGTCACCCTGTTCTTCAGCGACACTGTCAGAGGGGAACCCTTTTTGCCTTGATTCCAAGTCGAGGGGGAGCCAAGCAAAACGTGCTTCGGAGGCTGCCAGCAAAGATCAGTCATCTCCATTTGCTCCGTTGGGAAAAATATCCAGTCGTGATAGATTTCCTTCAAAACCACAGGGGAAAAAATAAAATACATATTATTTCCAGTAGTGATAGATTCCCTCAACAACCAACAGGGCGAAGAAACAAAAAACACATAAAGATAGCTGCGCTTCAAAACCAACAGGGGGCAGAAACACATAAATAAATCTTAAGCAAATGGTAGGCCATGAAACGACCCCAGGCGCTGTTAACTCCGAGGCGCTCTTTGGTGCTTTCCCTCGCTCTCCAGTGGTTGCAAGCACCTCAAATGGCGGGGCCCCGCGCGCATTCGCCCGCGAAAGCGGCTCCGGCAAAAACACAAGGGACGGTTTTTGCTCACCACGGTCAATCTTAATTGTGCCTCCAGGCATGGGATGTTGGGGAAATATTTAGACTCTATTCCAAATGGTAGTTTCTCTATTTCCAGATGGGTTTTTTGGTGCGTGCGCCACCTCCCAAATGGTCCTCACTGGACATTTCCTCACAGGGTTGTGTAGGCTATATAGGCTATGGTATAGGCTTCAGACACCCATCCCAAAAAAAAATCGAATACCCGGGTTGGAAGCGTACTGGAAAGGCCTGATTCCTGGAATTACGACTGCAATTGAGTATAGGGAACTTCCTGATGGAACTATACCATGAGCGGCTAGAAAATACGGGGTCTATGTTCAATCCTAAACCCACGACTTAAACCTTTCTGTGGTCATAGGGCAAAGATGTGATTATTTTCTTAGACCCCCCAAAATCCGATGGTGTTCGTCTTGGTTTTCCTGTTCCCGCAAACAAAAACGGGGTGCCAACTCCAAAGAAAACGAGCCACCCGTGTCTCCGATGGATGCACCGAGACGCCAGGGGCCCCCGGCAACGAGCACACGCCTTGCCTGGAGCTCTACAATGGTCTGGGCCGCCACCGACATGACCTCTGAACCGATCGAGGCGATCGATTCGGTTGCGGGACGGGCTCCAGGGATTCCGGATCTGGGTCCCGATACCACCTGAGCTGAGTTTTGGATACCATTGGGTAGTGCCTTCAACTTCACATGGAACCCGAGGTTTGGGAAATGGTCTCTGTAAAAACATGGCGCAAACCAAGACCCCCCGAACGTCAGGTTCCATGTCAATTGGTGGGAGGGTAAGTGGTTAGTGAGCTTGGGGACATGACCCACTGAACGGAGACTTATAACTATGACTTAAGTCTTAAGTGGGTAACACCCTGCCCCTTTGAGGCAAATTGGGTTTAAGTTGCAGTCGCTGCCATGCGAACCCCCCCACCCACCAACCCCAACACACTTCCCCCAACATGAAACCTGACTGATTCGGTGGAAGACGATATTCCTTTAACAGGGGCCCTTTGATCATTTCCATGTTAGTGGACAGTGGGGTACACATCTGCAGATTAACATGAAACTTCAAGGAACTCATGATTGATAGAGTCACATGTTTTGGGTTGGCTCAGAAACACTTCCTGAGTAGATGTGCCAAAAAGGTCCGAACTGTTCAACTACATGGTCGAGACCGAAAAAGTTTGAAGTCCGAAGCGGAACTCGGGCAGTGAGTTGCAAAACCGGTTGAACGCATCAACCCCCGAGGGACTTTCAAGTGGAAGCGGGCGCAGGTTGGATTCTTGGCTTCAGGGGCCTGAGGTAATGAGCCCCCCCACCTGAGGTGATACGGTTGAAGCCCTAAATATTGCAAGTGCGGAGCAGAAAAACAAAGGGCACAGTGCACTAGAGGAAGCACTGTGACATGATATCTGTGGCCCCCTTCCCCTGATACAATGTTGAACTTGCAATATATTGGGCCTCGGAAGACGGGTTACGGGCTTGGCTTCAACATTGTAACTGGGGGAGAGAGGTCCGCACGCAGCGGGCGATGCCACAGAAATGGTGTCAACATGTGCCTTGGTGGCACTTGCAAAATTTAGGGCTTCCACTGTACTGAGGTGGTGAAGTGGTGACGCCGTGGCAAACCAACGAACCAACCAACCAACCAACCAGCCAGCCAGCCAGCCAGCCAACCAACCAACCAACCCACCCACCCACCCACCCACCCACCCACCCACCCACCCACCCACCCCACCCCACCCCACCCCACCCCACCCCACCCCACCCCACCCACCCACCCACCCACCCACCCACCCACCCACCCACCCAAGCAGCCAACCTACCTACCTACCTACCTACCTACCTACCGGCCGGCCAGCCGAGCAAGCCGAGCAAGCCAGCAAGCAAGCAACCAGGCCAACCAGGCCAACCAGGCCAACCAGGCCAACCAGGCCAACCAGGCCAACCAAGAAACCAAGCAAGCAGCTAACAAGCCCAAGAAACCCACCTACTCAAGCAATCTCGCAAAGAATGCGCACCCGGCTGAATTCTCCGTTGGACATAGTCCATAGCAGATGTTAGATACTTAAACAAGGGCCACTGTACTTATGGGTAATAGCCATGGCTATGACCCACGTACCATGGTTCTAAGTCGCCGTTGAGTGGGCTATAACCAGGCTAACTAACCACTTACTAAGTACGCGGCCCCTTTAAGTACAGTACATATTCCAGAGCAAGTGACCAGGTGTTATATAGACCGACTTTAAGCACTACAAAACAAAACTGGACTGCCCTCAGATCCCCCGCGAACAGCTTAGCTTTTAGTGGGTTGAATGGAAACTATACTACTAAACACTAAAAAGCTAAAAATCTAAGGAACCGGATGGCTGGGAGCCACCAAGAACACATGCCCCTGCTCGACTTTTCTACCTGCTTCAGGGACTCTCAATGCCGGCCGGCTCAACCACGCCTTCGGGAACCGGAAGGGGTTGGGCACGCGCACGCGGTGGCCTGCGTGGATTCGGCGGAATGGGATCTCTATGGTATCTTGTTCCTCGGTTGCGAAATCTGCGAAGCCCTGCTAAAAGCTTAACTTTTAGCGGTTTAGTACGGAAAACCCATTAGTTGGCAAAAAGTTTCAACGGCTACTTGGAGTCTCCACGACCCAATGGGTCAAGTTTGAGTGACTCCATTGTGGAAGTGTCGTGGAGACTCCAGAACTCCATGTGCGTGTTGGTTTGAAGAGAAACCAAAAGGAAACCACGCATTGTGGGATTCGTGTTTTTTAATTAAAAAACAAAAACAACAACTATGGATGTCTGGCTCAATACCTAGGTACCCTCATTACCTTCTGAGGATGCTAGAGCCAAACATGGGGTCATTTGTTTTGAGCCCAGCAAACCAAACCACAATGAATCAAGGCGCGGGTGGAGTTAGCTGAGGATCCAGTGCCTTACACATGACATTTTCTCGGGTATGAGTTCTCACGGAACATGTGGTGACCGCAATCACATCATGGGGATAAAAGACCACCAACCATACTGTGGATGGACGAGATCCTTCAAAAAGTCAAGAAACTCTGGAATGATTCGATTCCCCCGCAAAAGCCACCAAACCCATGGTTTCCCATGGTTTCATAGTGGTGCAGGATGTCGTCCATCCACAGTATGGGAGGATGCTGCCCTTTACAAAACCAACCTACAGTCTCCACCTTTCAACACCGGGTCTTTACACAGAAAAATCCAGGATGCCATGTCTCAAGGCTCATGGAAACTCCAACCACCTTGATGTTGATCCGGGGGTGTCCTTTTCAGTGGGGATTCAGGCCACTTTTGAGAGGCCCAACCACCACCCTTTGAACGTGAGCTCTGCTTGACCCGTGCCCAACATGAGCCACCCCGTGATGGGTGGTTGGTGTGGTGGTTAGGACCTTAGGAGGCACCTGACCATTTGGCCATGGGTCAAAATCCGAATCGTACCCCCAGTGAACATCTACCACAGCCATGTAGGTATGTTGTGTCTTCAAGGGCCTCCATGACCCTTAACTGGGCTCATGAACCGTGCCTGGTGGTGTGGCTCTTAGGTCCCTTCCCCATTTGGCTTCAAAAGGCTCTGGGGTTCAAGTCCGAATCTGCACCAATCCAAGCCACCAGCCAAGTGATGCCAAAAAGATGCCATTGATTTGCCGTTGAAGGCACCGCCTTTGCAGGGGTTTCACTCGGTTGCGAAATCTGCGAAGCCCTGCTAAAAGTGACTAACGTTTAGTGGTTTAGTACGGAAAACCCAACTAAGTTGGCAAAAAGTTCTCAAGTCCTAACAGCCAAGCAACATGCACCAAAGTAAAGCAACCGATGCCATTTTGGGGTGTCCCGAAAGAAAGAAACAAAAACGAAGAGACAGAGTCCCACCATGGCCGAGACACGCAGGCCAGCAGGCCAGCTGGTACTCCCATCTCCGTACCTTGGCAACAGCTCCCGTTGGATCCCGGAATCCGACAACTAGGAAGCGAACGATGCCATCCGCAGTTGTCTGGTAGACAATAGAGGGACTCTCTCTACTATACTACTATACGCAGCGGACACCCTGTTAAAGAGGTCCCTGTATTTTCGAACAAGAAAATTGGCAAGGCACACATTCCTGTCAACAAACAGGCAACCAAGCTTAAAGCAGACCCAACAAAAATCCTCGGCCAATTTACTTAAGGGGAACCCAAAATCAAAACCAATTATTAAGAGGGACACCAGTGGAACTCCTCCTAGTCAAAAGCGGGCAAAGTTAACAAAGACAAGGAAGGGATTGAACAAAGGAGACAAGAAGGCTTGAGAAAAAAATCGAGGTAACAAAAACTAGCTCATCCTTCAAGCCTAAACCTAGAAGTTACATACTCTAGGGTTTGATTTTCCCATTCTGTTCAACCATCGTTCCTTTAAACAACTAGCCATGTTATTTGGGTGTCTGGAGGTTTTCTGGCAAGAAGGATCCCTAAGAATGGGGAAGGTACCCCTAGAAATATGCCAATTCGCATTATTTTAGCAATCACTTCCCCCTAGTTGGTGGTTTGGATTGATGGTTTGGGGATTTAAAGCCCCGCTTCTTGGCCGGGGTACATAGGAAACCACCTCCACCGGGCTGCAAACCACCAATTAGCCGGAAGCTGAGTGTAAGAAACGGAGAGACGTCCAATTGGGCCCCTGGCTGGCCAATTTTCGGCTTGTCCGGCGCCTCGGCTTGCGCACGCAATCCGACAGAAAAACCTTCAGTGGGGGGGAGGAATATACAAGCAAGCGAGAGGCTCCCATCACCTCTGGTACCAGTCCCTAAATGGTCAGTCCGTACATCCCAATTCTAAGGTAGCAGGTGCTGACAAGAAGGCTTGGGCCGGTTGGGACAGAAGTTTTCGGCACGCAGAATGAGCAAGAAACTTCTTGAGTGGATTGAACCACTGCTCCAAAACCTGTTTCTTTGCCGCTCACATGCCCAAACCCCAAACCTTTAGAACCCCAAATTTTCTCCTCGACTTTGGCCCTTTTAAGACCCAAGACCAAGAACCAGCTGCCTTTCCTCCTATCGAGGGGGCTTTCTAGTTCGGGAAGCCAATCGCAACTCTGAGGTTTCAAGGCGAGAAAAAACGGCCGGCGGCTTCCTCTGCTTTTCTGCGGTTTCGGTTTCGGCGGTCGATGAGAAGTCTGGAGTCTTGTCTTGACCCCACTTGAGTCACAATCAAAACCGTTCAACATGGTCTACGTGGAGTCTCCTTCTGACGAATGAAAAATGGGTCAATGACGCCAAAATTTTGGGGTCATGGACCTACCATTTTTCAAGGGTCATGGAGACTCCAGATACCCATAACCATGTAAATAATTTTCAGGCGGCCGTACCTAATAGTGGGTTTCCTTGCTAACCTTGATCTACCCGGAGTGTTTGATCGCAGATGACACCATCGCCAAGACGGACAACCACTGGAAACCACAGGGTCAAACAAGTGAGCAAGACTCATTGACTCTTTGTTCTGGCAACATGGGTGTGGGTAAAACATAGGTACCCAAAATGGAACCCTGGTAAAAGACAAATGGACTAAAACCTGCGGTCCCGTAGTGGTCCGATTTTGATCCATACCCACATGATTGTAAAGGTTAATATAGGCCTCACTGCCATCCCCTTTCAATCACCACCAACACTATACTTTCAAGAAAAACTGGTAGTAGAAGCCCCTACTGGGGTTTGGTCGTTGCTGATTTTCCGGTTTGCTCAATAAGACAATCAACAACTGGTACTAAACTGGTCTCTACCCAAAAACATGCAAAGAAAGCGTAGGGCGGATGTTCGCACCTATTTGAGGCAGGGGCTGTCCTTACCCTTTGCTTTCGCGGATGTTGATGTCCCAGAGCACTTGTTGTCTTTGTTGTTTTCATACATCTTAGTTATGTATTGTTATTTGCTTGGGGGCGTAGTGGATTTTGAAGGGAACCCCACCCAAACAAAATGAAAAAAGGCCGGCGCTGTAGTATTACCACCTAGTTCCAAAGCTTGGATCACCTTGGGAAGCGTTTTGGTTGGATCCATGTTGGTTCTTGCCTTAGTGGATGCCAGGCAAGCAACCACTGGACTAAACCGCAGCCTCCATTTGTGTCCCCAGGAAAATATGAGTACATATTCCAGCCCCTTTTATTTCCAACCGAGAAAAACTACATAAGTATTCATGTCAGCAAATCATGCTAGCCACCTGCCGTACCCGATCGCCCCTAGAATTACTGGGCTCCCAAGAATTCCACCGGGTTTGGATGGCCGACACTTCGGCGTTGCTTCGATTCGGCGGAGAAAAAAAAACAACACACACACACACTAAAAAACGACTCGCCTGCCAGTGCAAGCTCCCGGGGCTGCGGATCAACGTGAGGTCAATGCCCGCGCCTGCGGAGGCAGATGAAAGCGGCCGCGGCTGAAATGGGCGATCGAGGCCGGCGATCGGGGGCTATGGGGGCCCCAAAAGGCGCCCGCAAAGGTTCCTCGTGAAAATTCATATGATCCGTATTGCTGTCAAAGCAAGGTTCTCTTCATTACTTCAAGGGCTGGGTACGTCAGGGAAGTGGTGAGCCTTGTTATAACCCGCTGGGAACGGACACGTATAGCCCTGGCTTTTGTGAGTTATCCGACCATATGGTTAGTACCCACTTACTTGACCAACCTGATCGCCCCTTCAAGTATGGTGTCCACGACCGCGGAATGACTCGGACCCAAGGAAAACCCGGTGACCCGTTATATCTCCCAGGGTCCCAAACTGAACGACGGACCCCAAAGAAACACGTGCGTTGATTGTTTCAAGGGAATTCTTCAAGTACAATGTCCTCAAATCCGGAAATATGATGAACCAAGGAACCCTTGGGTTTTGTTGTTTTTGTTTGTTCTAAGAATGGTACTTTTTGTTGCTGTTCTGATTTTCATGTTTGTTTACACAAAAAGTCACTTGCAACGGGTGCTCATAAACACCCAAGGTCTCAAACAGATTTCGTCCTTTCAATGCCTTTTTGAGAGCGGGAACATTCCTATCTGCTCCTTCCCCTTGAATCCTCCCACCCACAGTCGTGCTAAAAAACAAAGAAAAACGATCCCTGGGGTTCAGGAAAGCTACCGTGACAATGATTGGGTTCATACCACTCTGGGGTTCACACCACTGTTTAAGGATTGTCATCTTGCCATTCATTTTGACGGGGAGTTATCTAAAACATGTATTTAGTTGCCCTTTAACCACTCACTTCTGATCGATTGGATTGGTCCAAAGAAGTCTGAACTTGCTATGTTCCGCTACAATGGTCTTCCAAAAAAGTGACTAAAGTATGTTAACTCAGGGAGTGAGAAGAGGACCAGGCCAGTTGTTACAATTGCCGAATAACATCAAAGTTCCTTCCTGAGATGTATACTCACGGACCCAAAAAGGGATCAAAGCAGATCCTCCCACATTCAACCCTCAGCGGATCCCAGGCAGTTTGACAGTATAGTCAGTATAGTGACACTTCGATCCATTTTCCATCTTGTTGGATATTCCCGGTGTTCTATATTTTGGCTATCCGGTAAAGGCAAATGGAATCACTGGGCTACAGCTTGCGCATTGATGGAGACAGCCCCCCCACCCCCCACCCCCCCACACTCGCGCGAGCGCCGGCCGAGTTCCGGGCTGAACTTCAAATTCCGGTTGGTGCGGCGACTCATTGTGGCCTCCATCGGAGAGTCGTTGAGTCAAATTCGTCAATCTCGGACTGTCCGAGATTTGCAACCAAGACCCATGTTTTGTTTGGTTTCCTAGACCCAGAGGACCCTGCTTTCCTGCCTTTGCACCACTTTCCTTGAAGTCAGGCGTACTTATTTGCGGCGGATGCCCAAAATATTGCACAGGAACAAGGAAAGCCTCGCATCACTGAAATTTACCTTGGTTTCGTGGTTGAGTGTGATTGGTTTACTTGCAATGCTTGGGGCATCCACAATAACTGAAAAGCAGGTTTGCGTTTCACAGGAAGGGTGTCCGTTTTTAGTGAAACACTGGAACTTGTCTCATCATGACCTCGCTTCCTGAGTGGCTTGGCCAAAACAAGTTTGAACTTCTTATTTACCAACAAGATTGTCTTCTCAAAATCTCAAGTCGTTGACTCAGGACAGAAGTGGATGACTTCCATTTCTTGAGGGTACTTTGAGGGTACTTAAAGGGGCAGGGTACTTAGTAACGCTTAGTAAGCGGGTAATGACCATGGTTATAACCCACAAAAGCCATGGTTGTAAGTATGCTAAGTGCGTTTTAGCCATGGTTGTAACCCACAAAAGTCATGGATGTAGTATTACTTATGCTAAGTGGGTTAAAACTTAAAGCCATGCATGGTTGCAACCCACTTAGCTCGATCGCCCCAATCCGCGTCGAAGCCGGGGCTCCGCACACTCGCCGCCACCAGCTGCCACTCCTCCCGCCGATTCTCCTGACGCAGCAAATCGAAAGTCAGAGCAAATTGACGTTAGGACGACTAGGTCCTCCAGTAGCGAGGTTAGAACAAGGTTACCCTTTTTCTCTAGTCTATTTTAGTAGGGGAACCCTCCCCCAAAAAAGGGGTAAAAGGGCACTACTGGAGGACCTAGACGATTTGCATCCGAGGCGATCGAAACTGGGCTGTCCTCTGCGGAAAGCTGTTTTCTAGTGGAAACCCCCACTGAACCCTAAACAGCGAAAAATCCAGCTGGGAACCACCAAGCAAGCACATGTCTGGCAGACTTACCTCAACCCCCAGACCAAACCCCAAGGAACAAATATGACAGTTTAAGCTTAGGAAGTCTGGTGCTACAACCTTTTAATGTTTCACTTTCGGAGAAAATGGGCCAAGAGAAGCAACCAAACTCGAGGAAAACCACCAGCACGGTCTCCCGAAAAGTGACTCAAGTTCGAAACGTTCAAGGCACTGTCCAGAAATGCGGTGATGAGCTCTTCAGGCTCGTTCAGAGCGTGGTGCACCATGAAGCAAGCCCGGATCAAGTGAGCAGCATAGAGCCTGCCAGCTGCGTTGTTGATCGTCTCGCCCACGAGGTGCACGATCGTAGAATAGAACGGACAGTATCCCGATGGGACTCTGTTGCTTTTGAGCGCCGCCACACTGTCCATCGAGCAAGAAGACAACTTGTCGCGACTCAATTGGTCTACCGCTTGGACCTTGATAAGGATCAGGGCTCAGCTATTCTCATCTGCTGTTGTGGGAATGCAACCTGAGATTGCAGCGCCAAGGCAAGTGTTTGCCCAAAAAGTGTTGCTGAAAACACGCGCCAGAACAGGCATACTGGTCGCCCCTTCTTTGGGAGAATGCCAAGCTGCACCATCTGCCTCACGCAAGCCTGCTCTGCTGTGCTAGCGCCGTCACCAAGACTTGCCATAGCGGCTCCAGCGCCATCCCATCCAGTGCCGTGAAGATGGTGACGGGAATCCGAGAGGGAGTGACCCCACCCTTTAAAATGGCGAAAGCTGACCTACTAATGGCGAAATGCCTGGGATCCACTGGGCTGGGGGCCATTTGCAGCGAGGTTCCTTTTCCAGAGACGTTTCTCAGGAAATGGGACGTGTTCTTTTTTAGGGGACCCCCAATGATGGCGTTCCTCTTGGTGTCCATTCAAAACCATCAACACACACGTCCTGAGTTGGCCAAACAAGTCTGAAGTGATGGTTTACTGCCAAAATTAGTATTCTCAAAAAATGAACCCAGGGAGGGAGACAACAAACCTCCAAAGGAGATGCCAAGAACAACTTGATTGAAAGGTGTCAGCCCGGTGACCCCTCCGACTTGAAAATGCACTGAACAACCATTTGCCCAGATATTGTGAGAATTTCCAAACTCTACCTCCATTTGCTCTCCCGAGAAAGAATAAACGTGTTTCCAGTAGTGATGGATTCCCGCGAAAACCAAAAGGGAAACATCAAACACATCCTTAAGCAAATGGAAGTAGATTGGAATAAGAAGTCATTGGGACCCTTTGGTGAACAGCAAATCCAATGGGGATTCATGGTTCCAACTCTTTTGTGCTTTTAGGTGTCTGCTTTTACGGAACGCCCCACAATGGTGATATGTTCCTCTTGGTTTTCCCTTGAACAAAAAAAACACCGGGTACCCTCCAAAAGAATGACAAAAAACAACGTATGGGTGTGGCTCAAAATTAAGCAGGAGGGGTCTTGCAGATTCCGGTCCATGTTTGCACGTACCGATCGGGCAACCCATGGATCGAGCCACAGCCACATGCTTTCTGAAAAACCTGGGCCGCAACTTCCCCCGAATGCCGCAACAGCCAACACTCTCCATTCCCTCTCCCCGTGGCCTTGGTCGTCTCCTCCTCGATCATGCGCAGCACCATGACCGCAGGGTCCTCCTCGGACTCGACTCAAATAAAATGGTCGGAGGACAAAAAGAGAGAGCCGGAGAAGGGGCCAACAATAGGCTGAAGAACTTTGTTCTGGTTTCCAAGAAGACCAATAAGCTGAAGAACTTGCTGAAGAAGAACTGGCCTCATTCTTTTACCATGATCAAAGTCACCCCCCTCAGTGGTGGGTTAAAAGGGGAAACAACCAACAACCATTTTCTGACTTTGACAATCCCCAGAAACCGTCAAAATAATGACACCAGAAGAAGGGGCGTGTCTTCTTGGAGGGTACCAGTGACTTTTCTGGCTTCAGCGGAAGACCAAAAGTAAGCGCCATATCCTTTTGAAGGGGTGCCCTGACACACCACGGCTACCTGGACCCGCAAACCCTTACAATTTCAACAGCACGACACCCACCCCAAACAAAATGAAAACTGGCACTGGTCGCCTTTCAACGACTCCAGTCATTCGCTGCTGAAGGGAACCAAAAAGTGGCACTGGCAACCCGCAGAAGCCGAAACTGCGGGCCAGGCCTTGTCTTGCCTCTGCCGCACTCGCCTTTGGTGCCTCCGAAAACGCGCACAAGCCTCTCAACTGCTTGGGTGGCTGGTTCCCCCTCCTTTTGGCGAGTCTCCAAGCAAGCCTCTCAACTTCCCCCTCTTTTGGGTGTCTATCGAAGGGGAACCCCCATGGATGGTTTTCCCGTGTGTCCTTTGACAACACCAAAATGGGTACTTGGGTCTTCGATGCGCCAAGTTCGCCAAGTTCGTATGTTGTTGGTCACCGTTCGGCTCTAACCCGCGTCAAGCAGTCCCCGTTCAGTGGAGTTAACCATGCTTTGAGTGGGTTATGACCCAAGCGTCTAACCACAACAATCAACTTGGCCACGGACATCCAAGTGGGGTGCGTTCTTTGAGGGCACCCTTTTTGGGGTGGCTTTCAAGGGAAGCCAACATCTCGACCCAAACAAACATCGCTCAAAAGGCCGCGCTGGCGTTTGACCGGGAAACCTAAGCCGGGTATGTTTGTGTTGTTTGACAGGGATCGGACTTGAGTTGAGTCTACCTGGACCCTCAAACTACCCTTTATAAAGGGGGATCTCACCCCAGACTTTTTGGGGCAATGGCCCACGTTTCTGGGAACTTTGATGGTCAAGGCCATGGGTTCCCTCTCGTTGAGACACAGCAGAGTCAAGTGCTGTCTGACTCCATGTTTCAAGCCCAAAGGATGCTGTGGTACCCGCAAAGGAATCTGTACATGGGTGTTCGATATGCCAAGTTAGTAAGTTGTTAGTACCCAAACTGGGTCCTCCAGATTTGAGAGGTTAGAATAATTTGGTACCCACTTTTTCTGTAGTGTATTTTGATAGGGGAACCCTCCCTAAAAAAAAGTTGGAAGAGAAGTGCACCTAGCTGGTGGACCTAGCAAAGGTTCAAACCGGTTGCACGCCCCCGAAGTGGAGTTTAGTGGCTGACAACCCATGTGGCTGTCCAAGCTGGCGAATCGAGCATGCGCGTATTTCAGGAATTGGCAGAGCCAAACCCAAAACCGGTAAATATATGAGGTACCAAAGATGTTGCAGTGGAAGGCATGGGACACGGAAAGGGGCCCTTCCGTTGTCTGTTAAAGTCAGGGCACCCTGAGTCAGCAGGTAGAAATGCCGAAAAAAAAACCTTGACGTCCACCCGAATCGGTCCCGAGATCTTTCTGGGACCCCAATGCTCAGTTGCCCCTTGAAAAGCTGGACAAAGAGAAAGTGAGTACCTGAAGTCTCCTTCTGACCCTTTAAAAATGGCTCAATGATCCCAAAAAAAATGGGTCAATGACGCCCCTTTGTCAAGGGTCAGAAGGAGACTCCAGGTACCATTCGTTTTTTTGGGGGGGTCATGAAAAACGGAAGCTGGGGAAACTGAAAGGTCAGATCGATTCTCTTTGGGCCTTGGTGAGGTGGGGGGGGGAGCATAGTGCCGTCGCAGGAACCAGGTGAGAAAACAAAACAAAGCAAAAGCGACGGGATGAACGGAGCAAACGGAAGCACGGCCAAGGCGGAGGCCCGGTGTCGTGCATGTGGTCAAAGTTAAACCAGGGGACCACCAGGTTTTAGCTAGGTCGCATGTCCACACATCTTCTGCAGTGGGGCAGGCACTCAACGGAAAATGTGTGGAAGCCCCGAACTTGGTTCTGCAAGCCTCGAAGAGCCTTACCTGGCGGCCGAGTTTTCGAGTGGAAAACCCAAGTAAAATAAATAACACGGGGTCATTGAGCTGGTGGGGGCAGGGGAGGAAGGGGGGGGTACCTGAACACTTCCCCTTCAGCGAAAGGCGCATCAGCAACTGGTGCAAACTGAGGAGTTACAGGCAGACCTAAGACCCGCGCAGGTTCCATTTGTTGACCAGGCGGTCGGCTTCATCCACCACCTCAAGTACTCGGGAGATTTTCGATAAAAAAGAAAGGCCTTGTAGCTGAGTTAGCGAGCAAGGTGTTTGCCCCGAAAAGGGGACCCTGCTGCGATTCCTTTGGGTTTCTGTTTGGACTTATTCCCACGTTGCCGCCAGAAAATCGAGCAGAGGGGCCTGCGAGAGGAAACCCTCATGTTGACACACAAAGAATGGAACAACATGGAAGTGCATAAGTAGGACTTCTAGAACTAGGCAATTTCTTCCCTCAAAGGATTCCTCTCGCAACTTTGAAGCGCGTGCTCCTGGGCACCCAAAACAACTTGAATGTCTAACCAACTTAAACTTAGTAAGTAGGTTATAACCCTGGTTAAAAGGAGACCTGACCCAAACCCAGTTACCCTAGAGAACCTGCTTGATGAGTTGGTTGAACATCCAAAAAGAGACTCTATCCAAACCCTATATAACCCAGGGTCATTTTGCTCCAAAGACTTGAACATAGAACGATTGAAAGGCCTCCTTGTCAGACCAGGTTTGATTTTGTTGTTTTAACGGTCCCCAAGTAAACCATGGAGTTCAGGATTGCCACTGAACGACATGGTCACTCCAAGCCTCAGAGCATGATACCGAGTCGGGCCAACCAATCATGATTTTCTGATCATGGCACAGCTTAATCCCCCCCCAAAAAAGGTTCACACTGGTGCATTGTTTTGGGGGGAACCCTCAAACATAAACATGGAGGTTCCCTTTTGGTTTCCCTTGAAAAGGTTCAAACTGTCACAACAATCTTGCTGGTGCGATAGGCAGGGTCCGTGAGAAACGGAATGACCTGTCCAAAAACCCATCCAACTGGTGCAGGGTTGTGGGAAATGACCCCTTCTGCGATACAACAAAAAGGGCTTCCCAAAGACTAACACCCCATATACAGGGGGAGATTCCCGAAGGTATCACAGAAGTGGTTGCATAAACCCCTTGTGATTCCACAACCCATCCAACTGGTGAGTTCCTTTATTCAGGGACGGAATAACCCATTGTTCAGATGGCAATACAAGCAGTTGGGTAATAACCATTGAAGGGAAATTTGGGTAATACAACCATCCAACTGGAATAACCGCGGTTGCGTTCTGCTCCCCTGCTAAAAGTTAAACTTTTAGTGGTTTAGTGGAAAACCCAATAGTTGGCAAAAAGTTAAAGTCCTAACAGCCAAGCAAAATGCACCAAAGCAACCCATTCTTCAGGGACGGCCACGTGAAATTCTGAGAGCGCAGCCACCATGTCCACATTGGCGATGGCTCTCGTCCACGCGGTCTGCGTCCTCGGAACCCGCTGCACAAGACCATGATGGCTCACATCTCGGCGTCCCTTTTGGGAACCTGGCGTTAAAGAAAACACAGAAGAAAGCCCAAGACCAGGATGCATCGAATACCTCCATTGGCTAACGCTCCCTTCAGCAAAACAGAATAACAAAATATATGCTCTGTAGCGAAATCGATTCCCTTTAAAACCAGCAGGGGAAGAAACATGAAACTTAACCAAATGGAAGAAAAGCACTCAGCAAAGAAGACCATCACTGAATCCAAAACGGCAGGCATAAAGTTGAGCCGCGGACAAAGGAGTCTGCAGCAAATCGCGGATCTGCCGAGGTGTTGCTATCACCTGGCAATGACTCGGTTCTCTGCCAGGGATACATAAGAGCCCTACACAATGAGAACACGGGTGGGGGGGGAGGTTCTGTCTTAGGGCAGCCCGTAACAGCCAAACCTGGGAGACGAATGGAAGAAGGAACCCATTCCTTTTTGAACATAGTTTTGTCCCCTGTTGGTTTTAAAGGGAAGAGATCACTACTGGAAATATGTTTATTCTTTTTGTAGGGGACTTAAGCAAATGGAGGTTTTTGTTTGGTCACGTCGCTTCTTTTGAAGCTTGAGTTGATTCAAGCTGACCGGCAAACACAGACAAGCACGCACGCACAGGCGCGTAAGTCGACTTACCTTCCAGGGATGTGCGCGGAATTCAAGATGTGGCGACGTACGTCCTTATGCATTTCCAGTTGCTCAGTGGCGCTCTTGTTCCTTGTTTGTGTGGGCTAAAAAAATTCGCAAATGGAAGCAATCCTTAGGGCCTTAGGTAAACAATGGTGGTGATATGAGCCCAAGTTGTTTTAACTGGTGATATGAAACTAAATAAAAGGGTGGCCTGGCCCAGGATTCTGCGGAGTACTTACCGAGAACTTCAGCAAGGTACCCTTGAGCCAGGGCTTCTTTTGGCTTTGGTCATAGTCCCATGGTTACCTGGACAGGTGCATGTTTTGTGTTTAACAACAACCTGGAGTCTCCCTAAGGACCCTTGAAACATGGTCGGTCCTTACCCAAATTGTTGGGTCATTGACCCATTTTTAAAGGGTCAGAAGGAGACTCCAGGAAGCTACAAAAGCCATGTGTTTTCTTCCGTCAGCCGTTCAGCGGCTGCTCTCCAGGCTTACTAACCGCTTTCCTGACGTGCCAAATCGATCGCCCCTTTCAGTAGGTACCCCGCTTTTTTTGTGCGGCCCTTGCAAAGTGGAGTTGACAACTTAGTGGACCCCCAAAGGACCCCTTTTTTTCTGCCTTTGACCCATCAAAAAGGGGCACAAAGGCAGAAATAAGGAGTCCTTTGCGGGTCCAGGTAGTGGGTTACAACCATGGCCTTTTCCACTTACCCTTTAAAATCCATGGTTCTCTTTGTCTCCATTCAGTGGTTGTTATCTCACCAGTTGCATACTCGCCTCGATCGCACCTTCAAGTAGCACATCCCTCTGATTTTGGACCCCCTTTTGCTCGTTACTTGGGAAATCAAAGGAAACCAACCATGAAATTTCAATGGGATTCGCCGCCATTTTTGCTTGCTACTTGAAGGACCCCCCCAATTGCCACTTACATAAGCCACTAACCACCTGGACCCCCAAAGGACCCCTTTTTTCTGCCTTTGACCCATAAATATAGGGGCACAAAGGAAGAAATAAGGAGTCCTTTGGGGGTCCAGGCACTTGCCTGACGTACCGCATCGATCGCCCCTTGTGGAATTCGCTTCTCAACTCGCGGCGGGCTGGCGATGTTGCTGGGCGTCGAAGTGGTGTCCACGTCGCGGCGCATCAGCGTCACCTGAGCCAAACGCGCACCGAGGTTCCGCTGGGCCCCGAGGGAAGTCTCAAAGGGTGTGCCTCACACCTGGAGTCTCCATGACCCTAAATTATGGGCATATGGGGGGGGTTTCTGAAAACTGGGCTGCCCGATTTCTGATCCCCCGCTAAAAGTGACCAACCGTTAGCGGGTTAAATTCGGAAACTGCCACTACCCACTAAAAAGATCTACAAGGCTAAGGAACCGGATGGCTGGGAGCCACCAAGTCATATGGGGGGCTCTGAACAGTGGAGTCCAAAAAGTTGACGTCCAAAGATCCAACCAAACAATGTTGACCTCATATTCATCACCCCGCGTTTATTCATAGGGGGGTTCCCCTCCAAAAGTGGGCTGAATCCCCACACATTTCACCCAGGGACACCCCTATTAACAAACTGGCTATGAAGGAAACCCTCTTATATAAAGGGGCGATCGAGGTGATCGGGTACGTCAGGTAAGTGGTCAGTAAGCCTGGTGAGATAGCCCACTGAACGGAGACTTGCAACCATGGCTTTTGCGGCTTATAATCATGGTTATTACCCACGAAGTACTCGGCCCCTTTAAGTACCTCATATGGGTGTTTCTTAAAATTGGGGACCCTAAGTGGTTTCCTTTCAAGACCATCGAACAAAGCGTCCCCTATGTTGAGACACCCATATATTTTTGGGGTTGGGTTCTTTCGGGAATTTCGGGAATTTGTAAAATACAAATTCCTCAAATCCAATTTCGGTAGACCCTTTCGCGTAGTAGAAAGGTCTACCCAAATGTTAGGCAAAAAAGGGGGCTCGCACCAAGTTCTGACTTGGAATGCCCCTTTCTTCCTGGATGTTCGGTCAAGTTCGTGAGTGGTTGGCCACCTGGATTATAGCCAATGAATGGCAAGGTTAACTCTGCTTAGGGGCGGGTTATAACTTGGGCTACTAACAACTCACTAACTTGGCCGCCAGCCAGTTGGGTGCGTCTTCTTGTGAAGGCTACCCTTTTTGGTTGGTTTCAAAGGAAGACTGCAAGGAAACCAGCCATGTTCGGGGCCTTCCATTTGGCTATAACCAATGGGAAAAATGAATTATGTCCAGCAGTGAAATTCATTCCTTTAATTCCAACAAGGGACAAACAATATATATATATATATATTTTTTATTATAAGCAAATGGAAGGGGCTCAACCCCCAAAAACGCAACACTCAGTTCTCCGCTCCTGCGCGACTCTCGGCTCCCCACGTTTTCCGCCAAGTGTGGCCCCAGCAAAGCTCTCGCAAGAGCCTCGGAAGCGGCCGGCTTCTGATATTTTTATTTTTTTTCGGATCCATTGCTTAGGACTACACACACACACTCTGGAATGATTCGGCTTCGGATCCATTGCCTAGGTCTTTTAGTGGGGAGGCTAGAATAAGGGTGCCCGATTTTGTTCTGTAGTTTATTTGAGCAGGGGAACCCTCCCCAAAAAAAGGGCACTTTGAAAGGGCGCTACTGGGGGACCTTGTTGCTTAGGACTACACACGCGCACACCCTAGGCTTCCTGGTGGGATAGGTAGGGAATGATTCGGGAATGAACCCTAAAATTCCTTAAAGGGTATGAATGGGTTCCATTTCGCATTTCCTGCTAGGCACCGGGGCCGTGCGGCCGGGGACCTGAATGATGGGAATCTCTTCCTCCACGAAGCACAAGAGTTCGACAAGAACCGTCTCCGGGTCGCCGACAGAGGTGAAGTCCTTGCTCCAACCCATGACTGGATATCTGTCATCTTTATCCAGACTGCCGTAGAGCGCCGCAAACTGTTCCGTCTTAGGCGCACTTTGGGTCAACTTCCTTGACATCCTCCTGCGTTCCAACCAAATATGTTGTTTCAATATGGGAAAAGTTACCCATTGTCAAATCTGGGGCCTGAAGGGAATATTGACCCCAGGGTTCGACCCCCATTTAAAACAAAAAAGTTAACCCAAATCGGATGATGAAACTCCTTAGGGAAAGAATGGCGATTATACTGTGGATGGACGAAATCCATTTCGCACCACTTTGAAATCCTGGGAAACTATTGTTTGGTATTTACAGGGGAATCATCAGAAACCAGGGTTTCTTAGCCGCTGCGAAATGGATTCCGTCCGTCCACAGTATTAACTTAACCCCCCACTGCTTCTTAATGGCTTGGATCCCAGAACGCGCACATCTCCCAATGGAGATTTTCACCACGAACACGGCCACAGAGGCGATAGGAGGGAGGTCCTATTAGCGGCATTGGAACACAAAGCTGCCTCTTTTGCGCCTGCTCCTATTGCGAGTTTCCCACAATTGTGGACCCTTTCTTGATTGGCATTCTAAGGTCAAATGGACATCAATTTCGGGGACCCTTATTTTGAGAAACACCCATACCTGGAGTCTCCATGACGCTCGAAAAATGGTTGGTCATTACCCAAAATTTTGGTTGGTCATTGGCCCATTTTTAAAGGGTCAGACGGAGACTCCAGGTATGAAGAACGCCGCCTGAAACAACAAATCACCTTGGTGCCACTAGGAAAAAAACCCAACTTGGAATGGTATCCCCCCCCACTTGAAGGGAGGGTGGCCGCTCGCCGACCGGGGTACGACTCTCGAAGCCTTGGCCCTAACCGGAACCCACCAGCGGGCTTGGAGAGGCCTTTTGCAAGATGACCATAACCTGCAAACCCAGCGGGCCCACAGGGGGAGGAGGGGGTGGGGCCCGATTTAAGGCTACCATGACCATGGCGGGGGAGGGGGGGGGGGGTGCCAGACCTCTACCATATATACCTTTCCTCTCTTCTAGTTATGCTCACACCCCCTGTCTTTAAAATAAGAGGATTTGGTCCAATTTGAAGAAGAAAGGTAGGCCCTGCGGGCGGGGGGGGGGTGAGCATATATATATATATATATATATTGTATATATATATATATATATGTATATCTATATATGGCGGTTTGCCTTTTGCTTTCCCTTTAAGACCACAGCACAAATACCCACCAAACCAAACAAACTTCTGCGTTCGGCCAAGTTAGCAAGTTCTTCACCTAAGTTAAAACCCGCCTGGAAGCCCCCGTTCAGTGGAGCTAACCTTGCTAATGGGTTAGTTATAATCCAGGCCAAAGACTTACCAAGACTTGGCAACGAGCAAATTTAAGCAGCCTCGACTCGATGGCTCCTCACGGGGGCATTTGTTAGCTGAGCTTGAACGTGGAGGGTTGCCCCCCTTAAGGAGGGCAAGCCATGCGCACAACAAATGTCCCCAAGACCCAAAAAAGGTTTTCCCACTGTTGTTTTCGCAGTGGACTTTCAAGAGCCCCACCCCCCAAGCCCCCACCCCAAGAAAAACAAGAGGACACACCTCCCCCCGTCAACAAAAAAACAAAAGCGTCCCCAGCCGGGCTCCCGAAGCAACATGAAACGAAGACACGAGGCCGCGGCTGCTGTCTGGATCTGCAAGGCCTTGACACCGCTCGCACTGGCTTCACTCCAATAGCCATCAGGAAAAAAAAACACGCACACACACACACACCAGTGGCTATGGGGAAAAAAACGGGCATCCTTTCGGTTGGTGTTGCAAAAACGGCACCACTGGGGCAACTGGGTTTTGCTTGGCCCCCCCTTTATGTGGGGTACACAGACAAACACACAAACACCAACAGAGAACAGACACACAGACACAAACAAAAACAGAGGCAGAGACAGAGACACTCACACACACACACATTAAGGTCAAAAAGTAGTTAGGGTGAGTGGCCGCGTCGCCTTTCTTGGTAAAGCTTGGATGCTGCGAGTGCTTTCTCCCTGGTAGCCCTCGGACGTCTCGCTTGCTCGGCAATCACACAATGCCCCGTCGAACGGAACCATCACGATGTTTTGTGCTTATGAGCAAGCTTGTGTCGCAAGGGACCAACAGCCATGGCTTTACATGGGCTTTAGAAACCTGGGAAACAAGTGCACCCCTCCCCCCATACATTTCGCTTGCATCCACGTTCCCTAATCTAGCAGGCAGTGTCCGTTTAAAACCTGCGATTGCGGGTCAAAAGGGGCGCGCGCTTTCTAGGGGACTCCCAAAATGGTGAATTTCTCTGGGTTTTCCTTTAAAACCGCAAAAGACAGGGGTGCCCTTAAACTCAGCTCCTGCGTGGATTGGCTAACAAAATGTACAAACTTGTTGTCAACACCCCACTAAAGCGGTGATCCCCAAAAGTGACTAAAGTCCCTGAACTCAGGGAGTCAGTAAAAGAGACGCACCTGGAGTCTCCATGACCCTTTAACAAATGGGTCAATGACCAACCAACATTTTGGGCAATGACCAACCATGTTTTCAAGGGTCATGGAGACTTGAGTACCTAGAGCCCTTAAAAATGGAGTAATTACCCAAAATTATGGGGTCATGACTTTTTTGTCTAGGGGTCAAAGGGGTCATGGAGACTCCCAACAAGAATCGCACCCAAAGGAAGCAACCGTTCCGGCGAAACCGGCTCTTGCTTTTTTATCGCATCCGAGGTTCCGCGGAGGGCACCAAAATCAGGAAGCGCAAGCCCCGCACGGGGGCCTGCGCCGCCTGACCGGAACATGGGCGCATTCAGAATTTGAGTCGGCTAGTGGAAAACAAAGGGAACCCCAAAAAAACAAAAACAAAAAAGGCTAATTCTGGAGAAGGGTAGGACTTATGACTTCAGGTTGATTATTGGTAGGACTTGGGACTTCCAATTTGCGTACTTGGCACAAGTTTGTTGGCGCAGAGACGATCTTTAGAACGGCTCATGATTTATCCTTGGAGGTTGATTGTTCAGGGATCAACTGTAGATTCGTAATAAAACGAAAAAGGGTTTTGGGTAGACTCAAACAGGTGTAAGCAGGGGTCAACTGGATTCGTGGTACAGCAAACAAGCGAAAAGGGGTGCGTCCCAAGGGCGGTCTTGTAACACCGGTCCACAAACTCGGGAGTTACCGTTTGGCAAGCCCCAGGCTGTTGTCTTCGAATCCAAGCGTTCCTGAACCGATTCGAGGCCAAAGCCAGCCTCAAGAACTGATGAACCTCCAAAACAAGTCCCAAACCTTCCCTTGATATCTGGGAAGGATGGGCAAGCTGATCCATTTTGTCCTCTAAGTACACCTCAGGACTTATATTTGACTATTTTGACCCCCAAAGTACATCCTCACGACCCCGTAATGGCTGTCAAATGAGCCCAACACATCAGCCAAGACGTAAACAAACGGGTCACATGAACAGGCGTGGGAATAGAACATCTGGCCATGAAAAATAGATGGCCCTGGTACATGGAATAAACCCCATCTAAACCGGTGCCATGTGAGTCATAATCCAAACCCGGTACAAAAATGGTGCACTCAGAACAATGTAAAGAACTAAGAAGGCGGATATCCGCAGCTCTGTATGCTTGGGATCGTCCCTAACCTTCATCTACCCGAATCGGTTTTGAGGACGTGGCTCATTTGATACGCACACAAACCACAAACAATGACTACAACTCAGGGAGTGATCCCTTGGCTCCCCAGGTATTTGTCACCAAACGAACCTAAAAAGGACACCAAATGCATCTGGCCGTTCCCGATATCGTGTTTCGGATATCGGCGGAGCTGCTGAGATTCCCTCAGCGGGGTAGTTTTAGACGCGCCCTGGATGCTTGGAGAGCCTTGCCTGATATCTTACTAGGTCCTCCAGTGGAGAGGTTAGAATACGGCTGCCAAAATATGAGGTGCTCCTGCCAGGTGCGGATGTCTTGTTTGAGGCTGGAAAAAAGGGACCCCAGCAAAACAACAACAACCTTTTTTGCCTGGTTAGAAAACAAAGGGACCCCAAAAAAGATCAAAAAGCAAAAAGGGGAGCTAATTCTGGGGAAGAGTAAGTTGGTACCAACTTTTTGCGGTAGTCTATTTCAGTAGGGGAACCCTCCCCCCCAAAAAAGAGAGGTAAAAGGGCACTACTGGTGGACCTAGATTAAGGCAAACCTCATTTCTGATGGCCCAGTGATGGCAGATGTTTGGTTTGTTCGGGCCAGGACCCACCAAACAAAGAGACGCGTTCAAGGTAAATCATGGTGAAACCCAGTTGACCATCTGTGATACTACCAGAAGAGGGAATGATCTTGCAGTTGAACCCGACTGACTAGCGCATTCATACGAGAATTGGGGTTGTGGGGTAAGTAGAAATCATACTTAGTCATGAAGTCATGATAGGGGAATACTACTTGTGAGTTTGTTCAAGTTATGAAGTTGTTGGTAACCTAGGATACAACCGGACTACAAGACAAACCACTTACCAACTTGGCACCGAATGATTGTTGCTTTCTGGGCATGGCAAGGTGCCGCTAGCTTGCCCCACGGTAGTCAAACCCAGTTCCTTTTGGGGAAACCACCTGTAATCAAACAGTGAAATTCAAACTCATGGAGGGCACAATGATGCTAGGCCACGACGTCATGAGTCTTTCTCCAGCACCTCTCCCCAAAATTATGTCGCCACCCGGCTCCCATTGGACCTCCTTGCTGAATCGCTGCAGCATTGGCAGCAGATAGCACAAGGTCTTGCCCGTGCCCGTCGGCGCTTGGATCGCACAGGACCTTGCGTCCAGCCAGCAGAGCTCAGACCGCCCAGTGGCCATGGGGAACAAAAACAGGGCTGTGGGAAATGGAATCCACTTCTGTGATACAACAGAAAAGTCCTCCCAAAGACTAACCCCTGAAAGAAACAGGGGACTCCCCTTGTATCACAGAAGTGGGGGAAACAAAAACACCTTGATGCCACAACCCTGAACAAAAATGAACACTCGTTTTCTCGGGCGCCACTGGAGGTATGGGCAACCAATACCCTCACCTTAACTAAAAAAACGAGTCCCCCCCCTTCTGTTATGCCATTTCTCTTGTTGACCCCATGCTTCAAGGGTCAGAAGGAGACTCCTGGTAATTATTCATGACAAAGAAGCTCCGTTTACCCCGTCGGCGAGCTTGCCATAAAGGAGGGGCAGATGGATCGGATGGACAACCGCCCCCCCTCCCCCACAAAAAAAAAACGGAAAACAAAAGACGAAGGACACCGGTCGGTTTTCGCTCGGAGTCAGAACAACCTATAAGGGGTCTTTGGGTCAACATCCGCATGGGAGCACACACTGTGCCAACCCCAATTCTTATGAGAGACCGGTGGGAACAATCTCCAATTTCGGGTTGAGGGTCCTTCGGTTCCTAAGGAACAGAATGGAGGGTCACTTTGTACATCAAAAGGGGCCCCCAACCTGAAAGCTCCTTCCCTGAAAAGGGATACCTGAAACGCCTGAAAAAGAAGGAGTAACATGTCAAGTCTGACCTGTAGGTATGAACCCTTGAGATCGAATCGCCCTGTTTTGGACTAGCACCAACCTACCGGCAACCAAACCGAGCCCCCGAAAGTCGGGGGATCAAAGGACCAGGCGCCGTTTTTTTCCTCCGAGCAGTTCGGAGCGCTCGGTGGTGTCTTTGTTTGAGGGGACCCGTCCCCTAGAAAAACAACACCTGGAGTCTCCTTCTGACCCGAATCAAAAATGGGGTCAATGACCAACCATTATTTTGGGTAATGACCCCATTTTTGAAGGGTCAGAAGGAGACTCCAGGCACACACAGGTGGTCTCCCCAACAGCCCAGAGGGAAGCCGCTCAAAGCCTCCCTTTTCAACCTCTCCGAGATCCGCCCCAGACCACCCGCTGGGGGGGAAAAAAAATAAGCGGTTCCTTTTGGTTTCCCATCAAAACTATCCAAAAAGGGGTTCGACAGATTCCCGTCACAAGAATTGTCCAAGCGGAACCAAGTTAGATGATGACAATCCTGAACGGCAATTCAGGTAACTCCTGGCTCAACCGATTCCCATTAAAAGTATCGTTCCAAGAAGGGGACCCGATTTAATGTAGATTGCAATCCTGAACGGGAAACCATGGTGGCTATCTGAACCCAACCATGGTGCTCTCTTGCCAACCTTGGGTAAACCATGGTGGTTATGTGAACCCAACTGTGGTTCTACCACCCGCCCCCTAACCTTAGGTCGACAATGGTGGTTATGTGAACCCAACCATGGTTCTTACGTTAGCAACTTCACTTCCTGAATGGACTGGCCAAACAAAGTCCGAACTTTGGTTTACCACTATGATTGTACTCCAAAAGTACAAAGTCCATAAACTCAGGCAGTGAGTTAATGGGTTATACCAACCCGCCAGCCCCCAAACCTTAGGTCGACAATGGTGGTTCTGTGGGAATGAACCCAGGGCTTCCCCTTCACGGAAGCCAGCAGTTGGATGGTTTTCTTTAGGGGTCATGCCATTTCTCATTCCCTGCTTGCTGAATTCGCAGCAAGTTCACCTTGGGCTTCCACTTTCCCGTATGACCCCCTTTCGAACTAGTTTAGGCCCTTATTGTAAATCCACTTGCGAGGACTGCAGCTGTTTGATTCCTTGACTGGGCTGCCCTCAGATCCCCTGCTAACAGTTTAACTTGTTCAAGGGTTAAATGGAGACTACCACCAAACACTAAAACGACTTAACAGGCTAAGGAACCAGATCACGCCACCAAGTTGACTTGCTGTTGACCCCCCTGCAAAAAGTGGACCACTTTTTTTGGGTTTAGTCGGTTTAGTGGAAAGCCCAGCTTGATGTCCCAAAAAGATCAAGTCTAAAGATCCAACCCACTAGCAGTCAAGTGAGTATGTACCACTAAACATCCTGGAAACCCATATGCGACGTTTTTTTCTGTCCATACGGCTTGGGCCATAAAAAATGACCATACGGTTATTTACGGCTTTTTGTCAACAATTTGTTGGAAACAATACGGGTTGCATACGGCCAAATACGGTCACCGGCCAGCCAAAAATGACCATACGGGAAAAATGATCCAAATACGGGTTCCGTCCCCAAAAAAACGGCCATACGGCTTTCCAGGATGGTGTTCAACTGCATTACACACATGTATACTTGGTTGACGTTGGAAGGGGAGCAAAACATATTTTTTAGCAGTTAAGTGGGGATTGCCCACTAAACCGCAATAAGCAAAAATGTAAAATGTTTCCCAACAACCATGTATCCACCTGGCCAAGTTGAGACCCTGATTGATTTGGACCTCTGGGGCATAGGCTCGCCGTTGTAGATCCGCGCCATGGCGGACTCTTGGATGGGCGATGGCCGGAACCTGCTGGACACGGACACTGGATCGGCTTCTCAGCGCCCAAAGTACCAAAAGGGAGTCTCCGAGTCTGACCCGAAGGAAAAAATGGGGTGGTCATGACCAACCAAGATTTGGGGGAATGACCCACCATTTTTTAATAAGGGTCAGACTCGGAGACTCCCTTTTGGTACTTTGGGCTCACTCGTTGATTTGGGGCTACTTGAGACCGCATGGTTCGATTTTGAAGGCTCATGGGGACTCCAGCTGGGGAAGGTCATTTTGGGGCTTGGGAGTGCATGGTATGGAATTCTGTTTCAACATTAGGGGACCGCCCACAAATAAAGGAGCCTGATTGACCATACATGCGCAAACAACAGCACAAACTCCGCGGCTCACAGACTTGACAAACACCTTCCAATTCGGCGATTGCCATTTAACACAAATCCACGGGGTCCTAAAAAGGGAATTACCTGGAGTCTCCATGACCCGTGCAAAATGCATTACCCAAAAAATTGGGGTCATTGACCCATTTTGAGGGAGCCCTTTTTCGGTGGGTTTACATGAAAACCAGTTTGCAGGATTCCTGCAAAAAATAGGACAAACCCGCAGAGTCCAAAACGGGGCGAAGTTTTGTCACACCAAGCCAAGTCCGGAAAGAGATCCATAACTTTGGACAATCCAGCGTGCTGTTATCATACCAGCTTTGCTTTTTGCCGGGCCCTTTTGATCTGGCTGGGGATTTGGTCACTTCCCGGTTTGGATTGATCTCTTCCGGGGTGGTTTCCCACTGCCCCTCCACCAAGAACCAACAGTTGAAATCCAAACCACCACTTGAGGGATACCTAGGTGCTCTAGTAGCGAGGTTAAAATAAGGGTACCCTTCTTTCTGTAGTCTGTTGTAGTAGGGGAACCCTCCGCCCTCCCCAAAAAAGGGTAAAAGGGAACTACTGGGGGACCTAGACCACTTGAGGGAGACCAAACAAAAAGTGGCGGCTCTGTTGAGACCCCCAAAATAGCTTCTGTCTGGTTTTCCTTCTAGTGCTTAAAGGGGCGATCGGGTGCTTAGAAAGTGGGTAATAACCATGGTTATAACCCACAAAAGCCATGGTTACAAGTCTCCTACAAGCCCCTGCACCTTTAAGTAACTTTGGGACCCATCCCTGGGGCGAAACGAGAGAACATCCTTGAAACCTTTAAGCGTCCCTTTAAGCGTCCCTGCACCTCTAAGCGTCCCTTTCGATCTCAACCAAAACCAGCGGTTACCCTCCGCCCGCTGTTTTTTGGGGCCCAAGCCCTTTGGACATCTCTTCCTGCGCCTTGAGCCACCTGCGACACTCGTAGCACGAAAACCGCCGCTGCCACGTCGGGTGTTAAGAGGAAACAGAGGATTGAACAGAACAGAGGGAACTGAGGGAATAGAGGGAACCAAGGATTGAACAGAACAGAGGGAACAAAAGATTGGAGAAACGAAATAAAACATTCCAGCACCCCCCCCCTCAATAGGTTGCAAATGGTCCACCATACACGGACGTTTTGTTCTTTGAGGCTAGCTTTTTTGCAACAATACATGGCGCCGACTATGATTTGGAAGTCTTTTGGATGGTTTGCTTGCAAATCAAGAGGCAACCAACCGGTATTGGGTGTCTACTATGACATGTACGTGTCTTCTTTGAAGGTACCCAGGTTTTTGCACCCTTTTTCTTGGTTCAAAAGGGAAACCAAAGGGAAACACAATTTCTAAAGACACACGCACATTGGGTGTTAAATAGGAGGAAGGGAACTGGAAAAAAACGGCACCACCCATTTGGTTTTTCGGCCACATGGCAACCCAAAATTTAGCCATCAGGAGGTTTTACAGACCATTGGACAGCCACTGTCAATGGGCCCCCAGAAACCGCCAAAATCATGACACTTGATTTAGCACTCATGCTAAGGGGCAAACCCAAACGGACGCGACATTTATCTTATGAAAATGGGGTGATTCGGCTTTATACTCCGCACCCCAGGCCTTTACAGCACATGGGTTTAGTGTTTGACTTGTTTGTACCCGCAAATGGGTTAAATGGTTGCGGTGAGGTTGACTCGTTAGCCCTGCCCACCTGACACCAGGTCGGTATGCCTGTAAACAATGGCTCTACGTTCAGAGCCTGCTGACTTGCTCCCTGGGATTCAGCTGCCAGCATCAAAACAATCTCTATCATAGGGTCACCATTGGGAAAAATAGATGGCCATGCAAACGGAGAAACCAAAAGCTGGACCAGTGCCTTCTATTTCTGGCCAAGCTAACGCAAAGGACACCTATGACCATTCATAATTGTGTTCCCGTCGGCAAGGCCATTCTTTCAATGGGGGTTTGGAACCAGCCAAAAAAAGGTGGTATACTAGCCTGGACCCCACAAGACCTTCCATGTGTCTGCCTTTGTACTACTTGTTCATGGGTCAACGGCCAAGCAAAAGGGTCCACTGGGGGTCCAGGAGCGTTGAAGTAGAAGGATAGCTAGGTCTTAGTCCTATCATGCAATAAAAGGTAGGGTCAGTAGGCTCAAATACTGATAAATATATATATATATATATAGATTTAGACTTGAAGCAATTTGGACCCCATCCGAAGGGGTGGCACCAAGGTAAGGACTTGAACCAACACATTGAGTCAGGGGCTCAAGCCGTTCCTACTGCATGTGTTTCAAGAAAGAGGCAGATATGCCCCAGGCAACATGCTACTTAACCTTCACGATGACAATCCCAAAACCTGGAAGTGATCCCCAAAACGGCTGCTTCATGCCCAAGGTGGCGAAATTGGGCGCTACTCACTTCGCCGAGATGCTGATGCAAAAAGAAGAGAGGGGGCAGAGAAGGAGAGAGAAAAACATATTCAAGTTTGTGTGTGTGGTCAAGCAGGAGATCTCAAGATCAACATACCGCCAGCTCTGTTGGTGTATCCGCAAGATGGCCAAGAAGTGCCCATAACTCACTCACGATGGGCGTGGTGCGTATTTCTCAGGCTTCATGCCAGCCACAGTTAATCCTCATTGTGAGCCTCTGACGTGATATTTTCGATTTTGGTGAACCCCATCTCCTAACGTATATATATACATATATATATATGTTTTCTTGTGTGACCCATGCCATCCACGAATCGTGAGCCATAGCTCCATTTGCGTGCAGGATTTCAGAGCTCATCTGCAACGCAGTGGAAGCTTGCAAGACATATCAGAACTTGTCATGAGCCTAAGCGCGCTAACGTGCACCTCTAACTGCTGCTTCCAGACACCGTTAGTTCAGGTAACCAGGCGGGACCATGATGTAAAACCAAGGGGCAACAGCACCACTGTTCTCTCTAAAACATGTTTTGTTTTTGGCTTTGTAAACACTCTCCCAAGTAATTTTGAGAAGCTCCAAACATGTTCCCTTAATCAGCTTCTCTCCAATTGGTTTGGCGCCCGGTGGTCTGGAGGTGTTCCGGTGGTGGTTTCGTTTTTCATTTGCCTCAAGAACCGGCGGTGCAAATCCAAATCCAAGCCACCAATCCAGACCACCAACTTAGGCTTATCTGTCCCAGTGGATCCATTCACCTGTATGGGTAACCAAGGGAACCAAACTTTAGAACCCAAAAGGAAAAATACCCGGTTTCCTACTACAAGCGTAGCTGGGATCCACTTGGGTTCTGTTCATCTCCGTTGGGTGGTTGTTCTCTCACCAGGCTTACGATCACCACTTACCTGACGTGCCCTGCCTCGATCGCTCCTTGAAGCATGCCCCGAACAAAACAAAAACAAACAAAAACAAAATCTCGGACTCCTGGGTACTTAAAGGGGCAGGGTACTTAGGCAGTGGGTAATAACCATGCTGATAACCATACTTAAGCATGCCCCGGAAAAAAAAAAAAAAAAAAAACACGTCGTGACTGGGATCCAATGGGTCCTTACAGGGGCAGGTTACCTTGGTGGGTACAAACAAACATGGCATTTTCACCCACAAAAGCCATGGTTCTAACTTGGCTGGAATTAGGACCCCAGCCAAAAAAAATATTTTTTGCCTGGTTAGTGGAAAACAAAGGGAACCCCAAAAAAGCAAAAAAGCCAAACGGGCAGCTAATTATGGGGAAGCTATGTCTCCATTTCCGGGGGTTCTCTCACCACACCTCTCCGACTCAAGCAGGCCAGCGGCACTTCACCGCGGCGCCCGTCACCTCCACCCCACCCCACAGTAGCGTCTCGCCTGCGGGCGGCCGAGGCCAGACATCTTCCCGGGCGAAGCCCGCCGATTGGACCAACCAAAAGGACCAAACTGAGCTTGGTTGCTGTTGACCCCCCCTGCAAACAGTGGACCACTTTTTGGGGGGTTTAGTGGAAAACACCTTTATTTCCCGAAAAGTTAAAGTCTAAAGATCCAACCCAATAGCAGTCAAGTGAGTATGTACCACTAAACATGGGCTTCCCACAACTGCATTACACATATGTATATACAAGTGTATATATATATAAATATATATGTGTCTTATTCTAGTAATCGGACTCCCCCAAATGGTGGTTCTCCTTTTGGTGTCCGTTTGAAACCACTAACACAAAGGTCCCCTTAAACAACCAGACGAATTACCCATACAAAGTCCTCAAACTTGGGACGTCAGCTAAGGGTCCCTTTGTGCAAAATGGGAACCCTTCATCCTAGTCCGAAATCACTAGTGGGGCACCACTAGAAATCCAAACCGCAAGGGTGCCTTGGAATCTTCGAAGGATGCAATATAAGGACTAAATACAAAGGATGGGGCTTGGGGTACCACAACAGCAAGTTAAGTGGCCGAACACCCTAGTTGTTTGTTGCTGTTCTTCGCCATGGTTTCCCCCGCCTACATGTACAATGGAACCACTGAGTTGGGTTTAGGACCTATCGGCTGTGGGGTGGTCTCAAATTAGGGGAGTCCCCCTAAATTCGTTCTCCTCCCAAAAAAAGACAGGACACACCCATATGAGTATGGGTCAACATTAAACCACTGGGGAACGCAGGTTTTCATCTTTGGTTCCATGTACCAGGGCAACCCATTTTGGGTACCTATTTTTGACCCACAGCCATATGTAGGGAGTCACCAGCTGCTGAGCGACCGCAGCTCAGCACAACCCGTATGACCCGTCTCGCCTGGCTGCTTCTGGGTCGGCCTCGGGCAAAAATCCAAGGGAAGCCTCCCCAATTGGAGAGGATCCAAAGGTAAGACCATGTTCCTCTTCAAACAATCCTGAGTGGATTGGCCCGAGCAAGTCCACATGGTTAATCCACAAGTATTCAAGGTCCCATGGTTCAAACAATCCTCTTCAAGGTCCCCTGGATGAGGCCATAACAAACGCTTACAAATAGAGCAACAGCCTACTGAAAGGCTTCTGGATGGCTTCTGCTTACTGCCTGAGTGGATTGGCCCTGGCCCAAGTCCACGTGTTTAATCCACTAGTACCACACATGTTGAGTGGATTGGCCCAAAAAGATCTTTTCTTTTTTGATAGGTACAACTAAATGGTCGTCCTAAAAGTATAAAGTCCAGGACTTGGGGAGTGAGGGGTTGAGCCACTTTCCTCTTCAAGGGGCGTGAGCCATTTGCCCGGAATTTGTCGGTGCCATGTTGCTGACTGGAGGTCCCAAGATACGCCTGGGACCAGAAGTGGCTCCATGTTCCAGGGGAACAACTCGCCGACAGTCACTAGTACAGTATAGGGATGCTGTTACAAAAGATGCCAAACATGGACACTTGGCGACTTTTCTCGTTTTGAGGCAGGGTCCCAAGGTTACTCCCCGACAAACTAAGTTGAAAGCTAAAGGTGGTCCCCCCAAAAGGATCCTCCAACTAATTATGCATTTTTGGGGTTCCATGTGCTAATCTGTAGAATAGTAACGTTGCTTTGTCAAGATGATGTGTTTCGCTGGCTCTCCTGTCAACACCATTTCGCAAGTGAGAAATCCCAACCTGTACACACCATTCGCGTATGAATCTTAATTAGGGACCCTGTGGACATCATCTAGGTGGGGATGGTTTGTCCACCAACCATTTGTCAGGGGGTTCCCCATTAAAACCCACAGCCATATTTGGGACGGTCGTCTTTTTTGGAGGCTACTCCTTTTTGTGGTGTTTTGCTTAAGGCCAACCAACAGGAAAACCACACATCGTTTGTTGGGATGTACCCCTAAAAAAGCCACCTCCCTGTGCCAGAGCCTGACCTCACCGCGCCTGCGATCCAACATCTCCTCGCCTGCGAGTCTCGGTTCTCGTGAAAAACTCTACGCACATCCGACATCCGACCATGCGCCCTTGACTCGTGTCTGATCCAGTGGTATTGGCCAACAAAGAGTCCTGGAACTCATTCTTTACCGCTATAACGGTACAAACCAAAAAAGTGACTAAAGTCAATGAATTCAGGGAGTGAGTTGAAAATTAGGGCTGGTCAAAATGGAGGATTGTTCAATCTCAATCCTTGTTTTTCTAGGAAATCATGACGCAGCAAACCCCCAAAAGCATGACCCCCTGATTAACATGGAACCCGAAGAGCCCTCATGATTCGATGCGCACCCCATGGCGGAACTCCAATGTTGAGTTGCAGGGAGGTACATCCCCAGTCCCATTTTTTACAAAGCAGAACAAAACTCGGATCGGGCTTCCGCTCCACGCATGATGTTTGCTTTCTACTCACAATGCAAATACATTGCAGGATCCGGTTGTTGGGGTCAAAATGCTGGCCAACATGAACTACGACACCTGAAAAAGACCTCATCCCCAATGTAGTCTTTCCGGACGGATGATGCCAAACAAGTCCTCGATGGGCGCGCCCAAAAGTTCCAAAGCCATCCCAGAAAAGGCTGGAACTACTGTGGATAGAACGAAATCCTGCACCACCTCAGAAACAATAGAATGATGATTCCCCTGCAAATACCAACAAACAGTGGTTTCCCATGGTTTCAAAGTGGTGCGAAATGGATTTCGTCCATCCACAGTATGAGATGCTGAACACCCAAGTATGCGTTCAGACTCAAACTGTCTCCGGCGAGAAGCTGAAACATCGTCTACTGTAGGAGACCCCAGAAATCAAGGCAGGGGGTGGTCTAACAGACCTCATGGCGGATCCTCCATTTGCCTCAAGCCCCCCGAAGGAAAACATAATAATAAAAAACTTCCAATAGTGATTTAGATTCCCTTTAAGACCAACATGATAGATTCCCTTCCCTCAAAACCAACATGATAGATTCCCTTCCTTCAAACCCAACAAGGGAAACACACACACACACACACATTCATTTCAGAAAACGGAAGGGATGCTATGAACAAATCCGAGTCGCCTCGGTCTCGTCCCGGTCTCGTGCCGCTCGGCCTCGGATCCGCCGGGGTCAAAGCTCAACGACCCGAGCTTCGGCTCTACGAGGCAGCTGTGATGCGACCGTGCGACCCCCAAATGATCCCAGATGTATTGGCAACTTTACTCTATGGGGGCATCCTTTTTGGAGGGAACCTGGCATTTTTTTCAATGGAGCTGTCTTTTTTGGAGGAAACCCTTTGGTGGTTTGGAAGGGAAACCAACGTGAAACCACCATTTTTGGGACGTCCCGTGAAAAGAGACACACCGATACTTCGGAATCTCAAATCATTGCATCCCCAAGCAATTGACCTTGATCATGGTGAGCTCGACTTGCCTCGCCATTAATTAGACAGGCAAATTCAGCAAACGGTCATTAGACCTTCCTGGAGTCTCCGTGACCCTTGAAAAATGGTTGGTCATTACCCAAAATAATGGGGTCATTGCGTCATTGACCCACTTTTCAAGGGTCAGAAAGAAGGAGACTCCAGAATCCTGTAGCCTAAATGGAGACGCCATTTGTTCCCAACAGGTCTCTCCGGGGCGATTCGGTGGCACAGACAAAACAACCACGGACAGGACCCTGTCAAAGTATCTCGCGCCGCACCGGGCCTGCGGTCATAGCTCTCAGCGCCTGCAGTGAGAGAGGTGCAATGTCCAGTGGGTAGCAGCCCCAAGAAGGTCTAGTTGCAGCTAGTGACCCTGGCACTTGGGTGTTTGAATCCATATCTGGCAAGAAGCTAAAACAATCGACTACATTAGAAGACCCAGAATCAGAAAGAGAGCCAGGGGGTGGTTTAACAGACCTTTGAAACGACAAAACACAAAAAAAAACACACACACACACAGACCTTTGAAACAACAAAACACACACACACACACACACGTAAACAAAAAAGAAGAAAGGACTCGCCTCGGTCTCGTCCCGGAGGGCCTCTCGATGGCCTCGGATCCGCTTGGTCAAAGCTAAAAGCCCCGATTTCGGGTCTACGAATGGGCGTCTGGTAAATGTGATGCTTAAGCCAACCCAAATGATCCCAAATGGCTCCGTGTTTTTTACTACTTTAATGCAGAACCTGACATAAGGGATTCTTACCTCGCCATGAAGTAAGCAACCGTATCCTTGCTGGGTTGCTCCAAGCCCCCCCCTGAGCACAAGGTTGTTAGACCTGTTTGTATAATATAGGTTGAATGCAAACACCATTTGCCTCCAACAGCTCTCCAGGGAGATTCGGTGGCACAGACCAACCATGCGACAGACCCGGTTAAGCGATAAGTCATCCCCACCACTTTAGGGGGGGAAGGTCTAAGAATGTAATATGCATTTTCTGGGCTTTGGCGCCTAAAAGTCTAAGATTACATTTTCTTCGGGGGGCGTGCCAAGTGTAAGATTCATGTTGGACGCTGGTGGACCCATCAGCAAGGTACCTCGCACATAACCAAGACACAACTTCATGAACTTGCCCCACTTCAAAAGCCCCTGTGCATGCGCCACATCTGCCCCTCCAGCATCATCAATTTACATTTTGCGACTCCCCCAACTTTTGTTGGGGGGCGGGTGATAAAAATGCAACTTCGACGTGCCCAGGTGTTAAGTTACATCTTAACTTCCCCCCCCCCCCACCCGACCCCCCCCCCTCCCCAACAAACCCGGATAGATATACACACCTGGGGGGGCGGGGATCCGCTTAGATTTCTGTTGGGGGGGGGAAATGCAAATTACATGTTCAGACGTCCCCCCTTTTCGGTCGGGCCCTAAGCGGATGGGGATGATAAGCCCTGGTTTGGGCGACAAAGTATCTCGCGCACCGGGCCTGCGGTAGCTCTCCTCGCCTGCAGTGAGAGAGGTGCAAGGTCCAGTGGCTAGCAGCCCCAGCAAGCCCTAGTTGCAGCTAGTGACCCTGGTACTTGAGTGTTTGAATCACCAAGTTAGTAAGTTGTTAGTACCCCAAGATATGACCCGCTCATAAGACCGTATAAGTGGAGTTAACTTTGTTAGCGGGTTATACTCCAGCTGGCCTTTTGCACTTACCAAGCCTTGGCTTGCCGAACATGCAAGGAACCGGGAGCCCTGGTGCGGGCTGAATAGTGGGAAGCCCGACGAAGGGAAGATTGGGTGCACCCCACGTGCCCAAGCAAGTTTCAATAGAAGGTATCATCACTTCCGATCGACTGGATTGTCCAAACAAATCAAGAAACACGTGGTTCACCGCTAAATTGGTCCAAGCCCAAAAGAAGAAAGTCCCTTCAGGGAGTGAGTCTCGCAGGAATATCCGGACTCTTAGTTGCTCACACGCGGGCGGGTGAGCTTTGCTGCTCGCAAAAAGCATCCAGCAGCTGCCCTAAACTTCCAGCTGCTTTAGGTCGCCTGCGGAAAAAAAAGAAAGAAAGAAAAACAAAACCTGAAAACAAAACTCCAGTAGCGTTCTGAGCCACGGAGCCACATGCACCCGCACACAAAATGGGGCCTCGAGGCCGCTGAGCTCCCTCTCTGCCTCGGCCTCTGGCCGGCCTTAGAGCCCAATGCAAGCGAAGTATTTCAAGGCCCAACCGACCCCCAAAAACCGGGAAAGAGGTCTGGGGCATCGCCGAAGAAGCTCCTGGAGTCTCCTTCTGACCCTCAAAATGGGTCAATGACCCCCAAAGTTTTGGTTAATGACCCCAGCTTTCAAGGGTCACATGGAGACTCCAGGTGGGGGCCTCGCCGGAGTTCGTGGGTGGAGCAAATTTTGCACGACTTCAAGGGGCGATCGAGGCGATTGAGGCAGGGTGCGTCAAGTAAGCCCCTTAAGTAAGTGGTGAGAGTAAGCGCTGGTGAGAGAACCCACTGAACGGAGACCGATGAAACTATGGCTTTGGTGGGTTCTGTCACCCAAGACCTCATTGTTTGAGACCTTTGGGGGTCAAGTCCTTCATATTTAGGGTCTTGGACTCCACACTTACCGACGTACCGAATCGATCGCGAATTTAACCAAGTCCCGAACCAGAACTCCGATCCGTGTTTACAACTAGGGGAACTACAGTTGGTCCCCTTGTAACCATGGTCATCTTGCTGGTGCGAAAAGTGGGGGAATGGGCATGAACCCAGGAATCGCCATGACCCTTGAAAAATGGTTGGTCAAAGACCCCAAAATTCCTGGTTGGTCATTGACTCTTTGACTCCAGGCACGACAAATAGCTGAAAGAGGGTCGGTCCTGCCACTCCGATCGCAATAGCCTACTCAGCTGGTTGACTATGCCCCTAACCAGAACTCCGATCCGCTCCAAGTCTCCAAGTCGATCGCTCCCAATCAATTCCGGCGGCAACCAGTAGAATCACCAGGAAAAAAAGGCGCTTGGCCCTAAAATGGGACAGGTCTGTTCTACAAATAGATGCATATTCCCTTATTAGCTGGAAAAGCCAGGTAGCCATGTACCTTGGTCAAATATGGGATTTGGGCACTGCCTATCACAAACCATGTAAAGAACCAATGGTTTCAAAGGAGTTTGGACTGTCTCCTAAACGTCATCTACACAGACCCTTCTCATTTGAGCCATGCTCAACACTCGTGCAATTCGGTTGTTTCGGCTACCTTACAAGGACTCCCTGGTGCGCTTGTCTAAATCCGAAGGGGTTCGTGGCACCAATGTGAAGCACAAATTGGACGGTAGGTTTCCTCATCCTGTTGGATGCTCGATTTGCCAAGTCTTGGTAAGCTTCCATTTGCTTAAGCCCCCCTGGAAATAATAATAATAATAATAAAACAAAATCCAGTAGTGATGCATTCCCTTTAAAACCAACAGGGGAAAACAACTCATATTCCTAAGCAAATGGAAGTAAGTGGAAAAGGCCAGCTGCGCAACAACCCGCCAAGGTTGACTCCATTTGGTAGGTTGACTTAAAAGCGGGTTACAACCTGGATTACTTAGATTACCAACAACTCATTAGCTTAGCCGAGCATCCAAGAAGATTGTCCAGCTGATCTGCCCAGAGAATTGGCAGTGAACTTTCCCGTGGTGGCCGCGGGTGAGGTGGCAACGATGGTGGGGAACATGTTGACGCTTCACATCTGTTTGCACTTGTGTCAAAACCCGGGATGCTTTGAGGGCCGCTGCTTGGGGAAAACATGACAAGCTTGCCAGTATCCCCGTAGTACCTCTTCGGGATGTATGAAACTGACCTATCCCCCTTAAAATTCACATACAACTCTGCTTAAAGGCGCGGTTTGCCTTTCGGGGGGGGGTTCTTAAGTACCCTTGTTTTGACACCAAACCACCCCTAATCTAGCTGTACCTTCCCCTCCTTCTGTTCAAGACTTGGCCAAACGGGAGAATCGGCAGTGCCGATGGCTAAAACTGATGGGGAATCAGGCCCAGCGGCTCCATTTACCTAGGGAACTGCCCTTTAACAACCGAAAGGAACATGTCTGGTTACCCACAAGAGTCCTCCATTTGCTCGAGTCCAATGGACAAATCATACACATATACATACATGTATATGTTCAGTAATGATAGATATTCATCAAACCCAAACATAAAAATATATATATATGTAATTGTACATGTGTATGTATGTCCAGTAGTGACAGGCTCCCTTTATTCCCAACCCATTTCTGGCTTCCCAAGACCCGAGACCCCAGCGCTCTGCGGCCAACCACCTCGAGTGTTTTCAGCCGAGATCAAGGCATCGAAGGAGTCAGGCCAAGAACCCAACCAAACCAGGAGCTGTACTTGGAGTCTCCATGACCCTTGAAAAATGGGGTTGTTACCCAAAATTTCGGGGTCATTGACCAAAGTTTAAAGGGTCATGGAGACTCCAGGTAGATTCCCCAGCTCAAAAAGTTCCTGGAGTCTCCTTCTGACCCTTTAAACAAGGGTGAATGACCCCATTATTTTGGGTAATGACCCCATTGTTTAAGGGTCATGGAGACTTCAATTCTCCAGCTGAAAAAGTTTGTCTTGTTGCAGGTTAAAAGGAAATATGAGGGGTATCCATAAAGTTAAGTCAAAAGATCCAACCCAATAGCAGCAAAGAAAACAGATGGGTGGCTCGTCTTTGTTGGAGGCTACCCCTTTTTTTGCGGGTTTCAAAGGGAAACCAAAGGCAAACCAGCCATTCTGGAGTTCTTGTAAAGAACAAAGCCATATGCCAGCACCCCCCCCATTGGATTTCTCTCAAACCGCACTTAACAAATCTTTGCACAGCTATGGGGGGGGGCGCCGGTGTGTGTGTGTGTGTTGCCGTGTCGTTCATTTTTTGCGGGCACCCTTGTTGGGCTTGTTTTCAAGGAGAACCAAAGGGAAATCACTTACTTTGGAGGCTCCCTCAAAAACGACGACCCATATCCTGCCAACATGGAAGTACAACGGCCCATTCCCAAAGGAATGTAGTCTTCCAAAAGGTGCACCAAGCCATGTTTTTCTGGTGGGAGGGGTTGCCCCAAAACGTCCATTTGCTTAACCCCCCTGGAAAAAAAATGGAAATATTTCCAGCAGTGATCGATTCCTTTTAAAACCAACAGGGGAAAATAAAAACATCTTCTTAAACAAATGGAAGACAAGGGAAAAGGCCCATCGGGATTGGGCACTTTTTTGGGGAAGGCTGTGAAAACCATGGAATACTATACAACTCAAAGGCAAGCTAATGATTGCCATAAGACCCGCAAATAAAGCCAAGGCGATGCAATTCGGGTGAAATATTGGTAAGTGTTGCCACATGGCTGTCAACAATATGCATCGAAGTAATGGCACCGTGGTAAATGGAACCAAAAACGAACACCTGCGTAACCCTAGTTCTTTAATGTTGAGGCCACACCCACATACTTGTGGTGGAATCCCTGAAGTTCTGCGAGAAGCCAATTGAGCACCCTACGGATTCTCCTTGCGGAGAACTCAGCTCTCTCAAGAACTGCTGGGCATGCAGCTCATCGGCGATGTCCACATCGACTCAACGATCGAAACAAAAAAACAACTCCGGTACCTAGGTCCTCCAGTAGGGAGGTTAGAATAAGGGTACCCTTTTGTCTGTAGTCTATTCTAGTAGGGGAACCCTCCCCCAAGAAAGTTGGCAAAAGGGCACCTAGCTGGGGGACCTAGTTTATATCCTGGACCCTCCATTGGTGAGGTCTCCAGTCCCCCCCAGGAACCAAGCCCGAACATAACACCTCAGACTCCATAGCTCCTCTTTAAATAGCTCCATAGCTGCTGATAGCTAGCTTCAAATGTGGATACTTGCAGCTCCTTGGCTCCTAACCTGCCTTGTACCAATCCTTATGGAAACCCGAAGGGGCGGGTGGTCAGGGTACTTAATAAGTTCCTCATAAGCCTTTTTTTTAAACCCACTTATCAGACTTACCACCATATGGCTGTTGTGGATTATAAGGCTTACTAGCCACTTACTAAGTAGAACGCCCCCTTAAGTACCCAGTACCCTGAAAAATTGAGGGAGCCTGATTGTCATGGACCAGAAAATGGGCCTAATTCAAACAGGATGTTGCAGGTGGTTCCTACCGTTGAACGGGTTCCTGGGATCGAAACCAAACAATGGTCGGTTTAAGACGACCGTTCAACCCATTTGGATGATGAGACTCCTGAACGGCAAACAATGGTCGTTATATATGAATTTCCGATCATTTAATGGTGGCAACTGAATATCAGTTGAAATGGCCATGGTTTGCCTTTCAGGCCTTTCAAGAGGTTCATCCTCGAAATTGGGTCTGCGAATGTCTGCGCATGGCGAATCTCCAGGGTAGAACCCTACTTGGGTGTTGGGCCAGTGACTAAGTAGCTAGCCACCTAGGCTATTCACCTAATTACGGGCTTACAACAGGGCAATAACTTGGGCTACTTAGAGGGGCATTGTACTTATAACCCACAAAACGAAGACTTATAACCATGATAAGGGTCTTACAACCAGGCTAATCTCACCACTTACCTGACGTACAATGCCCCCTTTAAGTAACAACTTACCTGGCGTAGCGCCAACCCCGCAAATCCTCCGGTCGGGTCGTCAGGTCGTCGGGTGTCCGGACCGCACCGGCGGCTCCCAGGGCGAGCAGCCCCACGCCACCGTCCCTGGCGCCGCGAGGCGCGGCCTGGTCGCGGAGCCCAATCGACAGGTGCAAGAAAGAACTCACCGCAATGAGTGCGGTCGCGTTCCACCAACTTAGCAGGGTTTTTGCCATGGGTACAAGGGGACCAACCCCAGTTACCCTCCCGATGATTCCATAAGTTTGCGCCTTCGGACCCTTGTAAAAAGACGACTTTCCTCTTGGAAAGGGGGCTTTGTGAGCACAAACGTTAGCTGGTGGGAGGGCAACCAAGCTTTTCTTTGCCACTAAAATGGTCCAAACCCACAAAAACGTCAAGGAGCCTAGGGAGTGAGGTAACCCTGAGCTAACCGTTTTGGTTGTCAACTGAAACCAAAGGCACACCACCCAAATCAGGGAGTCCGATAAACCCAGATGTTGACGGCGTCGGGGTTGCCTGGAGTCTGAGTCTGACCCTTGGGTCATCCGAAATCGAAGAGTCACGACCCCCATCAGAAGGCGACTCCAGGTACTCAGCACCCAGACCATTAAGAGTCACGTGTGAAGAACTGAACGGGTCTGTCTGTCATTGTTGCGGGCAGCCTTTTTGGTTGGCTTTAAAGGGAGAAACCAAAAAGAAAACCACAATTTGGGGGAACTTCCGAGTGGTTGGTTTCTAAATATCCTATGGAGCCACAAAAGGCGCATCCAAAGAGTCCTTGGAGTACAGGCCCAAGTACCTACGAAAGGTACCAAGGGATCTGGGTAACGCATCAAGAATGACAAAAGAACGGAGGGATGTTGCCAAACGTTGATTTGGATGTATGTTTGCCTTTTGAGGGGAACAACTGATGGTCTTCCCTTTTTTGTCCCTTCACCTGTAAGCCAACCCCTAAGAAGCGTTCCCTCGATCTCACAATACGCCCCATGGAAACATGAGGATGTCCAGTAGTGAAATCGATTCCCTTTACAACCAACAGGGGAAAATACAAAACAATACTCTTAGGCAAATGGAAACTTATATCCACTTGCCCCAAGCAGCCGCTTCCCCTTGGCAAATAAATTCATGTCCTGAAACACAAATGGAAGTTTGTGAGATGCACCAAAGATCGAGCCAGGCCTGGCGCCGGCTACACGCCACCTCAGCGATGGAGCTAAAGTCCGCCGTAGATGGTTCCCCCCCCCCCGAACCCACTTTACAAGAATTGGGCATTGGAGTATGCTTCAAAGCCAAATCAAGTCATGAGTATTCCTGGAGAAAATCAGTCATGAGTCTTCTTGGAAACATGTTTCGCGAATTACTTAGGCCCTGATATCAGTCGACTGCAGTCTCTTCTTCTTCAGCTAAGACAAGGGCTGGTCTGCCTGGCGAGCCACCGATGGTGCCTGCAGAAACGTGCTTGAAACCGGTTGATGGAAGTTCTCAGGGATGTGTGGAACAACTAGCTCCACGTACATGGGCGAACAAGCGGGTTATATATTAGGCCAACAACTTACTAACTTGGCCACGAACACCCAAGTAGCAAATGTCCCTTTGGCAGGTGTTCGTAGTGGGGTGCGCTGGGGACCCTGTTTGTTGGACTTGCCAGCCTGTTTCTCTGCTTGGGATATCTTGGGTGTTTGCCACACATAAAGATTATCTTGGCATTGGAAGGGGTGACGTGTGTTTTCACAAGTCGAAACCCAAAGGGTCCAAGTGCCTCCTATTTGCGGATTTGATCAATCTGTCTTTGACGAATTCTCGAGAGGTCTTTGACGAATTCCCGAGAGGACCAAACCAAAACCGGCAAATATGAGGCACTTACTTGGATCCTAAAAGAGACTTCGGGGATGCCGAAGGAAAACCCCGCGTTCCTCCCCAACGCAGGATACTTTAACGGCACCTCGCAGACATCTCGCCATTCCTCTTGGTTCCCCTTAAAACCCACAAAACAAGGTATCTTCCAAAAAACACCACCCTCAACCCACAAAGCACGGTATATACCCTCCAAAAAAGACGAGCCACCCATGTCTTTCCAACAACCCGGAACGTGGGCTTCGGCGGCGCCAACTTGCCTGGGAGGCTCGCGTCCCATGGCACAAACCTCAGGCTGGAGGCTGGAGACTCGGCCGAAGCCACCCATAGGGTGTCTTGTGGGATTGAGGGGGTCTGAATAGTGTTTTCATTATTAGTAGAAGTAGTAGAAAGAAGAAGAAGAAGAAGAAGAAGAAGAAGAAGAAGAAGAAGAAGTAGTAGTAGTAGTAGTAGTAGTAGTAGTAGTAGTAGTAGTAGTAGTAGTACTAGTACTATTGTAGTAGTAGTAGTAGTAGTATTACAAGTAGGAGTAGGAGTAGGAGTAGTAGTAGCAGTATTTTTAGTTGTTGTAGTACTCTCTTCTTTTTTTAAGGGGGGGAGGGGGGCCTTGAACATTAATTCACAGGGTCTCGAGAAGTACCTTCTGAGGATGTACCCTTTGCGATCCCTTGTTGCCCCTTTTGTACATCCTGAAAAGCTACCAACAAACCCTCGGGGCATGGCTTTAGTTTTAACACACGGTTCAGCACATGTAAGCCTTATACCTTGCAACCATAGTTCAACCAGCAGGCTTTTCGGGAAACCTGGTCGAACAGAAACTTGTAGCGCAGCATAGACTGCATGCATTGCTTTACTCAGTCTACTGCCAGTACTCACCGTCCAAGTTGGATACTCCCAGATGCCCAGTGGCCATGGGAAAACTGTTTCTCAGCGGGGAATGGGGGAGGCTACTAACAACTTGCTCGGAGGAGCACCGAGCCGCGGGCATCACCAAAAATGGACGTTGTGCGTCCTTATGGTTTTCGGAATTCAAACCAGCCATAATTCTGAAACCTCCAAATGACTAACAGTCGCCTGCTGTCATGACCTAAACGGTTTTATAGGACCCTTCTGAATATTGAGTTGGCTTCCTTGGCAAGAGTCCTTGTCCTCCCCAACCTGTGAGTGCAGAAAGACCATTCCATGGCCCCCGAGAGCCTAGAATGCCAAAGTGCGTGGCTCGTCTTTGGTGTTGGTACCCTTGTTTTCAGGTTGAAAGGCAAGAATACACACCCAAGTCTCCAAAGGTGTCTTTTTTGCACTTTTGTTGGAGGGTTTCCTTAAACAAAGCACAGCCAATTATAAGGCCAAGTGAAGTTCCAACTATCCTGGGATCCGTTGGAACCCTCGGGGGCCCTCCCTGAAAGCTGCTTCGAACCCTAATCCTTCAGTTGTAACCCGCGTTTAAAGTCCCCCGTTCAGCGGAGTTCACCTTGCGGGTCATAACCCAGGTTAACCACTGAACATGGCAACGAACACCCAGGTGTTCATGTGCACTGCCATGATTGAAACAAACTGCTTCCATGGTTGTGCATCCTCTTTTTTTTTAACCAACCCAACAAAGGGCATTCTAAAAAAAGAGGAGCCGCCCACTTTTTGGCGGTCGGTTGAGAACCCATGACTCCACGCTCCAAGACCCCGGGCGCCATGGATGCCATGGCTCGCGAAATGCTGGAAACGGCCGCGGAAAGGAAGCCTCGTGAAAACTGGGAGCAGCTGACATCCACAGGGCAGTCCCTTAGCTCTATGACTGGGGTCATTGAGTCATTGTGTTGACTCATGAGCCGGGGTGCGGGACAATATTCCCCGCCCCCTCATGGTGCGGGACCATACTTTTCATTCAGCTGACATCCACACGATCCATACAAATGGGGTTGCAGGACCATATCCCCCTCTGCGCCCCATGGTGATCATGGTCCCAACGGCCGGACAGTTCGAGCGGACAGACAAAAACCGCCAAGTGGTTGGGACGAAAATGGCGAAGTATCTTTCTGGGGGTCGGCTGTTGCTGGGGATTATCAAAGTCCGAAAATGGGGGGGGGGGGGGTTCCCTTTAACCTGCCACTTGAAGGGTGACTTTACATGGTGAAATTCTGGGGCCAGTATAATTTTTAGCCAGAATCCGATGATGTGGCAAATTCTTCCGTAGGTGGTTTCCCAAAAGGCTGCAGTTGCCTAGGGATGACCACTCGTTGAACAATGGAAAGAATCAGTTCAAAGGAGGTGCACATGAACACCTGGCTGTTCGTTGCCAAGTTAAGCGGTTAGCCACCTTGGTTCTGACCCGCCAACAAAGCAAATTCCACTGAACAGGGGACACGTTTGCGGGGGTAACCCATGTGACTACCAACTTACCAACTCGGCTGAGCACCCAAGTACCCACGGGAGGATGTACCTTTTGGCGGCGAACAGCGGAAAAAGAACATGGGCCATTTGAAGGCAACGGGCCCAACACCAGAACAGAACCTTCAACAGGAAAATTGTCCCTTCAGTCCCCCAACCGCTGCCTCGGAGACTTGGAATTTTGGACATGGGAAAAAACAGCTCTTGAAATGGCCCTTTTACCCTTTTTTGGGGGAGGGCTCCCCTACTAAAATAGAACAGCAAGAAAGTTGGCACCCTTATTCTAACCTCACTGGAGGACTTAGCCTAGGTTGTTACCTGCTTCGTCCTCCGTTCAGTGGAGCTAGCTGTGCTATTAGGGTTATGACACAGGCTAAGCCTGAGTTCCAGTGGCCTGTAGATTCCCTATGAGAATTGGAAACAAGTTCAGGAAGAAAACCTTCCTAAGACAAAAAAACTAGGGCAAACATGAAATTGGTAAACCCGGCACACGGCACAAAACTGCTGGCACGACTAACTTTGCTGTGGACTCAAAGCTGAAGTTGTGTGCTGGGCAACCCTCCAATCCTGGCCATTGTGCAACCCACAGCGCTTTCACACTCGCTTCTTTTTTGCTCCTAACCCTCTGGGCATCCAACACGTCCCGCGCTGCATTCGTGGAACAAATCCATCCGCCATGCTCTGCTCCAACGCGTCGGGCGGATGTCGGAGGGCGAAGCTGCTTGGACCCCCAAAGGATCTCACATCGAATCCTGGCAGTTCGGCATGTCTGCGCAGCCAGCAGCACCAGTCCGCACGGTCCACTTGATGCCTTCAGATGTGATGCTGCTAACGATGGTCGTGGTCTTGAGCATAGTAGTGGCCACCCGACGTGTCGCTTTTGCCTCGTCCATTCACCACTGGCAAAACAAATCACTCAGCATACAGTTTGTTCCAGCATATCTCAAGACAACTTCCCATTTGTCCACCGATCTTTTCAGAAACCATCCCAAGATCAAACATCGCCTGGGTGTTTGATCGGAACGGACATTTAATTTGTGGGTGAAGGATCTACCAATCCTAGAAACCGGTTGGCGGCACATACAACACCCTTCTTGGCGATCTTCAACATCACCTTGTTGTCTCAAAGGTGAGTTTTCCTTTGATGCTTAAAGGGCAAGACAGGGAATTATCAGGTCTTCCCCACAAAAGGGAGAATGGAACCGCCCCTTCCCCCCACCTGGAGTCTCCATAACCCTTTGGAAATGGGTCAATGACCCTAAAATGTTGGGTAATGACCCCATTTTCCAAGGGTCATGAAGACTCCAGGCGAATCCATGAAGGGACCTGGTGATCAGATCGCTCCGGCCTTCGAAGGACGGCACAAAGCCTCCCGCCGCGTCCGCCGAAGCCTTCGTCTGCCCGAAGAGCAGCAGAAGATCCACCGGACGCCGCTGGAACTCGTCATAGGACGCCGGGTGCTGGGTGGAGAGTCCACGGCTACGCCACATCACCTTGTGGAGGATGTTTGAGGAAAAAACCGAAAAAATCCGGCCAAAGACATAGGGGATTGCGGTGTCTTTATGAGTGCTGGGCCAGATTTCTGTTGGGGGGTTCTTGACTTTGCTGTCTGCTTTCTTCTTTTTTTTTGGGGGGGGGGTAATTTAAAGAGGGTACCTACGAATACGAGGGTACCTACGAATACTTTGGTCAGTCGGTACGGACGGCACCAAGGGACTTTGTGGGTAAGGAGTTCCTTCCCCCCTAAGAAGTCGGAGAAGTCGGGGGGAACGAATTAGGAAACGACAGGACTTCCAAGACCAAAACCAAAGCCAAACTCTGCATTTACAAAAAAACTTTGGGGTTGTCTGAAGACCATGGATTTGGAGAGTTTTGCGGATGTACTAAAATGCACCCAGGTTTTGGATTGCTCTTCCCGCTCCAAAAAACACATGGGGGGTTCCATGTCGACTTCATCTGTAACAGACAAGTCCACTGTGTCCAAACAAATGGGAACCACGGATGAAATCAACCTCTGTTTCCTCATCTGGGGTTCTGGTTTTATCGGGGGACTCCCTCTGGAGGGCAAGACTGCAAATAAAACCACGTAGGTACTGAACCCCTGTTAGCTCATACGGGTACCCCCGATTCTACAGGAAAAACCGCTTGGAGGGAAACACCCCCTTTACTGTAAATGGTTTTACCGGGGAATCACTTTTGGACTCTTGCAGAAAAGCACCCCCTATGCATACACTGGATTTGATTCATATGGAGTTCCCATCACGGAGCTTCAGATCCGTTGACTCCTCCAAAAAAAAGTTGACCACTTCTTGCGGGTTTAGTGGGGAAAAAACCCTTGATTTCCACAAAAAAGTTAAAGTCTAAAGATAAACCACAAAAAGACCGCAGGTTTTAGTCCATGTTTCCAGTTACCAGCGTTCATTTTGAGTACCTATTTTTTGCAGAAAGCAGTGTCCCCAGCGCTGGGTTTTTGCACATTCCTGCTGTATGATGGTTTCAGGGCTGGGACACTGCGCAGACCGCAAGCAGCCAACACATTGATGCATTGCGACCCCTGTCACTTGAGCAGAGAACCTTCTTATTGTCCACTAGCTACAAAACTTAAAAAACCTCGGGAAAAACCAAAAAAACAAAAAAAACAAAAACAAAAAAAACAAAGCCCCTGGCAAAAGGTTTCCAGCCTGGCACTTGAACATTTCCCTGGGGGCTTTGTTTTGTTTTTTTTGTTTTTTTGTTTTTCCCGAGGTTTTTAGAGTTTTTCTTGCTTTTGTAGCTTTTCTCCAGGTTGTTTGTGTTTGTCTCGGTTTCCTTGAGTTTCTGTAGGTTGGACCGCCCTCACGCATTCTAGCTGCTTTTATCCCGCAGGCTCGCAGACAGCTTTCCTTCGTCTCATCTGCTTGCGCACGCCTGAAACAAATGTATTCGAATTACCGGAAAAACCAGCTATGAGCAACAGTGAATCTAGATTGAAGCTTTTTCTGCCAAATGGATAAGAACACCTTTCAACAATTTGTGATGGATAATTTATTGAAGACCGACAACAAGCGCTTGATGTCTAACACAAAAGCATAATTTAATGTATGGCAATTTTCTAAAGGAGTTCATCAAACAGAACAACAAGTATTAATTGACTATCATGTATTATAAACAACTTTCGTGTACTCATAACGGCGATTACAAAAGTAGTATTTATGAACTTTGGACAACTGATCTAGATGAGAATAATGAAAGAACAGATAAACTAATTAAAACATAATAGGGAATGTCAATTTGGATTATTGGAAGAAGGAGGTGCTACCAGACATCAAGGCATTTTATTTCAAAGTATTGGTGAGGCAATCCACTACCAAACTGAAGACCAAGGTAAACATCATAGCTTACCCCATATAGAAAGTGAAGGAGATGATGAAGAAGGATAATATGAAGGCATCATATGTTGTATTGAATTTGAAGGATAAAGCAGAATTAAGAAATGGATATAGGTATGTTAGGAACTACTTTTACAACATCATAAATTTTCAAATGAACCAATACTTTTTCAAATCAAAATTAAAAAATGCTAATGCATATAGTGTTAAAACCGATGCTTTTGTAATTGATACTTGCAATGTAGAAAAGGCAAGGCACCTCGTAGAATTTCATATTGACATAGGAGGCTGGAAGGTTTCAAAACAAGATGAAGAAATTAATTTACCTACAATAAAATATGAAGTTGCTAGAAACGAAATAGTAGAAATACCATTTTATGAAAGTAAAACTGTTGATATTATAGATGAATACGACATTGACAAAATAATAGAAGTGAGTGAGCCAAATAATCCTATGATGATTCGTGCGTGGTGCTTACCCGGGCACAGGCAAGAGGTGTATATGTCAAAAAATTGTCGGCAAGGGACATAAAGGAATTGTTTTTTGTCCTACTAATAAACTATTACAAGCCGTTGAAGGTGAAGCAATGACAATTAACGAATTCTTCGGCATCAGTTATGGCGATGCTAAAGTAGAACCATTTGATTTCACAGATTATGATACAATAGTATTTGATGAAGTTTGTTTTAGTGGGGCTTTTTAGGCTGCATATGCACACATAAGACCACATCACATTAGACACATTGCCGTCAAGCCATCCACCAAGCCTTCCTTCCCACAGAGTCCGTTTAGAGATACCCGTGTCCCCAGAAAGTGTTTTCCGAAGGTTTCTTCGTAATTTTGGCAAATTGGAAAAACTGTGGTTTTGTATGGAAAACACACGCGCTGGGGACACTGCCCTCTCATTTTTGACCCACACCCATATGGAGTTTCCTATCGCGGAGCAACAATCAGCCGCGTCACCAGCAGATTGCTCTCATACGGGATGTCCACGATCCCACCAGGCTCGGCAGACCCTTGCCTGTCAAGGCGCGACGTAAACACACACGTACAATGGCCCCTGCTCTGGCCCCATGGCTCAAAAAACCGGTACCAAAATGGACTGGTATGTGGAAACATGGGCCAAAACCTGCCTAACCCTAGCTCTTTCATTTTGAGCCACACCCATTTTTCCTATGCAGCACTGTGGATGGATGAAAGCCATTTTGCACTACTTGGAAACCAGGGCAAACCATGGTGGGTTGGTATTTTGCAGGGGAATTGTGATACCAGGATTTCGTCCATCCTGCAGTATCAACGTCACCGAAGAAAGGCACAACCGGCCATAGGTTCTGACATTTATACCCAAGAACATGTCAGCCCTGACATGGTTAGGCTTTTCACCTCTGCATTAAAAGAACACACTGAAGCTTTTAAAATTGCGTTTGCCCAGCGAGCATCCACATATTTCGTTGTGTTGCACCATATCATCCCTTTTGGAAGGTAAACGCCATCATGGGTTCATAGTGTCTAGTTCTGGTAAGTTTGCATCAAAATCGATTGGATTGCCCTTGTTTCGGTCTGCATAGTTTTTGTTCATGTTCCACTGGAGCCCAATGTGTTCAACAGCACACCCAAACTGATCTGACATCGATCTAAGCAGAGTCCTCTCCCACCCATACCTGCCAACAAATCGAGGGGGACGATACATGTTGCCTGCCAGCAAAGGACCACGTGCTGGGATGTTCAACCAAGGTAAGTAGGTTATAAGATATGGGTTTATGATTAGGGACAGGCGTTGGTTCCCCTTACCACACGCTCATAACCTACTTACCTGACGTTCTTGGAACATGAGTTGGGACTTCTTGCAGCCAGACATCGGAGCCGGGGGGTCAAATTTCGGGACCTGAAACGCACTTCCAATCCTTGGATTGGCAAAGAAAGAGGAATCAAACGGTTTGGTTTTGCCCCAGCGGATCCATTTGCAGTGATTTGCACGCAGCCAAGGACGTGGGGGGATATCCCCCCAAAAGTGGTCTCCAAGCACTATATAAAGGGGACAATCCCTGGAAACACCAACCAAGGCTCGGTTCCGTGGTTCCAGCCAAATGGCCCAACAACTTTTTACTCGCGGAATTTTCAAGAAATATGTATTTGCCGAATTCCCGAAACAACCAAAACCAAAAAACCGTAAAGGTGCCAGGGGCCAACTTAAAACTCTTCGGCCAAGTTGGTCAGTGGCTACCTGGAGTCTCCTTCCGACCCTTGAACAATGGCTGGTCAATTGCGAAATTTTGGATGGTCATTGACCCATTTTTAAAGGGCCATGGGGCCATGGGGCCATGGAGACTCCAGGTATAAGCCGCTGACCACTTTCTATCTTGGCGAATGGAACACCGAAGGGATCCTCTGGGCAAAACGGAAGACGAAACCTGGTACCATGATCACTGCCCACTTACTGAGTACAATGCCCCTTAAGTAGGGTTTTATACAACCATTGGTTACTGACAACTTACTTGGCGAATCGAAGCAGCCCCCGCTAAAAATGACGAACTTTTGGTGGGTTAAATTCGGAAACTGAAACACAAAACGCTAAAAAAAGATCTACCTGGAGTCTCCATGACCCTTAAACAAAAGGGGTCATTACCCAAAATAATGGGGTCATTGGTCATTGCCCCATTTTTGAAGGGTCATGGAGACTCCAGGTACAAGGCTAAGGAACCGGATGGCCTTCGGGAGCCACCAAGAAACGAAGAAAAAAACCCACGGCCTCGCAAAGTCCTCCAGCGTCATCGCGGGCGCAGGGCCCACCCGCTGTCGGCACATCTCTCCGTCGCCGTCGCCGCGTGAGAGGCGTAGCGAGCTGTCCGAAAGATCCCCGAGGCTCAGGAGCACCGTGAGAACGCCTCAGCAAAAACTTGAGCCAGCCAGCCAGTAAGGACCAAGAGGGGGAAATGCAGGACCTAGAGGGGCCAGTTAGGACGCCTCAGCAAAAACTGGAGCTGGAGCCAGCCAGGAAGGAGGTTCTCACTTCCGATGAAATGGAGTCAACAAAAAGTCCTGAAACTTGTTGTTGGCCACAATGGCCCAAACCCTCTAAAGTGAAGTCAATAAACTTTCTTGGAGTGGGGGGTTGTCCCCTGGAAGTTGAAGGACGTGGCGATTGAACATGCTGAACTAGCGCTTGGCCCAAGTCGTTTGCCGAGGTTGTTGCCACACAATGAGTGAGATACAGTACGCCGTGCGGCAAATTGGCCTAAATATGCAAACTTAAGCAACAAGCCCTGGTGGTATAAGAGCCCCGCAACCCCCTGAAACCCTCTCTGAAAGCTGCCCCAAAGCACCCCTTATCGCCTATCTGGGCAAAGACCCTAAAGCTACAACTGTTGGGTAAAAGCAGTATTTCAAAAGCACAGGCCAAAGCCCGAAAAAGGATCCTAGAGCAGATTCCTCTATGGTCGTTTGCGATCCACAAGGGGCCTCCGCTTTTTTGACTCACCCAGTGGCAGTTCACAGTGGGGCTGACGTGGGGCACACGAGGAGAGAAACGTTGCGTTGCTTTTGACCTGCGGGCGTGTCTTTTTTGGAGTGGGTACCCCTTTTTTTAGTGGCCAAAAGGGAAACCACCTGCACAACTACTTTTTTGGGGTGGGTGGGAGTGGGGTCCAACCTTCAAGCAAACACGGGCCACCCTCAAGGGAAACCACCAGGAAAACGTTTATTTGTTTCGCGCTTTTTTTGGGGGGGCGTCCGATTCCTATTCAAAGACGTGCCACTCATGACTACCAGGAAAACCACACTCCATTTTGGGGGGTGGCGGTCCCCACCAAAAAGACAACAACGAGCCATCGCATGGGGGGGGTGGATGGAAAAAACATCACAAGAAGAAAAACATGTTGGTACAGATTTAACAAAAGAAGCACCAAAACCAGAAGAAAAAACATGTTAATGCAAAATTAACAGAAGAAGCACCACCAACACAACCGAGCCACCCACAAGGGGAGCCACTAGGATTGGCCAAGAAGCCGTCAGGACAGTGCCAGGGCAACCCGGCGCCACGATAGGCCACGATATCCAACAGCGGTTGGCGCCGTAGAGCCGGCACCTGACACGAGCTGACTGAATGTTGACCCAGGATCTAAGTGGAACCCGTCCCATTAGGCGGGTGTTCCCTCCAAAAGTGCTGAATCCTCACTAAATGGAGACACCCCCCGATCAAAATCAACCAGGGGTGAGTATTAATCCGGGGTTCACATTACTTGGGTTGCTGTTCAGCAGTGGGAAATGGAATCCACTTCGGTGATACCAACAAAAGCGTCCCTTTCTTCTTAAGGATCTTTTCCTCGCAAGAAACGCCGCCATGGCGTCCATGAGTGAGCACGGACCTGACTCCACATGCTCTCCCTGCCTTGCGCTGCAGCTCCTTGGCCCAACGAAGCTCGGCTTCAAAAGCGTCATGGGCCGCGGGTGGGTTTGAAAAAAATCGGGGACACCCGAAACTCACTTCCTGAGCGGCCTGGACAAAAAACACGGAACCTGTATTTAAAACGGCCTTCCCGAAAAACATCCAGTCCGGGATGTCAGGAAAGTAGGTCAAATTTGCGAACTCTTCAATTGGCCGATTGTTTCAGGATCAGAAGGAGACTCCAGGCAGCAAAGGATTGTTCATTTGCTCTAGCAATCTCATCCCCCTTGGCACCTTCGTGCTACTCAAGGACACTAAAGCTCGAACATCCCCATGGTACCTTTTTGGTGGTGTTAAAGGAAAAACGGAACTAACTTCCCAGGCGGATGGCAAAAACGGAAAGTCCCAAACTTGTTGTTTGTCACTAAACATGTCTTCAAAACGTGACATGTTAGTCCGAACCGGAACTCAGGGGGATAGCAGAAGGTACCTGCGTTTTCTCAAACCCCCAAACGGTGTGGTTCTTTTTGGAGCTTTAAACCAACCCCAAAAACAATTACCTAAAACACAAAAACAACTAAACAAGCCTCAAACATCAACACTCAACAAAGGTTACCTAAAACACACTATAAACAAAAACTCAAACATCCTCAAAAAACAAAAAACAACAGGGTTACCGAAAAAGCAAAAAACCATCAAACAAAAAAACAAAACAAGCTACCTCACAAATAAAAGACTCGAAAAAGCCTCAAACATCCTCAATAACAAAACAAGTTTCCGCTAAAGGCAAGGAACATACCCACCTAAAACAAACAAAAAACACAAAAACTCAAACATCCAACCAAAAACACCAAGGGTTCCCTAAAAACCAAAAACCAACCAACACCAAAAGGCCACGCCCGCCGAGACTCCTGCGCCAGACTGAGACCCACCTCGTGGAGCCCGTCCCTCAGCTGCGCCTTGACGCCGCCGCCGGACGGCTGGAAGAAAACCGTGGAGCGGCTCAACCAACGCCCCACCTCGCGACTCGAGACCGGTCACAGAACTCGAGAGGTATGTGTATCTATATATATGTTCCAGGCCGTGAACCTCCCCCCCCAAACCCCCCCCCCCTTTAGGGTGGGGTGGGGTGGTGTGGTGGTGGGGTGGTTGGGTGGTTGGGGTGTGTTTTGGAGTTGATTTGGGCTTAGGGTTGGGGTTAAGGAGGGGTTGCAGGGTGGTTTGGTTTAGGGTAGGATGTTGCGAGAGGTGCTGGGGTGTTGGTTCACGGGGTGAAAGGGGGAGCCTGGGACCGAAGCTGCAGGGCACACGGTACTGGACAGCATCCCCAGCATTGCCAGCATCATCCGCAAGATGCAGATGATGCGGGGGAGCGACTGGTACATATATGGTACAGCGTTGCCAGCCCCCCCGCCCCCCCCCCCACCAATGGTCATGGGTCAGACAAGTACCCCCCCCCTGTGGTTGTGGTCCTGTGGTTGGGTTGTCGTGGTTTAGAGTTGGTTTAGAATTGGTTTATAGGGCATATTTAGGGTGTATTTAGGGTTAGTTTAGGGTTGGTTTAGGGTTGGTTTATGTTGATTTAGGGTTGGTTTAGGGTTGGTTTAGGTTTACGGTTTAGGGTTTGGTTTAGGGTGTATTTAGGGTTGGTTTAGGGTTAGTTTAGGGTTGGTTTAGGGTTTACTGTTTAGGGTGTATTTAGGGTTGGTTTAGGGTTAGTTTAGGGTTGGTTTAGGGTTGGCTTAGGTTTAGGGTTTATTGTTTAGGGATTGGTTTAGGGTGCATTTGGGGTTAGTTTAGGGTGTGCTGGGGGTGGGGGTGTCGGGGTGTCGGGGTGTCGGGGTGCGAGTTCAGGGGGTCGGGGTGGGGGTGGGACCGTAGGTGACAGGATCCGGGGGCTCGGGGTCTCGGGGCGGGGGGGTGGGGGGGCGGGGGGGGGGGGGGGGAAAAAATGGAGAAAAGGGGGGGCCTGGGGGAAAGAGGGAGGAGTGTAGGGGTTATTGGGTCAAATGTTGTTATCCAACGTTTTAACACCCTTGTTTGATTTCATCCTATATTTTGTTGTAGGGTGTTAGGGGTGGATTTTCTAGGGGCCGACATTTTTTTCATTTGAAAGAGTTAGCCCTTTTAGTAGTTATTATGTTCTGGGGTGTTGGTGGTTCATTTGTTTATTCCTATTCTTGTTCAAAGTCACTTGTTGTTTCCATGTAATCTCTCACAGTATCGTTATTGTTTTCTTGACCTTTCACTCTTAGTTGGTGCTTACTTGTTTGTTGGTGTTTTTTCATTTTGTATTTTCCTACCATACATTTACATAAAGGACATTCTACTTTCAATTGGTTATAGTCTTTCTGTTTTTCATTTATGTCTTCTTTGTTCTTTTCTCTATATTCTTTTGATTTTTGCTTTATTTCGTCTTTATGCTTTTCACGATAAATCTTGTTCTTTTCCAGTATAGTGTCTTTGTTATTCTCTCTATATGTCTTTTTCTTCTCTACAATCTGCTCTTTGTTGTTTTCGTAATACTCCTTTGACTTTTGCTGTATTTGTTCTTTGTGTGCTTCTCTATACCGTTGTTTGCTCTCCAAGCATACATTACATTGTTTTCTTCCCTCGTTGAACTTTTCTAACAATTGAAAGACTTTACATTTGGAACATTGCTTTTTGTCTGTCATTGGTCTCTATATGTTTAAGGGGTTATTTATTTAGATAAGTTTAAGGGGTTTTATAGGTTAAAAGTTCAGTATAATTATAACATATAAGATTTTACATGTTATTATTATATTATGATTATAATTTCAGTTCAGGATAATAATCTAATTGGTTTGTCTTACTTCTTTCATACATCATTTTAAAAATAATATTAACATCTCTCACTGTATTCTGAACATTAAACTTTTTACTTTCAATAAATAATTTGATATTTTCTTTAACATCTTCTCCTTTCTCTTGACTATAACCCAACATCCATAATATATCGTAAATCATTTCATATTTTTCTTACTGATTTTAAGAAACTGTTTAACACAGTCGTAAGGTGGTATTTTATTTACAGTTAGAAATATTAAAATATCATCTTCTACATTTCTATTATTTATTCTTTTTATTTCCAACAGACATTTGATTAAAATTGATTATCTCTCCATGTTTTACAATTTTTACATATGTCTTCTTCACTATCCATTGAATAGTTAATAATATTATTCACTATTTCATTAGGTAAATTCAATTTATACAACTCCATATTTTCTTTTTTGAAGTGACAACAATCATAGCATTTTTTATTGATATAATTATTGATTTCATCACCGTTCATTTTTCTCTTAATATATAAGGTAATATTTCTTTAAGTAGTTTTGGCTAGGGGTTGCTCTGAAAGAGAGCATTTCACAATGATGAAACCAAAACACCGTTTTTCCTTGTTTCTAGTGGTGTTTCAGCAGTGTGAAACGTGCATTTCGCAACAGTGAAATAGAGGATTGGAAATAGTCATTTCAGTAGGGTATTTCCTTTCCTAATACTAAGCTGTCGGATTTTAAGCTTCTTACATAGGACTGACCTCGTATCCGTAATTCGGTCTGCCACTCTGTTTGTGGCATCCTATCCGGTTAGTGATGAGGTGGGAGCGAACGGGGATTCGCTTAAGCAAACCACCCATTACTAACGAAAAGGAAGGGTTGGATACGAGGTCAGGAGTTGCTTCTTTTTGACAAGAGCTGACGCCTCCGCCGACCGCCACAACAACAACAACCCCAACCCCCACGTGTGAGTCCTGCTTGTCAGAAGGCACCTCCCTCGACGACAACAACAACAACCCCAACCCCCACGTGTGAGTCCTGCTTGTCAGAAGGCACCTCCCTCGACGACAACAAGGTATCGGGCGGGTGACGGGTGGGTCGGGCGTTTTGTCTTACAACCCTAAACCGTTGTGTAAGGTTAAACTCTCGCCGATTTTTTTGTTTCAATGTTTTAGACCAACCCCAATTTCAAGGGAGCTCTTCGCAAACCCTTAAATCCCAACAATCCCAAACCACCAAAATAAGGGCATAATCCCCCATTTTCAACTCCCCCAAAACCAACAAATACATAAACTTTAATGTTTTCAGTTTCAACCTCATCCCCAAACCCACATTTCCAGTTTCAAACCCAATCCCAAACCCGACCAACTGAGCCTGTGCCTGAAAATAATTCTAATAATTTCATATTATTAGAACTATTTAGATAATTATTTTATGGAATAATGCCCATAAGGCAGCGAAGTGAAAGCATCAATATAAAACCTTTTATTTTCATAATTACTGAGAGATTGCTTTACTTGAGACATTGAATATATTTGATGCGACTTACTTCTGATGAAGTTATATGTGATTTCATGCTTTTTGTTTTGAAACAATGCTTCGTGATAGTTCTGATACGACAGTTCTTTTTTCACTTTGTGTTTCACTACACCTTTTGATTTCTTATGTTCATCATCCTCACCGTGAATTGTGAAGGCATACGATTTAGGTTTTAATCCGATGAATTTAGTAATGATTTTTCCATTCACTTCGTCCTTAAACATTCCTAAGACCTTTTTATTAGTTTTGTCATGACATGGATGCTCAACAGGATAGTCGCTAAAATCCATGTGTTGCTTTATATCATTGAAATCCTTATAGACATCATCAGTCATTGTTTGAATTACATAACTGTCAGTATCGGTATAAACCAGTTTGATGTTTTCATTATACTTCTTTTTCAATACATCATAGTAAAACTGATACATATGTAATTTGCTTAAATCTAAAATGCTCATTCCTAAGAAAATCGGTTTATCCAGTTTCAGTTTTGCTTTAGTTTTTTCAACTCCTACGAGATTTTCATTTATAACAAATCTGTTTTTGAATGTTGGGTTATTCACACATTTTCATATCTAACTTCATTATCCACCAGTTCAAAGTCCATATGGTTTCGCTTGTCTTCCATAGTTTTTCCGTACACCGCGTTATTCATTAATTTGAATAAATCTTTCTCAAAATCGCTTTTGGCTTCTTTCCTTTTACCAGTGTTGAAATCAATCCACGGTTTCAACCATGCCCTCTGTTGAAACTTTATTATCCTATGGACTTTACCCATTTTCATTCCCATTTTCAAATAATACTGTAAAGTCTTGATATGAACCACATATTTTTCTTTATCCTTTAGATTTAATATTAACTTACTTGTTTTCTCGTCCTTGGGGGTTTTACCATCATAATATATTTTGAAGACTTGCTTTTGATAATCGGAAAGCATATTCACATTTACATTCATTATTTCAGGCGCTAGTGGATAGTCAGAGTGGAAGTCGTGCAATGTTTCGGGATATTCCAAATCAACTTCCATAATATAACCGAACTCATCGTTTTCATTCCATTTTTCAACACTGGGCGTTTTCTTTGCCCACTTGATATTTTTTAGCGGTAACTTCTGGGACATTGCTAAACCATACAAGTTATTAGCATCCAAGTAACTAATATAATTTGATGGCTTGTTCTCATCATATGCTTCCCCCATATACTTATTATTTGCCACCGCTAATTTATGACTAACCTGACACATACCACCTCTCATTCCCTTTTCAACCATCTCAAACATTTCTTGGTCATGCAATTGTTCTATTTCAACACCAGTTTTTAGAAGCATCGCGTCCCATGCGAAATTTGGCAATGTATAATAATGAGCGGGGTCTAAACCGTAGTATTCCATACACAAGTCTCTAAAGTTTTCAAATACATCGGTCAGTAGTAAAACATCAGTTCTTAAATACAGGTTGTGATACTGCCCGAGTGTTTTAATCCCGAAGTGCTTCCATACTTTCAGTGCCCTTTCATAATCTTTATCACTTACATGTTCTTCACTCAATTTACTGTAAAACGCTTCTTTCGGTGGTAAAGCCCTTTCCTTAAATCTTTCAAAATCATCAAAGTAGTCATAGGGATAAATACCCTTATCAGTCAATAAATCCAAATCTTCATCGGTTTTAACATACGGGTTTCTA